ATACCAACGTAAAGGGGATCAAAGCGGTTCAGATAACAAAGTTTGCCACTTGATTGTACTTGTTCATAAATTGTAATAGGAAGCTTCCTTCCCATCCTTCATATTCTCATCCAACTATCTTTTAACCAGCAAAATTCCCTAACTAAATACGAATATAAATAGTGTGGGATTTATTCGCATTTCTTTAAAGTTAAAGTGAACTACTTTCAGCATTTTGCACACACGTTCCTGCCCCCCCATTTGGATTTTCTTCTCGCCAATTGCCACATCTTTCACTTAGTGGCTTGCTCTCCTTCTGCGCTTATGTTTGACTATTTTAGTTGTCAGCTTTGTATTCACTCTGCTTTTCATTTTCATTCTTTCTAAACATTTTCAGTTTCCTTTTGTTGCTGCTGCTGCTGCTGCTGCTTGATTGTTTGTAGTGTGTATTCCCTTGTCCAATTAAACGCTTTTTTCCAGCCGCCCACAAACGCAACAACCAGACCAGAACGAAACAAAACAGAAACAGAAACAGCAACAGCAACAGAGACGGAGCTGAGCTCAGCTCAGCTCAGCAGAGAGCTGAGAGCAACAACAAAAAGTTTTTTGATTAAAATTAAAGAAAGTTTCTCGACTCGGCTCAAGAGTCAAGTGGATCCAAGGGATGCCGATGGGGTGCTGTGGATGCGGATGCGGCAGGCGGCAGGCGGCAGTAGGCAGTAGGCACCCAAGGGGAGTGCCAACAAGTGGCCAAGGACCGAATTGGATACATTCCCCCAGAAATGCATGATACGAGAAAAGCTGCGTAAACCATGAAAGAATTTATAAAATTAATTACAAATAACAATGAAAACAAGCAAACAAATGTGTAAACAACGCAAAAGCAGACCCAAAGGCGATTAGGTGGATGCCCTTACTTACACATTGATTATTTTTGATTGAATTAAAAACAGCCTTAGAAAATATTCCACAAACTCCGAACTACTTTGGCTGTGTTGTCCACTCAAAGATTGGAATATTTGAGCAATATATATGGACTGAAAGCAGTCCACCGATATATGTAAATATCATTTGTCTTGATTGGGAACTATTGAGCATTATGATTATACCACTGAGTGCCTTCTGCTCTGCCTTCTGAACGAATCATCTAAGCAAACCAAAGTACCCTTGCTAAAGGGTATGTAGCCTCCCCTCCCCACCCCACGCCAACCCACCAATGATGTGAGCCACTGTCACAGCCACAGTTGGCCAAGTTAGACAGACAACAAGCCAACAGCAAAGAAATTGGCATCATTTCAATGCAGCGAAAACTTATTCAAAGTCAATTGCCCCGAGTGTGCGACGGTGGCGGAAGGAGCAGGAGGAGGAGGAGGGTGCGTTTAAAACAGCGCCGAAAACGGGACATTTCTCCACGCTCCACACTAGTCCCCCACCCCGCCGCAGATCTGCCCCACCCCAGCAACGACAGACCGCAAGCAAAATTACTTGGCAGATTCAAATGAGCATTTGAAGCATTTCCATGGAAAACTTTTTCTCTGGCTCTGCCTCCGCCTCTGGTCTGGTCTGGGGGCTCTTATGTGCGCGGCGGCGTTCGCGTTTTTTTCTCTCCAGCGCGGAAATTGTAATGAATAATTTTGCTTTTAACTGTTTTGGTGGGGAGCTGCAGCTGCAGGCTGATCAGGGGTGACAGGGGCCGGGTAACGAGTGCGCGTACAGGGAGACTGATGGGAGCGAGATGTTTGCAAATGGGTTGGTGGTGGGGGTGGGGGGGGGGGGCGAGTTGGTTGGCACGCAATCTGGTTTTGGGATTGGCCAAATGTTGTTGGGTTTAGTTTTTGGCTTGCTGCGGCTGCTGCGGCTGCTGCGGCGTTGACAAACCGCTCGGCGTCTCTTCCGCCAGGGGCGTTGTGCCTCCCAGTCGCTCTTTAAAATTTCCATATATATATATATATGTATGTAATATCCTAAAAAACTTTATAAGCTGATGGAATTGTGCAAAAATCCCTTGCAAAAACGAAAACAAATTACTGTGGCAATTACAATTGAGATTACTCTTCATCTGAAAGAGATCTACAAGTTCTTGTATGATGCAGCTTAATGGTTAGTTATCCCCATATTTTGTACATAAGTATGTACTTTCGTAAGCCCCTCTTTGGCACACCTCTGTCGGGGGCAAGGAGGCACGTACATGGAGGAGGAAGCCAATAGCACCACATTTGGGTCGCTTCAATTTTGTTTTGTGTTTGTTTTTCCTACTTGTTTCAAGATGAAGAAAACGCTGAAGTAGCTGAAAACACCGTTGGAAAATGCTAGAAAAAAAGGAAAAACTTTTTATTTGTATTTTAAATTATTTTTCTTAGTTTTTAAGGCTCTCCACACCAAACAATTACGTGTAATAGATTTTTAATTTCGCTTGAAATGCAGTTAATTAATTTAAAAACGTTAAACATCTATCATTAATTAAAGAAAACAATGCTTTAATCTGTAAATATATTTTCTGCGCAGAGTATGGCTGAAGTCAGCGATGCTGCGGCTGTGGCAGTGGCTGGCAGATCCCAAGGCTAGCAGAGCAAAAATGCATTTAAACCAGTTAAAAGAAATAGAGAAAGAGAAAGAGAGAGAGAAAGAGCGTGTGTGTGTGTGTGTGTGTGTGTGTGTGGGGGGGGATTTAGCTGTATCCCCACACATCTGGTTGGGGATCTCTCTGTCTCTCTGTCTCTCTGTCTCTGTCTTGAATTGCAACATTTCACCCAAAATGCGACAACCTGAGGCGCATTTCCGTGACAATAATTGGCGCTGGCCAAGAGATCTACTCGTACTCGTACTCGTACGAATATTGTACGCTTCCTCCAATCGCCCACCGAAAACTCGTTCCAATTGACTTGGCCGCACTGATTTAGTTTCGATTGTGGATTGCATAAGTCCGTTTGGCAACGCATCGCCGTTTCCTGTAAGCCCCCCTTCCATCCATAACTTTATTTGGGTATGCACCTGAATCTGAATCTGAGGCTGCAACTGCAACTGGACCTGGACCTCCCCCACCCCTGCAACCCTAATTAGTTTTTGGCCATAAATTATGCCGATCCAAATGACAGTGAAGGCAGTCTGTCATACGATATTATTGCCTTGAATTATTCGGTTAATTTGGCTGGCATTTGATGACAGAACCCAACCCTGCCCCCAGATGCCAAATGCCATTATCTATAGATTCGTGGGTACTGTAAATTTACACTGAACAAATTAAAATATTTCATTTTGAGGCTAATGCAATTATTTGTGGCTTCAAATTGCGTTTTGTTGCGCTTTTTAGATGAAATTCGATTAAGTACGCGAATGTATATATATGTACATTAAATATTCACACTGGCAGCTGTGGAATTCAATTTTGTGGAGGGTACAGGGTACATTCTACAAGTCACAGTACGATCAAAGTGAAGACTGCCTTGATGTGGACTGGATTGGAGTAGCTTATGCCACAGCGCATAATTTCCACAGTCTGTAATTTTGCATCGTTTATTTCGCACACGTTGTGGCAGCTTGTGCCAGTATGAGATTAAACCCAGCTGCCTGAGAAACCCTCACACACACTCATCCAGTTTCCATCCAGCATCCTATCCTCACTATACTCTGGAGGCAATTACTCGCACCAGCCTGATGTTCCTCTGCCCATCGTTGACACTACTAATTATAACACTTTCCTGTCCGACATGCGCCAGCACCAGCCGAAGAACAATTAAATGGATGTTAGCCGCAACAACAACAACAAAAAAAGGCAGAGGCAGAGCCAGAGCCGGATCCAAGGCGGAGTGGTGTAACCGTAAGTAAGCCTTTTATGAGTACTGCCACGGTAGCTAGCTGCATTCCACTTTCACATCCACTCGGTATATTCTTTATTTCCGGCGACTAAACGGGTGCTGAGCGCAGGCGGGCTTGGAGGGGACTTGAAACTTGCCGCACACACACACAGATTTTATGTCTGGCTGCAAATTGGGGAGAATTTTTATTCGACATGCCCGCCACATTGGGCATTTGTTCGGTTGCACACACACACACACACACACAAGCTAAAAGGGGGATGGTGTTGAAGGGGGGTTCTGTTGGTGTTATTGCTGAAGTAACAGTTAAGTTTTACGGAAAGCCACTTGATTTTATTAGGAGCACTCGTAAAATCATCGTCCGTTGTAAACGGTTCGTTCAGCAAACGGAAATGGCAGCCCAGCCCAGGCCCCTACCCCTACCCCTGCCCCTTCCCACAGGTTTTAACTGTAATGCGAATGCAAAAACTCTTAATGAGTGGAAAGTTAATTGCAGGGCGAGACCCAAAGAGCTCATCCTTAATTTTAATATGCAGAATTAGTGGACATTTAATGAGGCATCGAGTTCTGTGGCTTCTGCGTATCGATTAACTCTCTTCCCAGTTAAAAACCAAATACACACCGACCACATAATCGAATTCAGTTGTGGCAGCCACAAACCAAAAAAGGATCTTACAATGACCAAGGTCTGGGTCTGGTCTCTACGACTGTGTGCATTGCACATCTCCTAATGGCAATGGCAATCGGTTAATGGCCATCCATGATGGCTGGTAGCTGCTGGTAGCTGCTGCTGCTGCTCCACAAATGGTGCTCCTCAGCTGGATTTGCAGCGACACCACCAGGTGCTTGCCCCCGTCTGTGGCAGCATGCAGCCGGGACGGACCGGGCCAGGCCAGGCCCCGGCCGCAGTATATAAAATGCCACAAAGCTGGCGAACCAATTTCACTCTCACTTTGTTAGCCAACACGCGAGCCGGCAGCGTCGAGACGGGGCGCGACTGCAATGCGATTACAATTTGGTTTCATTTTTTTCATTTTGTTTGCTTAAAAGCCACACATAAATCGGGATATATTGTACATCCTATATACGCGTATATAATTATTTTATAACTGTGAAAAGTGCATCATTTGTTAGTGTTTTTTTTTGGTTTTGTTTTGTTTTGTTTGTTTTTTTGTGCGAAAAGCGAATTTTAATTGTGTTACCAGAAGGAAACAAAAATACACAGGAGCAAAAAAGAAAATTGTGAATCAACATTAATTCGTATTGCCTTTAATAAACAAAAACGGCCGGAACAACGGGAATAATGGCTATCATACGGGTGAATAATGCAAAATATGATTAAAATTATGTACATATACTCTCGGACTTAATAATTGCCAGCGAACTAACCCAAAGTTTGCCCATGATAATATGTACATATGTACATATTATGGCCATGATATTATGGTGCACCGATTAATTTTGATTATTTTCACACGACTAGATTGAGTACACTGCTCACGGCTCAGATAAGCGGAAGATTAATTAACAATGATTCAAATATTTATGCCGCTTACTCAGTGTATCCTGCAGATGCAGATAAGCAAAAGATTTATTCTGTAAAAAAGCCACAGCATTAGCAGATATTTTTCTATATACATACATATGTATGTGGCTCTGTATAAACTAAATTTTTAAAGGAACATTTTTATATGTCATGCATTTTTGGTCATTAAATATTTTTATTCGTATTTAATAAATTTTAAATTATAGTTCGATTAAAGGGCAACATCTTTGCACTTCAATAAACTGTAGTATAGAGGGGGCTAACGTAAAATTTGTTGCAGAATCGGGTTTCATTTGTGGGCTGGCTTTTTGTCAGGAGCGATCCCTAGACACAGCCAAAAAACGAGCGAGGGCGAATTTAGATGAGAGTGCAAAGCAGATCGGCGAGCGAGAGAGACGCCGAGAGATTTTTAATTCAGCCAGCAAACGATGTAAAAGATTTTTATTCGATTAACCATTTACCATTTTTGTTTCTTTCCCATCACTTTACTTGTAATAACAAACCACAACCCCCCACAAATATTGCAGAAAGGAATGAAATTTAAATAAACTTCCCGCCCCATTTGCGCCGTGGCATTGGGGAACTATTCTTTGACTATTTTTCGATCATAAAAAAAGCAAGTATCGATTAAAAGTTGTGTTTTGGTATAGGAAGCTGAGCTGAAACTGAAAGGAAAACTGAATTGTGGGGAAATGCGGATTGATAATTGCGTTTTGTGTGGCGGCGGCGGCGGGTTCATTGTACAACTGCACAGCATAATTATTAGTTAGTTATTAAACGTGTGTTGTGTGTTGTGGCATAATAACAGCAAGAGCGGCCAAACAATAGCAGCGGGCGACGGGGGATTTTCACAATTAAATTTGTATAATTGCATTTATAAATCAATTCAATTAAATTATTATTAAATTACTGGGCAAACATTTTTGTATTTATAATGAAGCTCCTTTTCCTGACATTTAATGCGCCAAATTACGCGATAAATACTGAGAGATATAAACAGAAATTGCGAATTTTATTTAACGCGATTTGTTGTTTGTGTTTTTATATTTTATTTTTATTTTCTGTATTAATTTCAATCAAATTTAATTTGATTTCGATGGCAATTTCCAGGCGCTGGCTGTCATCGGCATTTGCCTTGTGGCGGTCAGCGGCGGGGTGGAGATCGAGACTCTGGCGCCCAAGGCCGCGGACAAGGTGGAGGAGGCAGTCACCACCAAACTGACGCCCAGCATCACCGAGGATGCCAAAAGTAAAACAGAGAAGCGCGACTCATCGGATCAGACAGGTAACGAGTAAATTAAGTGAATGAACTCCCGGTAAAAGAAATAAATAAATAAAAAAAATCACAGGTGCCATCTACCCGGGCAGGCCCACAAAGGATACACCGTTCCGACCCATCTACCCATCGGCCAACTACTATGAGGCGCCAATGCAAATCTTTGGACCGACCACCGTACGCTACACGGCAGCGGAGGCGGCACCGCAAGTATGTTCCAAGCAGCAGCAGCTGCCACAGGCAAATTCATTTAATTAACGCAAACAATCCACCCACCACACACCACCCATCCACTGTAGACGTACTACGATAAGCCGGAGAGTGGTCCGGGAATTCGATATGGCCCACCGCCATCAGGCCCGTCAGGTGCTGCTGCTGGAGCTGGAGCGCATAAGCCTGCGTTGCAGTACGCCCAACAGGGGCCGACCACGGCGCATCGCTTCAGCTTTGCAGCGCCACCGCAAGTGGAGCTCTATCAGCGGCCAGCCGCCACTAAGTCGGTTTCATTAGGAGCGGAAGCACCCCACCAGCATCATCAACAGCATCAGCAACAGAAACAGCAACAGCAGCAACAGCAACAACAGCAACAGATTTTCAATTACGGCGAAGTGGAATCCGAGGGAGGACCCATTTATGAGCGGGCGGGACCGCAGCAATATCAATTAACTCTGCCCCAGCATCCCCACGGCCACCGCAAGTTTCAGCAGCTAAGTGCACCGCGGCAGCAGCGCATTCAGTACATCATTGCCATACCACTGTCCTACATGCGTCAGCTGCAGCAGCAACAGCAGCAACAGCAGCAGCAACATCAGCTATTGGTGGCTCCACCAACACCATCCGCCAGCCCCAGCAGCAGCACCACCACCTCCAGCACAAGCAGCAGCGCTGCACCAACAGCAACGGCAGCGCCCGGACCTAGGCACCATTCCATTATGCAGCTGCTGGGACCGCTGGCCCGCGACCATCAGGGCTTGTATAGACCCTACTATCAGTCGGACGCAGCCAATGCACCACTGACGGGCATAGGCACCCCGGCTGGACCCAATCCACCAAGCCACCAGCAGCAATATGTCCAGATACCAGCCAGCCTGCTGCTTGCCGCCGCCCAGCAGCTGCAGCAACAGCAGCAGCAGCAGACCCAGCAGCAGGCGGTCTATGCCAAGGCTGCAGCAGCACCACCCAGCTACCAGCAGCTCATCTATCAGCCACAGCCACAGGCAGCACAGCCACTGCAGCTGCAACTGCACCAGCTGCAGCACCATCCACAGCTGCAGCTGCAGCGTATCTTTCTGCAGCCACCGCAGGATCAAACATCAACTATCTATGGCGAACAGCCGGGCAGCAGTTTGTACGGTAAGCAAAAGACTTTGAGAGCTTTCACTATTAAGACTTGTAAGAAAGGGGAGCTACGCAGGCACAACTATGTTCATCAGATGAACAAATTCAACTCTAAAAATTCCACAAAAATATTCAGTTTAGAAACTGTAACGCTGCATGCCATCATGCAGCGACTGTACCGACTTCTGCCAGCATCCTCCTCCTTGCTGTACCTCCTTGCTCGCCTCATTAAGCAACTGCAGCGTTTCCTTGCAACAACTCCGCGCAGCAGCGCAGGCATTCTGATTAGTTAGCCTCGAGGGAGGTGGCAAAACGGAACTGTACTTTCGCCGAGACATCGGCACATCGTGGCAATTAGTGGCGCTAATTTAACAGACTGCAACAAACGCCTTGGGGCAGGGAACAGGAGAGATGTTGTCAGTCATGTAACTATCCATCGGTTTTTTTTTTTGTTGTTGTATCTTTCAGCATATCCGCTACATCAACAGCAACGCCTGAAACAGCAGCAACAGCAACACAAATACACACCAGCATCGGAATCCGTGGCAGCACCAACAGTGGCAGGGCCAACAGCAGCCGGAGATGTGGCAACAACAGCCCCGGCAGCAACAGAAGCGGCAACAGCAACACGTCCAGTCGGCGGCCAACACTTACCCATCGTGCACTACAATCCAATTTACGTGCAGGCACCCGCCGAACAGCAACACCAGCAGCAACAGCAGCAGCAACAGCAGCAGCAACAACAACAATTTGCCATATTGCCACGTTTTAGCAATAATAACCCAAAGGCCGCTTACAATCTGGGGCATGAATCAACGCCACCGATTCATGTTGTCAGATTGTCGGCGGCTGGCGGTGCCCCCGGTCCGCCCATCCACCATTTCCATCACTATCAGCCGGGTACGGGTTCAGTGCCGGTGCTGCAGCAACTTTATCATGCCCCGCAGCAGCAGCAGCAGCAGCAACAGCAACAGCAGCAGCAATACGTATCGCATCTGCCATATGCCCACCCAGAAGAAGTTCCACTTCCTGGACCCATCTCACTGCCAACTCCAGTGCCTGGCATGACCGGCGCCTCACCCGCCATTATACCATACTTCAGCCATCCGGGTGCCGTGCATTATGGCACGCATTTGTATCACCCGGCAGCGGCAGCCACTGTAACGGGCTCGACAGCAGCCACAGCAATACCAAGAGGTGCAGGAGGAGTAGCTGGTGCACCAACAAGCCTCAAGCAGCAGTCAACGGTTGGTGCCGCCGCAACAAGTGCAGCAGGACACTCACCAGGTGGCGGCAACAATATTGTGAAATATCCCTAAAGCATTCAAGCTGATGAGATGAGATGACACCAACAGAAGCAGCAGCAGCAGCAACAGGAGGAACAGGAGGAACAGGAGGAACAGGAGGAGGAACAATCGATAGCCCCTAACCACCAGCCCACACTTTTCTGCAGCGACTCCTTAGCAGAGGGTTGAATAAAAAAAAACGTTTCATATTTTCACAAGATAATAAATATTCTTGTTGAAGTTCAATCGACTGGGCCGTGCTACTAGTGACTCGCAGTAGCCGCACAGTTTGAATCCAATTTGCATAGAGCTTCCATTATTTTTGCCGAAACATTAATTTTTTTTCTTCTGCTATAATTATGTATTTATGTACCTCGATTTTTCCTGCTGCGCCCCATGCCACTGGATTTGCTCTTGTTCGCTGGCGCTTGATGTCCAAAAGTTTGCGCTCAACTTTTAATGAGTTTCGTTTCGGTGTTTTCGTTTATGTAAATATATGATAAATTTCCCAATAGACTCGCCAAATAAACACTTAACATATACGGTTCCACTTTGTTAGCTATTAATACATGTTATTTGTTGTATTAGAATTTTATGTGTGTGTATTTTTTTTGCTATTGGTATTCCAAATAAAATTATTCCCGTTCCATCTGAACTATGCACAAATAAATGCCTCAGAGTTTTTCTTGTCCACCATAAAATATGATCTTGGGGCCCAATATGGATCCAAGTCTTTTGTGGCTAGTAAAATCGGTTTTTCATCAGGGAAAAATTAAAGTTATTGATGTGCTCGTTCCGATCATAATTATACCGGTACCCAAAAAGAGTTAAGGGGCATATTGGATTTGTGGTAAAAGTGGATGTGTGCAACGCAGAGAAGGAAACCTTTCCGACCCCATAAAGTATATATATTCTTGATCAGCATCAATAGCCGAGTCGATATAGCCAGCTGCTGCCGCGCCCGCTGTCTGCTGCGCTGTGCGCCCGGACTAGGCTGGCCCGGCCCGCCGGTACGCCCCGCCCCCCCCCCCGGACGAAACGGGGCGCCCGGGCCTACCGACGCACAACGCGGACTCCTGCTCCCCCCCCCCCACCACACACCCCCCCCCGCCACCCCCAGTGGCGGCAACCCAGGGGGAGAGGCCCCAGTTGGTCAGTAGCTAAATTTTTACTAAAAAATCATAAGCTCAAAAATGTATATACTGACTGAGTACGGGTATAAAAGTAGAGTCGTGTCCCCAGAAACGACTCACACGTTCCTTCTCGCTTTAAATTAAATTCAGCTGCTCTCAGTCTTGCCATTCACCCGTTAGCTGTGCAAATAATTATACAACTTCCAGTTCATTTTAAGGTTTCATTGAAAATTTTTGCAATTTTCATTTGATAGGTAAATGGAAATTTCAGCTTAATACCAAAATCCACTTGCCATTCGGAGGCTACGCATATGTACATACATACGTATATGTATATGTGCGAGTATCTGATTGAAAGTATCGAACACGAATCGAACATCGGTTAAGCAGGTTAAATCATTAATCGCATATCCATTAAGTGACTTATGTGGGCTTTGCCAATCGATTGCCACAGCCCAGAGAAATAAAACCAAATTAAGCGCTCGCTGTCATTTAATTGTGCAAAATACACGAATACTCGCATTATTTTTTTGTGTTTGCAAATATAATAAAGGGAATGGCAACCAACCAACCTGCCTCTCGGCTTCAGCAGTCAATTAAATTGTCTATTAAGGAGCCCCATATCCAGTGGGGGTCTGTGCGTGCGCGTTTTGTGGTTCAGGTGACAGACAGACTTTATTTGTCCGTACAATTGTCTGCCAACATTTTATAATGAGCCCACTGGATTATGCGGCAATAATTATAAGCCCTAGACCATGCTAAATCTTTCAGTGATTCGAGTTTCGAGGGGGCAAAACTCTGGCGAAAGATAAACCAACTTCCGGCGGCTGGCAGCGAGTGACATTTGCCGACACTGGCATGAATGGAAATCCGGTTACGGATACCCATCCCCCCAGTTTTCCATGGACCATTGACCAATGGGAAAGTGAATGGTGGAGCCCCTTCGCACCCCCCGACTACGACTTCTGTGGGGGAATCTTTAGGCGCACAATCCACGCTACTGCAAACAGTCGGCATTGTCATTTTAACTGGTATGTGTGGCTTTATTTTGAAAGTACTTAAAGTGAAATCTATTCCATGTTTCCCCATGTTGCATTGAATCGATTTTGCCACTTGTATTGGGTATGTTTCCGTACGATCTATCAACTATTGTGTAGGATATTTTGTTTTTGTTTTTTGCAGGTGCATTATTCAACCTCCGAGCTCTGCATTTCGTTCAGCAGCGTGAACATGGTGTAGGCGACCTTGCACACCTGTCACGATCGAAGCTGAATGATACACACATATTTGGAAATGGATATCCCACGATATACTTACCATCCTGAAGGTGATCATTTGCACGGGAACTATCAGGCCGGCACGCATAATCATCGGCTTTTGGGTGCGCGCCAGCATGAGGACGATCATGCGACGAAACTCCAGCGACTGATCCAGCCAATTGCAATCGTAGATGGCCCTCATCAGATGCTCGCCCTCGTGGCACACCAGTTCGGCGCTGTAGCACAGCAGCAGCGTCTCTGTGGTGAAGATCATCAAGAGAAAGATCATGTTCACGGACTGCATGATGCCGATCCTCACAAAGATCAGGAAAAAGAAAATTGCACACTGCCCGATGGCCGTGCTGAAGAACTGCAGGAAACAGGATATGGACAGTGAGTGTTCCAGTGACTGAAAAATACTAAACATTAAGGGGGCGGGGCGGGGCGTTATATTTAGGCTGTCAGAATGGCGATACAGCAATACCCACTTCAGAATGAGCTGATGATCGTTAATGCAATCGCGCAGCCGATCGCAGGCCTCGGCTCTCGTCAGGCGGCGATCGTAGCCGAGGCGGGAGACGCGATGGGCCAGGGCCTGGGTGTGGCCGGCCAGCATAATGAGGTAGGAGGTCGGACAGGTGTCCACGTGGCCAACCATCATGGCGTTCTCGATGAAGCCGAGACTGTGCAGCGTGACCGTCACCAGATAGACGGTCAGGGACGACTCCTTGTAATTCCAGGGTATCCAGGAGGGGAACATCATCAGCCGCTCGTTGGACACGAAGAGAAACAGTATGCCAAAGCCTAGCACAAAAACGATTGCACGATAAATGCAAATAAACACATAGTGAGCCCTCTTAATGGCATCGAGAATGATTTTGCTCTCGGTGAGAGATGCAATGCGGCCATCCAGATGTTGCAGGATGTCATGGGTATCCAGAATCTGCTGCCGCGTACGCCGCAGACTGAAGGCCTTCAGATTTTCGACCGTCAGGGGCACTGCCACAGACAGGCTCTCGCAGAATGACTCCAGCGAGGTGGACAGCAGAAAGTTCACCATCACCGAGAGCCACATGACCAGGCGAAAGGTAATGAGCCACACTGTCGCATAGACCTTGTAGTGGCGACCCCACAACGTCTGCGGGTCTGCCGGATGCATGCCCAGCAGTCGCCATATCTGCCAGTGATGCCGAAAGGCCCTCATCGAATCCACCACCACCTGCCGCATGCCGTCCAAGTACTCTTTGGACAGGGCACAGCTGGGCCAGACCCTTTTATAGCCACATCCATTCAGGCCGAAATACCCATCCATCTGCCCACGTACGAGTGGGCGAGTGAACGAGTACGTACGGGTAGAGTATCAATTCACTCCTTTAACCGCAAATTATGCAAATTGCTGCAAATTAGACCGAAAAAGTTTCCTTTCGTATATTTCACACCACGCTTGCCATTTAATCGATTCGAATAGAAATTAAACCCACAAAAGGTGGCTCTAACTACGGTCAAAAGGTGCGCCCCACCCTGCAGGCATGGTGCGAGCAATGGACATGGCATTCCACACGGCCCTTTGCCTTCTATCGTTTCATCTGTTTGACCGCTTTCCGTTTTGCAAAAATTAATGCAAAATTTAACATAAAATCTTTAGATTTTCCTACTGGTAGCATCCGCTAAACGAAACCTCTATATTTATTCCAAATATAAATTATTTTATAATTATTTTCAGATTAAATATAAACTTATTTTGAATGGTAAACTTCTAAAATATTTTTACATTTTTTTTATTCCTAATATAAATACATAAACATAAATAAATTATTTCCAGATTAAATATAAACTTATTTTTAATGGTAAACGTTAACTTTGGAATTCGGTTGTTTGTTTTTTTCGTCACTCTGATGTATATACTATATATGTATATATAGGTATAAAATACAGTTGTTTATTTTACACATTTATTTTATGCAGCCTCTTGAGTGCTGCGGATCAGTAGTAAGTCCACGCTCACTAATACTAATGCAAGCAGTAGCACTGCACTATGTACATAATTATATAATGTAGGTAAAGGTAAAATATATATTTATAGATATATTTTTATCGCTCTGCGATAAATATAAAATTGTTACGAATATTTTAAGCTCCCATGCAGATTCTCTTTGCATGTCCGAATTCAAGCAAAGGGTAACAACAGCTGCGACTTTCTCTATGCTCCCCGCCAATCCCTGTCGCTGGGGGGGTCTCTTTTTCACTGACCAGAGCCCAACTCGACCCATGGGCAGTGAATCCAGCATCCATTTCGGAGACGTGGCACACAGGTGGCGGCGTGTATTCAAATTAATAATGCCAAATTGATTATATAACATTTGTCAATGGCAATCTGGTATGGGCTGTGGGCAGGAAGCTTAGCTACACCCCCGGAGCCACCATCATGATTGAATATGATTGATATTGGGTGGCATAAATTATGAACAGGAACAGCAACAGCAACAGAAACAGCAACAGGAAAAGGGCACAGGAATGGTAACGGAAACAGGACATGACGCTGATGGAGTCCAGATCCATCAGGGCAACCTGTCGCGACCTTGAGCATTTGACAAATGAGCTGCGTAAGTCCAAAAAGACTTGGCCGGCAATAGAAGGCATAATTAAATTTGCCAAGCTGCCATTTTCCATGGGTACAGGTGCCGACAAACCAACCAACCAACCAGCGACGAACGGACAAGTCAATTTTCATTCAATTATAGACCCCAAATCCGCCCCAAACCTGTAATCTCCTGTGCCGCCACTCTGTACTTATGGGGAGGGAACACTTGGCAATTGTCAGTTCAATTTATAATATACCCATATCGATTCATTTCGGTTGACAAATGCGATTCAATTGGCAAATGGAAATCAATTGGGGGGACACGCTGAACCATGAACCCCAAACCCCCCTGCCAGCTTATTATCTGTCAACTCAAGGCCGGACTTTCCTATCACACAATCAAATGTCAAATTGCATTGTGGTTGTGGCTATCTCTATTCTAAACGATTCAGTTTGTGGATCTGACAGGCAAAAGGAGGCACAAATATGCCTGGATAAGCCCGTTTTATTCAAGCGAATCTTTTAGTCTTTATTTAAGAGACTTTTTGGATTACATTTCTTTAATTTCCGATTTTTTAAATTTCACACAAAAAACAAGCAACAATTTGTGCTCTTATTTGGTTCACACAATCAATTTATTTTTGCATTAAATATTTACATGTGCGAGGCAGCTCCCAACTATTTTTATTTATAAAATATTTGCTTCAACATAATTGAACCGTTGAGATTTTTATGGAGCTCGACATAAATCATTTGTACAAATCATTCCATGGAATTAATATAAACATTTTATTTTGTTTTTGTTTGACATTTGAAACTAAATATTTAAATTATATGCTCTGGCATTTTGGACAGCAATACCATTCCATAAATATATACATAAATACAAACATATGTATATATATATATTTACATACGCTGGGGTATGTGATGACAACGGAAATGAACAATTCTATTTGCTGGGCTCTCCACATATCACAATCCCATTTCCGACAGTTTTCATTTTGGACTCCAAAGTTAATTAAGTTGGGGAATGTGGGCAAATAATTTTTTGTTAACGGATCGAAAAACGTAGCAGAACTGCTGTTACGAAACCAGCAAACAATTTGTTTGCTCTGTGAGCTTATATAATACGCTGTTCTGACTTGTGGAAATTACCATATTGAATATCTGTGTAATTAATAAATGCGCATCTACATGCAGCGAATTAGATGCTTGAACTATATTTGTAACGACCGGTGTGGGGGAGGACTATCATCTATCTGGTAACCCGATGAACACCGAATCGGGGTTACTCTAAAGAGAACTTGCTAAGCAATTAATTCAATTTATTTCTCTAGAGCATCTTTAGAAACTTTATAAATTAAAAATGTGTGTTTGGAATATTGCTAAGATTCCCAAAAATTCTGTGGTTTCCAATTTAGAGATCTGGCAATTGTATATATGTTAAATCTGATACTTCAATGATCCGCTGCAAAAGGGAGAGCCGAGTGCAAAAGATTATGGGTTTTGTTTGCAAAGCAAAGTCTTGGCAATTGTCATGTGTTTGGTATAGCCCATGGAAGGGTATCATATTATTTTAATCTGTGGCAGTCAGAGGGAGGAATACTCTGCTACTAAGTAAATATGTTGATTGGCTTTCGCCTAAGAGAGGGTAAGAGTAAAGCACTAACGACACGAAATGCTCAACGTAAATGCATCTTTATTTTCTCTCACTAAATTCCGTGCACAAGGGACACTCGTTGGAGTTCCCCTGGCCCCGCCAAGCACAGCTCAGAGCGAGCAGCGATCTGCGGCACAGCGGAGGCAACAACGGCCCACGCACAGGCACACAGGCAGGTCTCAGTCGGTGTCTCAGTCTCATGGCTGGGTATGGCCAGAGTGGGGCAAAAAGTTGTCAAGTACACGCTTAAAAATAGCCCGATGCCCAAACGAATGTATGAATGAATGACTGAGTGAGTGAGTGAGTGAGTGAGTGAGTGAGTGAGCAACTGACTGAATGGCTGACTCAATCACTGAATGTGTCTCAAAGATACAGCAAATGCCTTTTAGCTGAAATCCAACAACAAAACGATCAGCCAAAAGCACAAAAGTAGTTCCGACTCGGGCCAAGTTTGTCAACAAACAACCCAAGCCCAGTCCAGAATCGGATCGTATTGGATCCGATCCGATCGGCTCGTCTCGTCTCGTCTCGGTTCGTATTGGAGACTCTGGAGGGAGGATGATGACGATGATGACGCCAACGTTGCTCAGCTGTTTTAATGCCAGAGCCCAGAGTCAGTCAATGGGCGTCCTATAAATAGGCCCGCTACCCCTAGAAGTCGCTTCAGTTCAATTCGAGCACTACCTTATAACAAGTGACAAAAAACTAAACTCATCTTCAGCCTATAAACTATTTGTTTATCTTTTTTTGTTTGTTTGCTTTTTTTTGTATTGTGTGTGCTCAGAACTTTTTCTAGAAAAATGGTGAGTTGCAGTCAAATAAATAAATCATGTGAACGAAAAAAAAAAAAGAATTACTTTCCTTTTCTTGTGGGTTCATAAAATTACGCACAAAGACAGGGCATGCCAGGGGATTACATTACGAGTAGTCGTAAAAAATGCATTCAGTGCCTCAATATACGTGTATGGCATACAGATTGAAAATATTGAAAAAGCAACTGAAGGCAAAGCAAAACATGAACAAAATATATGTACATGCCAATAAAACAAAACTAGAGGAACGTTCAGCGTATAATTAATGTTGATGGCTTTATGTTCCGGCTTCCGGCTCGTTCGGCTGGGATTCAGTGTGTTATCTATGATCTTACCACAAGGTGATCACTGTGCAGATATTCGTGGATATAGTCACGAGCAGCAGGCAAAAAAGAACAGTGGAAGTACAGTCCATGTAGAGTTCATTCAAACAATTTATTCCAAGAGCAAATTTGAAGCATGCATTCATATTTTTTATATCTTCGCCATCGATCCCAACGATTAACCAAAGAAGATTCTATCTAAATTCTCCATTGCTGATTCGCTGCTGGTTAAATCAATTTGTCTTCAGAAAACAATTAATAATATATAGTGATGGGTGGGGGACACTGTCACAGAACATATCTGCGTGGTTCATTAATCAAAAGGAATGAATATAAAATTATTGAAAATCATTAATAATAATCCCAAATGGAATCCAAGAAAGCACTCAACCTTCTTCCACATGCCATTCTTTTTCTATGAATATATTACCTAAATACCAGAGAAGAGAAGAAAGAGAAGATCGATCATGCCGATGTTATAGGAGAGGCTTAAAGCAAGTCAACAAATCCATCAAAACTATTAATCCCAAAAGGCAAAAATCTTGGAGACTCTTGGATACATAATTCTTCTGTGACTTTTATGGAGTCTAGAAAAAGTCCGAACCCTGCAGAACCATTACGCGTTTGCCATAATTAAATAAAGATTCAAATAAAGCAAAATCTAATTTCCGCTGACAATTTCCTACCTGCCTATCTGCCTGCCTGCCGCCCTCCCTGATAACCCGATCGAACCATATGCGAGTGGCTGGTAGCCGCCGCGTAACCGAATCGACAACTAAATTAATACAAACACAAATCTTGGCCAGGCCATATTTGGGCGGCGTACAGTAATTTAATAAGGCAATGCGGACATTTGCATAATCTCATTGTATCACTTGAATTGATTCATATTTAAGTGGAAATTGAACTTCCAAAGAAGCGGACTTAACGAGTTTATCTTCTATGTGTCATCCATATAAATCCAAGCAAATGATTATCATCATCATCATCATCATCCTCCTCACCTTGAGGCACCGCAGCACCCCTCAAATCATCAGCGATCGTTATCTCATCTCATTGGACGGGTTAAACCAAATTTGGTGTCAAGTTGCTTTCTGGCAGCTGAAATTCCATTAAACAGTCCAAACTAATGTTTGCCATCATAAACCGACCGACTGACTGACTGACTGACTGACTGAGAACCCATCTATTTTTACGGGTATTTTGCGGGCTCGTTTTGTTTCTTGTTTGTTCTCGCTGATGACACATTGAGTGGTGTGTTGTGGTGTGTTGCTGCTCATCGATTTGCATTGCTTTGCCTTGCCAGTGACCGGTAATGGGTCTTCAATGTGGTTTATTTTGTGTGCTTCAACTTAAGACTTGGGCATTCGGATTTAATTTATTTTGTTCTTGTTGCTTTTCCAGATGGAGCAGCGGCATCAGCTACTGCGGGTCTGACGTTCTTGCTACTGGCAATCGTGGCATTGCCCCAACTGGCCATAGGTAAAAAGATAGAGAAACGTTGTCTCAACTGTTCGTATCGTACGTATTACACCTACGGCGATGGGCGCGCCCTGCAGCGGGTTGTCTATAGAGATCCGGTCTACACACGTGGTATTTACACAACTTCTACTGCAAAACTATTTCCTGCACCAAAGAAAATAAATAATCAAATCAAATAAAATAAAATATATAAATACTACAATAATAATGTAAGAGTGCACAGAACCCAGCCCCGAGCCACAACCGCACAGAAAATCCTACTACACCAAAAAAAACCCTCATAGAAACCCCTCCTAGAACCCCCCACCCCCTACAACCCTCCCACTCGCAGCTACCCCTTAGCTCTCCGGGATCCCACCCTGTACATACTGACACCAAGTCTAGAATTATCTTTAAAGTTAACACCTAACACCCACCCACAAGAAAAGTAGAGTAAAAAAAAAAAAGAAACACCCCACCACACAACATACAGAACATCCACCTGTGCACCTGCATTACCACCTGTATTTCGTTTTTGCCCCCAAACAGCCGCACAGTCCTACGGATGCAGCGGTAATCCGTGCGGCGTGAGTGCCGTGTGCCAGGAGGCTGCCGGAGGCCGTCCGGTCTGCTCCTGTCCGCCCGGTTACAGCGGTAATCCGCTCACGCACTGCAATCGCGGCGAGTGCCTGGACAACGTCGATTGTCGCGGCGACCTGCAGTGCAAGGACAATCGCTGCGTTAATCCCTGTGTGGGTGCCTGCGGCATTGGCTCCAATTGTGATGTAAGTGGATAGTTCTCTCTCTCTCTCCTCCTGCTCTCCATCTCTTCATCCTTTTCGACTGTTCTCATCTTCCCTTTTTTTGTTTTTTTTTTTTTTTGCAGGCCCGCAACCATGTGGCTGTTTGCAGTTGTCCAGCGGGCTACAATGGTGACCCCTACCATGCCTGCCATCTCAACGATCCAGGTGAGTGTCTCAGTCCTTGCCGTATCACAAGGATAACCAGCTATTGGTTACCCTAAGCCCCCGCCCCCCAGTGCTTAAAAACTGGAAATTGCTGACCCACATGCATTCGTATGAAAACCCCTTAAAGGGTCTTTATGCTCAGAAGCTATCAATCAGAAGAAGGAAACCATCAAGTGGAGTTTGTTGCCTTGTCCGTCTGAGGGAATGTACGCCGCCAAACTGGTTTCACACTTCCCAAGGCCATTGAATGGTCTTTTTAAACAGAGTTACAGAACTGCCATATAGGTTTAGGTATAAATTAAGGGAACAATGATATTTATATACAGATAAACAGATGCCCAGTAGGTCAAATAGCATGCAAAAAGATGGGCATAAAATATACATGAATAGCTGCTTGAATTATGTTGCTGCTCTGTCAGGAACTAACCCTAAAATTGTGACAGAAATATTCATGGCAAGCCCCCACATAGCCATCATAATTAGCAATAATTCGTATGACTATATTGCTAGTAGTACAAACTACCTACGGGGGGGTGGGGGGCACCAGCGCCACATTTTGTGTGTGTGCTTGCGCTGACGTTTTCTGCCGATTCGATTACTCGTTTTGACCAAAAGAAGGCAACAAAAAAACCAAAACAAAACAACAAAACTTGTGGCTATAGCCCCACAGCTGCTGGGTATATCCATGTGGGATTCGCTTGCATAAAATTTTCGCGCTCAATAATAATAACAATGATAATAATAATCCATAATAAACACAAACAAGCGAGGCGACGCGACGCGAGTGTCAGTGTCCGCCCCATGTCCAACCAGAAGCGCTCTCGGGGCCTTTGTAATGTTATGTGTTATGGTAATTAGCTAAGCATTTTGTTTCATAATTGTCAAGATCAAGGACAAGGGCGTGTGGGCGCGTGGGCGAGAGGCAGACCCAAAGCCGAAGGCGAGCCACTGACGGCAAAAACTCCCAGAACGCAGACCCCAGGCGTTGAGTCGACATCCGTTTATGGTTATACAAATGTAAACACAATATTTACATATGTATGTATGTACGTGTATAAAGTGCTGGCACAGGAAAAACGTATGCTGGGTAGCAAAATATCGCAAGAGTTTGCCCCAATTGGAGTCCACTTGCAACGCAGTTGTCGCCATTCCTTTCTCCATCGCCTCGACACCTCTTCCTCTTGGCTCGTTCCCTCCAATGCCTGATTTATGCCGGGGGTCATGTGATTTATGCTCCGGCCAGCAATTGGGGGCAGCCGATGGAGTACAGTGTAGCATGAATAGAAAATCAAATTCGAAACAGCAAGAAAAAAACATTTATGCGCATATTTTTGGTTTTTTTCGTTGTTTTTTTTTTTTTACTTATAATTTTCTTTCACTTTTATGCCAATTGTTGTGCTTTGACTTTTCCGGCATTGATGCTAATGATGATTATGATGATGATGGGGTCCCTTTCCCTTTTGTTTGTGCCATTTTCAATGGCCAAAGTTTGCACCATTATTTGGCCCTTCCCTCGAACATTCTTCGGTCGCCACACTTGAGCCAACCAAGATTAAGCAGTCTGAATACACCACAGGATCACAGATATATTCATGCAAGGAAGAGGACAGCCATAAATATTAAAATTAAATTTTAATTAAAATTCTCTCCCTATCTGTATCGCCCGCAGAGGAACAGTGCCATCCGAGTCCCTGCGGCGTGAACACCAAGTGCGAGATCATCAATGGCGTGCCCACATGCTCCTGTCATCACGGCTATCTGGGCAATCCGCTGAGCGGCTGCCGGCACGAGTGCGAGCACGACGGCGACTGCAGCAGCCGCGACATGTGCAGCAACTTCAAGTGCGTGCCGTCGTGCGGCCAGTGCGGCACGGGCGCCACCTGCCAAACGGTGTCCAACCATCGGGCGGTGTGCGAGTGCCCCAAGGGCTATATCGGCAGTGCGTATACGGAATGCCGGCCGGAATGCTATGGCGATGTCGATTGTCCCGCCGGTCGGCCCGCCTGCTTCTACGGCATCTGCAAGAACACCTGCGATGGCGCCTGCGGCGTGGGTGCCGACTGCAATCTGCGCGGACTGACGCCCGTGTGCAGCTGTCCGCGTGACATGACTGGCGATCCGTTTGTGCGCTGTCGCCCCTTCACCAAGGAGGATCTGTGCGACCCCAATCCGTGCGGCTCGAATGCCATCTGTGTGCCGGGACACGATAACACCGGACGCGAGCGACCCGTCTGCAATTGCCTGCCCGGTCACACGGGCAATCCACTGACACACTGCACTCGGGTAGGTCTACTCTAACGATCTTTGCGGATCTTCAATATAATCTCTCTCTCTCTCTCTCTCTCTCTGGCTGTCTAGGGTGAGTGCCTGAGCAACAACGAGTGCCCCGATCATAGGGCCTGCATCAACTATCAGTGCATTGATCCGTGCATCGGCAAATGCGCAACTGGCGCCAGCTGTGAGCCCAAGGCCCATTTGGCCGTCTGCCGCTGTCCGCCCGGACAATCGGGGGATGCCCTCGTCTCCTGCCGCCAGACGCGCACCTTTCCCGTGGCCAAGTATCACTGAATACCGTTCGAGTATCATGGAGTGAAGCTGCAGCCGCACTGCCTGCCACCTGCTATACCCTGTCTCTCTCTCTCACTCTCACTCTCTCTCTGTCTCTATCCCCTATGTGTGTTTTTTTTTCCTCTCTTTCTCATACTAGTCGCTAATTCAGCTTGATGTTCTACTCAGTGAAAACGAACAGAAATATTTCGAAAACAATGAAACAAAATAATAAATTAAAATAAATATTAATAATTTATATAAAAGTTATTACCAAATTGATTGAATAATTGTTTGAACGGGGGCCGGGCGTATACAAAGATTAACGCTTTCGACGCTTTTCATCTCTCTAAATGTAAACAATTTTTTGCTTACAAAATTTAATTTGTTTTCTTTATTTATAGTCGATAAATATATATACACATATATAAATATATAATTTTTCATTCTGATCAGTAGATTTACATACATTGTATGTATATGTATGCATGTATGCATGTGTGTGTGTGTATGTATGTCTATGCATATAGGCTTTAACTATGGAACTGCCTCACTTTCTAAAAGTCTGTTTGCAGCCAAAAAGAAATAACTAAATAATTATATTTGGTGTTCAAACACAATACATAATTATACATTTTATCAATTTAAATTTCTAATTGGATATAAATACACCTGGTCGTGCATGCAGTACGCTATTGAACCATAAAACGCTTAGAAAACCGAATGATCCGATGCCTTCCTTTTTTTACTATGAGATGTGGGGGGGAATATATGCTTAGAAATTAGAATCCTGTATGAAAAAGTCAAGTTTCGCTTGGTTAATAAATAGCATTGCATTAAAACTGAACATTATTATTTAAAATGAGATATTTTGTAATTTAAATTTATTGCAAAAATTCACTGAATAAATGTTCCAAACATTCTTTTGCTGTTGATTCATGCTGCAGGCATGAACTATGTTATCTGTACGCATGGGTAAGGAAGCTATCTTGATGATGGAAGTAATCGCTTTTATCGTATGATAATATTTCACGAACGTTGTCTATTGTTGGGTATGATTCAAATACAGACTTGGAAGTCTGTATCTCAACGAATTATTGTCATTATCCAACTGTCTGATGGTGTTCGAACGTACTGCATCTTCGAATGCCAGCAAAAACATTTCCTAGTCACACAATCAAATACAAATTTGGAACTCTTTAAAGCACATCCAACATCTCAATGCACTCGCACTCTTTTTCCCCACAGAATATTCTGCTCATTCTCCTTTAATTGGTAGTAGTAGTAGTCTTGAAATGCACTGTATCCATAGTATTTACCGATTAACAATATCAGCATTTATTCCATTTTTTTTGGTATTCGTATGGAAATCGAACAAATTTAATTTTCTTGTGCCATTTTTTGTTTTGTTTTTTAATATCAAACAATTGGAATACAATTTAATTATATGGTTCTGGGTACAGGTATGGGTATATGTAGGTATAGCGAACGGTAGTCATTACTTTGCTGTTTTATCTCCGCTTGAAATGCATTAATGGAAATAATACAAAATATTATTTATTTCATAAATGAAAGCTTTCATGTTCTTGTCTCTGTGTGCATCTTTATAAAAAATATGTATGTATGTATACGGTTGTTTGGGAAAAAAACGTATCTGGTTTTGGTAACTCCTCTTAAAATATATACAATGAAATTGTTCATTACGGACAGTATCCACAACCCGATTAAATTACCTTTTTTGCCATGCATTTTTCCATACAAAAATAATTCCCATGCTGTGTCCGTCCGGCTATGAGAAACTTCACTGTCAATACGTACATATGTACATATATTATTATTGTTCTGATTTTTGCTTTCGTGAGATTTTGGAGACCTTTTCGTGTTCTTGTTGTTGTTGTTTTTTGTTTGGGGGGTGTTGGGGTATGTTGCCATTGATGCCATTGTAAATACAATTTTCGCAAATATTATTCTTGTATATTCTCTTGTATATAAATATGCCATCTGTTTCAATTTCGTTTTTGTGTATATATATTAAATATTGTATGTATGTATATAAATTTCTAAATACATTTAATTGCGCTTTTCACATATAAATTTTAGTTTAACGGCTAGCTGGCATTTTATTCCGAATAAAATAGGATTTAAAAAAAAAACAGACCAAAAAAAAAAAACTTTGTCTCTATGTGGGTTGTTTTGTTGGTGTTTCTGGAGGTGTTGGTGTTTGGATTGGTGTTGTTGTTGGTGTTGGTGCATTGGTGTTAGCTATGTCTATGTGTGTGTGTGTGTGTGTGTTCAACTGTGTGTACCATAATGTACGCCAATAACCCACATTATTATCTATATACTATGCGCCTCCCCTCAACTATTTTAACTGCTTCAGCAAGCGGGCGCTCGCGCGCTCTCTTGCCACCAATCCTGGTCCTGTTCCAGCTTTTGGTTGTTCCAGTTCCTGTGCCCACGACGCTTTCAACTGCAACATTTTCTACGCTTAGTGCCGGGATTGTTCTTCAAATGAATGGTGTCCTTCTGCTGCTCGTTGGAGGTGGTGCGCAGCTTGTGGTTGAGCACCTGCCGCGTTATTGACAGAAACATATTGTCCACATTGATGTTGTCTTTGGCGGATGTCTCGTACAGCTCGATGTCCATTTGTTTCGCAAACCTTTGCGCATCTTCGGTTATGACCACCTTACAATCGGGATCATCGTTCTTGTTACCCACTGTTCGAGAAGAGACGTGTTAAATGGCTACACTTTTTCTTTTTGCAACTCCCCGACACACGTACTCACCTAATACTTTGTTGACCACATCGCAGTTGTTCTGGATCTCTTCCAGCCACCGGCGCACATTCGCAAAGGAGTCTCCGTTCGTTACATCGTAGACGATGATGACGCCGTGGGTGCCCCGGTAATAGGTGCTGGTTATGGTGCGGAATCGCTCCTGTCCAGCCGTGTCCCATATCTGCAGCTTCACGCGCAGTCCATCGATGTCCACCGTTCGGATCTTGAAGTCCACACCAATGGTAGTTATATAGCTACCCGAGAATGTGTCGTCTGAGAATCGAATCAGCAGCGAGGATTTCCCAACTCCTGGCGGGTAGAAAGATGGAACAATCGTTATTCAATACTCTTAAAACAAACAAATAAAATTATATTGCGTCGATTCTTGGGAAAATAAACTAGAGTAGAGTGTGTGGCACACCATTTTCCTATCCAGAGCAGATGTTCAAATTACAAGCAGCTGGGAAAAGCCAGAAATTGAGACACCACCAGCATTCCTGGGTATCAAGTGCAAATCCTGCCCTGCGATGTGTCACCATTAGTCACGGCCCAGCGGCAGCAACAGCCACAAAAGAATGCATGCAATGATATCTTGGGAGGGCGAACTTTTGATACACTTGATGTAGAGATATGTCCTTACTATAGCTTAAGTTGCTGTTCAGAAGAAATAGGAAGGATCTGTGCATGCAGACAGTCGGATATGGCTATTTGGATTCACATTGCCCGATGAAGCTTTTTCTTTAAGTTTCAAACATTTGCACGAATACATTATACCCTTGCCAAGGGTATAACATTTTTTTTTAAATAACGGGGGTCCCATCCCCCCTCTGTTGCTAAAAACAGCTGATTGCTTTTAGCGGGGTGGAGGATGCTGGCAAAATGAGGACAAGGAAAAAATTAAAAATAAATTTATACTTATTTATAAACGTTCTGTACAGGAGAGAGATCATTACGGGGCTCTCCCTTTAATCTCTCTTTCGTTTTTTGCACTTACCGCTGTCGCCGATTATAAGCAGCTTGAACAGATGATCAAAGCCGCGTGCCATTTTCTGATCTCTTCGATGCTGCTGCTGCTGCTGCTGCTGTCTACTATTTGTCTGCTGCTGTTATTTACAGTTAAAGTCGCTTTCAACAATGCAAAAATAATTTGTTGCAAAAACAAACTCTATGCCCTTGCTCCCACACACAGACACGCACACACGGACACAAGCAAGAGAAGTATTGAAGCTGTTTAGTTCTCGCTCGCACTTAGGCGGCACCCGGCTTGGTTTTTATGAATATTTGAGATAAACTGTTCTCTGCTGCTTGTACTTTTGCTTCTCCTCTGCTGCTGATTGTGCTTCTCTGCCGCTGCCGCTGCCTCTGCTTCTGTGTCTGCTCAAACTTCTCTTTTGCTGTTGCGGCTGCTGCTTCTCCTCTGCTCCTAATTGCTGCTGCTGTTTTTGTGATAAGCTAGCTATTGTTACTAGTGCTGATGTACTAAATTCGAATTTATGTAAGTTGTGTGTTTAATTTCCTTGGATTCAAATGATTATATTTTTTGGCTCTGCTGCTGCGCTGCCTTTGCGCTCTGCTGCTGCTGCGTATCAGCAACGGTTTCATGTGTGTGTGAAAGACATATTGTTGTTGGTTTTGTATGATAGGAGAAGGAGGGAAGCACTGTGGAATTTATGCACTAATTATTGTCGGTCCACAAATAGTTATTATAACACAGAAAATGGAAAAATTAGACGGTTCGCCCGATTTGCACTCATTTATTAGACGGCTGACACGCTCATATGTACACCGACACACACTTGCCTACACAATGACAGACTTGTTGTTTAATTTGTGTGTATTTTAGCTCCGCTCTGTGTGCGTGACATCAGTTTTTATTTCGAATTGTATTCCTTTGGGGGCTGTGCATTCGTTTTGCGGAACGTTGAACGGGCTTCGGGGGCGTCTGGTTCAGTCCTTAAATCATATTCTGGATAAACTATTACTAACGCACTAACACATATAAAAAAATAACCTTATTTATAGTCTGTAGAGCTGGAGAAACATCGATGGTAATAGTCGATGTTTTTTTTGTCAACCATCGATGTTTCTGCAGCTCTAGAAGTCTCACCAGAGGTGGACGTTTTACAAATGCTGCGCTATCGCCACGTTGCCATGCACTGGCCGAAGGGCGGGTTTTTTAAATAATTTTTAAACGCCAAAGAAATATATTTTTCATTCTTTTTTTTATTGAAATCATCTTGCGAATTTTCGCAATTTCAAGTTTTTATTTTAAAAACTAAATTAAAGTTTCTTCATTTCATTTTTTTTTTAGGAGATCTTGATTTGAAGATAAATACTGCATAGTATTAACAAAAAAAATTATTATTATGGCCTTGCCATGATAGGTATTATCTAAAAAAAATAAATTAAATCATATGGATTCACACTTGCGTGGACTACTTCTTTGGCGCACCGGTTGTGGTGCGCTTTCGTGTGCGATTGGCGATACATGAGGTGTTTTCCGCACGACTTTCCGGTGCGGCAATATGGCGAGGACGAGTTGCGCTATGGCGGCGTCGACGCAATTCCTCGCTCAACGGTGTAGCTTCCTTGCGTGCAGCATTCAGCGTTAGGCGCCGTTGTCCAATATGTTGCACTCCACCCTCATGTTCGGCTGCCAGGGTTCGTCGGCGCGATAAGGTCCGCTGACGCGCAGCAGCAGGAGGCGCCACAGTTGCATGTGGCGATGGGCTGAGGCGCGGTAGGTCCTCGTTTCGAATAGATCGTGCTCTCGATGCAAATCCCAAGCGAGTCCGTGTTGACGATCTGAGCATCCTTGGCCCGCGCGATATAGGGGCGCTTTCTGCTGCTGCCGATACGCCCGAGGAGCCAGTTGTCATGCGACCATCGGTTTCTACGGTGCTACGGCCTGAGGCTTCAGTCGGTTGAGCAGCGGCTGGCACAGCCAACGACGGAGATGGGGTGTTGGCCGACTCAGCTCCTACCGTGCAGCGGCGTGCTTTTACCTGATCGGCAATCGACTCCCAGTCATCTTCTTCATCGTCATATTCGTCGTCAGTGCTCGGAGCACGCAGCTTATCATGGTAGCGACTACGATTCAGATTGCGGGCCTGGCTGTCCCGCCTGGTGCTGGTGGACGGTCTCGCAAACATCTCGAATTCGTCGTCGGAATCATCCATGGGTGGCTCCACAATGCTGCAGGTCTCGCAGATGTACATATCAGTGCCGGCGATGCAGTAGCAGTGCACCGGGTTGGATCCGCACAGCTGGCAAAAAGTAATACTGCGCGAGTCCGAATTGGGCCCATCGATGGCAATGCAATCGGAGACCGTGCAGGTCACGTCGCGCACAAGCTGATCCCGGAATGCATTCGGTTCGGTCTCCCACGTAGCATCGCTACAGCGGAAGAGAAAAAACGATCGAGTTTGAGTATTGATTGCGCCATCCTCACCATTACTTTAGACAAATACGAACCTATTGGGCACCGACACGCCCCAGAGGCAGACATCCATGAACTTGGTCGAGCTGTTGCACAGCGGACACTTGAAGAAGTAGCCAGCATTGTAGGCGTACATCTGAACGCACTTCTTGTGAAACCATCCATTGCGGCAGCACGGAGCCTGCAGCATCAATACCTGACTAAATTTCTCCTGTTCAGGCATCACCAGCTCGAGGCACATGACGCACTTCTCGTCGGCCGATGGTCGCACTTTGGTGCGACCGACATGTGTATGGCAGTAGGATTTATACGAGCCGCAAAATTGATTGCGCGCGAGATTCTCTAGGCCGCAGCTGTAATGGAAGCTGCGGCGACACCCGGCTCGGCAGCAGCCAATTGAGGCGCCGTTTTTGGCACAGTAAATGCACGACAATTTGCTGGCACGCTTCACCTCGGCCAGAATGTCCTCCTTCAGGAAACGTGAGATTCCATTGTTGTCGTCGCCGCGTTGCACCAGATTGGAGCTCAAATACTAAACAAACAATAAATGGAAAAGAAACAAAGGGGGGGAATGTAATCAATGCGCTCGCTTTGTTGTTGTTGTTATTTTTGTCGCTGCTGCTGTCGCTGTTTGGTTGTGGTGGTGGAGGTGGAGGAACTGACTTACCAGACAATTGCGGTGCACCTTATTCTGTTTGTCGTAATGAAAGGATGGGCCGTAGTCACGGACATTCTCTACCGAGGAGCCACACAACAGGCAGTCCACCATTTTTCCAAGCACGCAATTGTTATTTACTTATTTTAACACACCAGGTTCACTTTTGCCGGGAAAATAGCGCGTCGCCGCGCCAAAGTAAAATGAAGAAATTGCAGACGTATCGATATACCATACGGCCAACGATGAAACAACTTCACGAGTCGGTATTTTTTGCTGCCACTGCAAAAAAAGAAGTCAAATGTTTATTAAACATCTAATAATACAAAAACAAACATGTGTACCCAGATGCATGCAAAATTATCTCTTTCTCTTTTGTTTAGAAAATTGATACGCGGCTCAAAAATAATACACCAACAATTCCGTTCTCAGGAGGTGGCAGCTCTGGCTATTCGTAAATTTCTGCGAATTTCGTCCGCTAGGCAAATCCAAATGTAAACAATATGGCGGCGCTAATATATTAAATTTCACTTGAAGCCGCCTTTCCTGGTGCCACCGTCTGGCGCCGGTTTGTAATTTCACGAAACTATAATCCGTGTTTATGTTTGTATTCATCTTATGACAGATTTGATGAGACACCTCGCACAAAGACACAGAGTGTGAGAATTAGCCTGTGCCGAGAGAGCTGCAAACTGCGCAGAGTACTTAAGGAATTTGCTATGTTTGTGCTGCCAATGGAAATCAGTTTAAAGTGTGCCAAATAATTCTACAAAGTCTGATTCAGAAATTAAGTAAGATATGTAAGAAAAGTAAAGGACAAGAAAGGAACAAGTCAGGACTACCTGCCGCACACACGCTCGCACACTCTTACAAAATAAACGCAATTGCCGTGAACTTTACGAATGCTTTCAGCCGCCAGACAACAGAGCAGAGAGATTTGTTTACTTGTCGCAACCTGCCGTTCTTTTAATATGCCTATCAGTCGGAAGTATTGGGTAAACAAACTCAGTGTCCCCAATGACTTGTCAGCATTTTTGCATATTTCGCCGGACGTCCTCTAGAACTTCTAGGTCGCGATTAGGTTATTTTCTGAAACCGAATTTTATTCTCCTGATATGTGCGACCTACCTCCACGAAAAATAGCCAAAGGTTGTATCAATAAACCCTTAACTGGGTATATTTTTATTCACTTTTAAACACACAATTACAACAATTCACTTGCGAGCTCTACCGGGCGAAAAAAACCAAATGATTGAGCTCAGTCGATGACATTTGAAACGTCGATACAAATTGAAAAGGCAGCTCTGTTCGGTATTTTTAGCATTATGGTATTTTTACTAACTATCTAATATCGATATATTTTTATTTTTGTACTGCGCTTTTCGGCGAGAAAAGCTATTCCTTATATTGTATTTGATATGCACATATATAATTGCTCTTAAGTATTTTTTTAACAAAGCTTAGTACTCTGCAAAGATAAATTTTTCGCTGGCAAAAAAAATACCACGAAAAACAATCGACACTGTAGAGTTGCCACCGTGTCCATTGGTAGATCTTTGTATATCGCTGCCGCAAAAAAGAAAACATTTAAAATTAGTTTATTCATCAAACATGTCCGTCTATCGCCTGAACAAGCTGATCCGGCTGGCACCCAACATGACCGGTGTGTAATTGGGTAACATCATTGGCTTGTCCATAGGACTCTAATCTTGGCCCCCGGATCCAACTGGACCGTGGCGGTTCAAAGTCCGAAGTGCCAGTGAACCTTTAACCGCGCTGATATCCGTTTCACATTTACCTTCTGGCAGCCGGCCGATCTACTGTTGCGATGCAGTCCCAACGCCACAACACATCCCACAGCGCCGTGGCGGCCGACACTCCTGGACATACCTCCTTCAAGACCTTGGCCATAACGACGCCCAAGCCATTTGTCTTCCATGTGGAACTGCATCGCCCCAACAAGTTAAATGCGATCAACAAGCAAATGTGGCTGTGAGTACTCAGCTCACGAAATGTCAGCTGTTCATTCACTGAGTCCATCCACCTTCCGGCCCCCACCCTTTCATAGGGAGATCAAAAACTGCTTCGAAGAATTGTCCACGAACCCCGATTGCCGTGCCATTGTACTGTCCGCCTCCGGCAAGCACTTCACGGCCGGCATCGATCTTAGCGACATGATGAACCTCGGCCAGCAGTTGTCCGACACCGATGACTGTGCCCGCAAGGGCCACATTCTGGAGCGTGTCATCAAGCTGTACCAGGACTCGATCAGTGCACTGGAGCAGTGCCCCAAGCCGGTGATAACGGCCGTCCATCAGGCGTGCATTGGCGCTGGCGTTGATCTGATAACAGCCTCTGACATCCGCTACTGCACCCAGGACGCCTTCTTCCAGGTGAAAGAGGTGGAAATCGGCATGGCCGCAGATGTGGGAACATTGCAGCGACTGCCCAAGGCCATCGGCAGCCAGTCGCTGGCCCGTGAGCTCTGCTTCACCGGCCGTCGCTTCGAGGCAGCCGAGGCGCAATCCTGTGGCCTCGTTAGCCGTGTTTTCCCCGACAAGGAGTCTCTGGTGAGCGGCGCCCTAGCCCTGGCCGAGCAAATAGCCAACAAGAGCCCCATTGCGGTGCAGACGACAAAGGCGAACATGGTCTACTCGCTGGAGCACACCAATCAGGAGGGACTCGATCATATTGTACGTTCCACCTACGCGCCCATTAATCCGTTTGAGCCACCAATCCTTGACACAATCTTTGCAGCGCTGGTACAACAAGTTGAATCTGCAGTCGGAGGACTTTGCCCAGGCTGTGGCCGCCCAACTGACGAAGGACGACAAGCCAATCTTTGCCAAGCTCTAAGCCGAGCACACATTTCATTTTATTTATACAATTTCCAATATAATTTCCATATTCACATTCATCAGCCAATTCCACATTTGCCTTTGGCGAGGAGTGAGCCGCGAATGCCCCCAAAAAAGTGCATCAGATTGCATCAGGAAAGATTCTGACTAGGAATTTTGTAGGAGAGCGAGAGAGTGAGAGAGAGGGTGTCAAGCCGAAATCAGGCCGAATCACTGGCTGCTTTGGCACTGCTGGACACCTGCTGGCAGAGATGCTCCAAGCTACGGCGATCCTTGATGCACTCGGCGGTGAGAACCTCAACGACACTGTCCTGACTGATCAACAGATCGTCCTCGATGCGTATGCCAATGCCCCGGAATTCGGGCGGTACATCGGTGCACTCGTGTCCGATATAGATGCCCGGCTCCACGGTGAACACCATGCCCGGCTCCAGAGCCTTGCTGCGCGGTATATTCGGCGTGTCGTGCACATCCATGCCCAGATAGTGTGACACATGATGCGGACAGAATCTGTAGCCATGGCTGACCACCGTCTTGTAGTCGTCCGATGCCTTGGGCACCAGCCCAATCTCCTGCAGATACTTGCCCAGCCGGTAGCAGGTGGACTGGAACAGCTGGTCCAGCGTCTCGCCACCAATGCTCCCGATCATTCGGATGATGTCCGACTGTAGCACCGACACCATGTCGTAGAGGGTGCGCTGGGGATCGGTGAAGGTGCCGCTGGCGGGCCAGGTGCGCGTGATGTCGCTGGTGTAGCCGCCATACTCGCAGCCGGCGTCCATCAGAACGAGTTCCTGCGGCTGCAACAGCTGGCTGTTGTCCACATAGTGGATGATGGTGGCATTCCGGCCGGCGGCCACCACCGGCGGATAGGCCAGGAAGCTGGCGTTGCGCTGCCGGCACTTAAAATCGACGGACGCGAACAGATGATGCTCAGACTGGCCGGGCCGTGTCTCGGCCATGACCTCGTTGATGGACTGGGAGGCAATGCTGCAGGTGCGACGCATCAGATCCATTTCGGCGGGCGACTTCACCAGGCGCATGCCCTCCAAAAAGCTGTGCACGGGCAGCAGTTGGATATTTTCCGTGCTGCTAGTCTTGATTACGCCCTCCTTGACGTGCTGCAGGTCGCAGGATTTCAGATCGAACCAGCAATGGGGCTTCAGGCCGCTGACCAGTTTCCCGAGCATCGTCTCGAACTGGCCCAGGGAATGCGCCTCGGTGACCCCAAAGAGTGGAACGGACAGCTCGGGGCCAGTGCGTGGACCATCCCACAGCTCGGCATGCGCATCCTTGGGGCGCATGAACAGCATGGACTCCACACGGGAGCCCTCGTCGATGGTCATCAGAAGAATTGAGTCCGGCTCCAGGCAGCCGGTCAGGTAGTAAAAGTCAGAATTCTGCCGAAACACAAACGGTATTTTGCCGCTCATGTACTTCTTCGAGGCAGCGCCCACGATCACCTGCAAAGAAGAGTTCCGGGCTATAGAAAACGATGGGCTATGGATGGGCTTTGCTTACCATATGATTCCTGGTGGAGCGGCCATTGTAGTTGTCGCCAAAGGTGCTCGCATAGGACTGTATATTCTGCATCAGTTTGATGCGCCGCTGCTGGAACTCGGCCAGCGTCAGGCCCGGCACCAGCTCGTGGGGCAGAATGAGATGCGGATGACTAGCAGCAGTGGGCTGGCCAAGCCTGGGGCCATCTAGTTTATTCAGCAAATTGACGTTTGTCTTTGTGCTGTCCTGGGACAGACATCTCTGTGGACGGATAAATGGGGAGATCTTCGCCACGCTGCGTCTCCGCATTGCGCTGCAGCGCGCTAAACGTTTCAGGGCAATCATCCTGCTGTGGCTCTTGACCGGGATGTAATAAAATTATATTCTATTGTTTTGTTTCTAAGTTTGTGTAAGGATCGTCGATAAAATGTTTAATCCGAAAAAAAAAAAAAATTACCGGCGGCTCCAGCTGTTGATTGTGGCAGGGTTGCCATCCAGTTGGTAAATTTTTTGCATGGGAAACATATGGGGTACTCTAAAAAATGTTTTAGGTTTGCCTAGGAGATGTCCAAAATCAGTTGTTGGATAAACTTCCCATGGTGGTAATATTTATTAAGAAAAATATGCAATAAACATAGGTATAAACATTAGTTAATAATAATAAAAATACAAAAATTCTGTATCACATCAACCTTAATGTCGATTTGGATTCGTTTGTCAATAATTTTTATTGTGCTGTGAAACTGTTCCAAATCGGTTACAGGAATACCCAGACTATTTACTTGCCGCTGTCTTTCGATGATATGAAAAAAATTCGGATTTGATTTTGGCGAATTTTATACAAAATTATTCACCGCCTCCGAAAATGGACAATGATGTAAGTAATTGCAGCAGCCACAGGTTGCCTAATCTGCCCGCAATCTCATTTTGCTCATGTTGCAGCAGTGCGCTGTGCCTCGGCTGCCGGTGGATGGCGAGTCTATTCGGTTCAATGACTGGAACATTAGCTACGAAAAGTCGCACATATTGAAGAGCATCTGCAAGAAGGGCAGCACCGGATGCTGCGACAAGGACGATGCCAATCGCTGTGAGCTCTGCCACTACCAATACTCGCTGGATCTGCCCCACCTGCCCGACATGGTGTTCCACAAAAACAAGCTGGTGGTGCAGCACAAGGATGGCGCCTTAATGGAATTCAAGCCCATGGATGCTCTGGCCCTGGTCGACAATGGCAAACAGCCCCAGCCGCTGGAGGTGGCCTGTGCCCAGGAATGGCGCCACACTCGGTGGGTAGTTAAGCGGCTGCCCAAGTCCTTACTCATTTTTGATGCCCTTTCAGTCCGGAGCAGACCATGGAGGAGAAGTTCAAGCCGTTCGACTGGACATTCACGTCCACCTATCAGGGCACCATGAACGAGAAGATTCGCTCGGAGAGCACAGATATGACCCTCAATAAATTCAAGTTAATGCAGCGCGAGAATATCATTTTCTACACAGATCTAACACTGTTCGAGGATGAGCTACACGATCACGGCATCTCGGTGATGAGTGTGCGCATTGTAAGTATTCCAATCAGGGGAGAGCACCATGGGCTAGTGTGGCTTGAATGATTATGATCTTTTCTTTCAGCGCGTTATGCCCTCTGGTTTCTTCATACTTCTACGTCACTTCCTGCGCGTCGACGATGTGGTTATGCGCATGTACGATACGCGCTTTCATTATGAAATCGAAAACGATTACATCCTCAAGGAGTATGTGCATCGCGAGGCTCCGTGCTCCAAGCTGCAGAGCTCGTTGGCCTTCTGGACCAATCCGGATGAGATGCAGAACTACCTGCCAGTGCTCTCCAAGCAGATGCACAAGTTGTCCTTCAAATAGCCCCACATACCACACCATCAACACACCATCCATGCTAGCAACCACACCACATGCACACAAGATATTCAAATTGTATTGTTTCTAGTTTATTTCAACATTGACGCTAAGACCTGTGCTATGTGCGATTAAATATTTCCATAATTATGCGCATGTGCGCAGACATTAAAAGCGCTTCCCCTAGAAGGTACACTACGAATAAGCATATTACAATATTACATATGTATGTGATGCGATCCCGTCCGGATTTATGCAGCGCCCAGCAGTGCTGTCAAAGCACGCTTGTAGTCGCCCGAGGTCTCCGCCTGCAAGAGAGTGGGAGATAACACAGATTAGAGCACTTTCAGCCGGGACAATAATCTGGGCAATTTTGAGGGGGCAACAGGGGGCAACTACCAACAATACTTACGTCCTAGCACAACACAAACACCGAAATGGAAATGGAAACGGAAAGGAAATGCAAAACGTTAACACGTGGAACGAACTGATTGCCGTGCGTGGGAATGACATCCATCCCCAAGGACATTTTTTCACTTACCACCACAGCACTGAGCAGAGTGCGATTGTAGATGCGCTCAAACTCCAGCTTGATCGTCTCCAGATCAATCTCGGAGCGGCACACAATAATCCGTATAAGGGTGGAGTCATCCGTGCCAGCGCCATTCATGGCCTTGTACAGCCGATTCGCGAAGAAGGCCGCCGGCGATTGAACGCATTCAACTAGGGGGTGGGGCAGAGGTGGTGGTACATTATAGTAGATGATTCAATACAGGATTCAAGGAGTGCGCATACCTATGGCCATCATGGCCTCGTGCAGCTCATCGGACATCTCGTGCTTGATGGCCTGCTCGATGGTCTGGCCGGAGAGCTCCTTGTACTCCTCAAAGACGAGCCGCAGCTGGGGGAAGCTGGCATGGGACATGATACGATTGAAGATCTCCTCGTCGGTGCCCAGCTTGGCCTCGCCAGCGGCATACAGCTGGCTGGCCTGCTCCTTGGCCTCGGCCGCATCCACGGGTGTATTGAGGCCATCCCTCACCCCGGTGACGATCAGGGTGAGCAGGCGGCGAAAGAAGCCAGATGTCTCGCTGCACATCTGCTCGGCCAGCGGACGCTGGTACTTGTTCTCGTAGGCCTCCACAATCTGGTGCATCTCCTCGTTGCTCTTCGTGCACAGTATCTCCACGAGGGTGCCCTCCTCGGTGCCCATGCCGGCCATGGCCGCGTGCAGCTGCTTGCACAGATACTCCACGGGCGGCATCATCATTGCCACAATCACATCCTCGAACGCACCGCCCAGCTCGCTCTTCAGGTCATCCACCAGATCCCGCTCGAATTCCGTGTCGTAGACTGAACGAATCAACTGACGCTGGCCGTTGCTCCTGTTGGCGAGCACATCGATGATTTCCTGCTCATCGGTGCCAAATCCCTTCATGGCGCCCCTCAGGGTCTGGGCATCGGTGGCCGCATCGAAGGGGGCGGCAGCCACAACCGTGGGCACAGGCTGTATGACGCATAGGTTTTGTTATTCGGTTATGACAGCGCCCAATCGATACTACCAGAGGAGTGTGATGGAATCCCACTGCCACTGTCACTGCCCACTGTCCCTGCCCTTACCTTGTAATCCATTGAGATTCTTGCAAGTACTGTTTAATCGGAATGGCGAAATATATGTGTCAAAACAATTGCAAACTTTCGCAACGTTTCTCTTTTTGCTGTTTTTCCTACTGCTGCTGCTGTTTCTGCTGCTTCCGATGTAGCCGCTCGTGCATTTATTTGTGTGTGGTGTTGTCTTCTCGTTTGCACTTGTCTACTTGGGCCAGAGACGAATGTCTCCCACTGTCTCAGCGCTAGTGCTGAGAGCGCAAGCTATGGGCAAAGCTTTCGAGAGCGCGACTTGGCAAGCTTTCAGTTCGGTTTTTGGTATGGAATGTGCCGTTGCACTCTGGCATGCCAGAGCAATGGAATCATCTGGATGGTTGGCGTTGCCAGCTAACACAGAGGAGACCCCACCAAAAAAAGCGCACAGCCAGAAGATCAACGTTTGTCGGATCGCTATCAACCTGTTCTCGCCCCACTTGTACTCAATTATCTCGGTGTCTCTGCTGTTGTATTTGTTTATGTAGATATTATCTTTATTTAATCTCGTTAAATAGGCTTCGCTCTAATACATTTACATGCTGCGGCGCTCGCTGGCTCGCTCTCTGTCTTTCAATTGGGAGGAGCTACTGTGCTTGTTCGTTCTCCATTTCCTTTACATTCCATCAGATTTAAGCTTAATTTGTTTTGTATCGAATATATAATATATAAGTATTTAATTTATATGTTGCTCTCTTTCTCTCTCTCATACTGCTGCCGATAATGCATTCCATCGAATCATAGATCTGATCTGATCGGATCTGATCTGCTTACACACTTCGTTCTCATTAGTTGCACGAAAATAATAGGAGAAGTGTATCCAAAATGTGGAGAATAAAACCAATATCTAATAATACAAAAAATAAATTACAATATCAATCAAGGATGGGCTGAGACCTTGGACTACACACGGATAAATTCAATTTCCCTTTCTTGCTTTACATAATTTCTTTCTCTTTCTCGTTTTTTTTTTATATATGTATATGAATACTTTTCCTATTTTCTTTCTTTCTTTAGAATTTCATTCAATGACCTTTTCTAATGCACATTATTGCTGGTTGGTTTTTGTTTTGTTTTTTGTTTTTGCTGAACTTGAATTGGAGAATGTTTTTTGTTGTTGTTTCTGTATGATTGGTTCTGGGCTATACACAACTATGGAGCGGGTTCACACATAATAGTTAATGGATAAAAAAAAAAAACGCACACAATTTATATAAAAATTACATTCCACTGGGGCTTGAGAGGGGAAGAGCTTCTTCTTTCCGTTCAGTGAGGCCCAACGAAAGGAGGGAGAGGTTACAGAAATCGCAGAAATCGTACCAGTTATCAACAATCGACTATCAGCTATCGTCCCAACATCAACATCATCATCATCGGTTAAGGCCTGTTCCCCGGGGGGCACCGCCTTAGACCTCGTCGCCCTGGTTCATCGTTAGCTCGCCGAGATGGGCATTAAATCGTGACCATTCATCCCGCGACGGTTGCGCCAGATGCTCAGCCACGTCATAGACATACAATTTGCCGGCCTCGTCACCAATGCAGACATGCAGTCCGGATGGTGTCCATGAGACACGATTGAGCGCCGGCGCACCGGCAACGACAATCGATGCTGTTGGTACTTCGGTATCCTGATTGAGATTCCACAAGTCAAGACGACCGCTACCATCGACAGCAGCGAAAAGTGCGGGATGAATGGGCGACCAGGCGACGTCCATCACATAATCCGAATTGTCCTCGAACGAGTACAACGGCTTTGTGTCCTGCAAGAGAGTAGGGTCTCAATTAAAGAAAAAACCTTCGGTATATATATAAAGAGAAATCGCTATCATACCTTGAGGGACCAGAGCTTGATGGTCCAGTCAATGGACGAGGTGAGGAACAGGTGGCCAAAGTCTGGCGACAATTGGTTGTAGTGCGTCGAGATGCCCGTGATGGGGCCCAAATGCCGTTCGTACACCTCATTCACCCCCGAACGCAGGCCGTGCCGCGAGGCCGAATAGACATAGCCATCCTCGCTGCCCATCACCAGACTGTTGATCTCATTGGCCGGGAATGCCATCGATGTGATGGCAATGGCCTTCGACTGGCGCTGCTGCAGCTCGAGCGTATCTTGGGGCTGTGACAGCATGTCCAGCGACCACGAGCACAGCTTGCCGTCCGACGATATTGAGATGACATTGTGCGCATTCTGTGTGCCCACCATCTGGAGACAGTAAACGGGATGTGTGTGCGCCGCCGCGCTCAGCGGCGTCCGCTGTATGGGCGTGCGCTTCTGCACGCGATTATCCCAGAGTACAATCTGGCCCGAGTAGGTGCCGCCGAGTATCAGATTGGGATTGAACTTGGCAAAGCAGGTGGACATCACGGCGCTCTGGCAATGGAAGACATCCTCGGGTGTGCTCTTCTTGAATTTGGTATTCCACACCATCACCACGCCGTCCGGCTCATTGGGGCTCTCCTCGTTGTTGTGATACGAGGCCACCACCAGCTCTGGGAAGTGTGTGGACCAGTCCATGCTGGTAATACACCGATTCTTCGACCATCGCTCATCGTAGAATACCCGATTCAGTGAGAGGCGTGCGTGCGAGCGCTCATCGCTGGTCTCCTCGCTGTCCCCACCGCCAATATAGTCCATGTAGATGTCCACGTTCTCCGACAGGGCCCGCTCGATGACACGTCCCGCACGCACCACAAATCTCTGAAAGTCCTCCGATAGTATGATCATCTGTTTCTGCTCCTCAGACAGTTCGTTGACTTGAAACAAGGTACGCGCGAGATATATATATAAATGAGGGAATATTCATTTGTATACGTTATACGTTATAAAAGTACTCACCCTCCTTCTTGATTTCGTGCTCCTTTTTGATCTCGAGCGGTGTTATGGCCGGCGCCACATCCTTCACCGTGGGCAGGCCATGGGTGAGAAAGCCGGGCGGCAGCTTCGATGAGAATCCATTATCCAAATGGGGCAGGGAGCTCTCTTCGTCATCTCCTTGGGCATCAAATGCAAGCACTGTTTAAGGTATAAAACTAACACAGCTAGAGGAATATGACAATCGACAGAACAGGAACAATTCTACATCTTCGCTTCATTTTCCCAATAGTGTTCAATTCTTTATCTTGCTTTGTCTTCATCTTTATATTTATCTTTTGCTAGGTAGGAAACTGCATAAATTCTTTGACTTTTGGCTTTGTCATTGGTTTTTTGTCGATTAGGTTGATCAGATTATGGTTAAGGTTGGTGTGGTGTGGGGACTTGAGGCTTACGGGTGCTTGGTTAAGAGAGAGACAGACACAGATGGCAGACACATACAGGAAGGAAAGAAACAGAGAGAGAGAGAGAGAGAGAGATAGGGAGAGAGACAAATAGGAAGGTTAGTTCGCAGCGCACGTCTCTGGAGCTGTTTTTTTTGTTGGTCTGGAGCTAATGCGGATGGGTGGGTGGGGGGTAAGTGTGGTGAAGTGCATGGTGGATAAGTGAAGCTGCTGGTGCTGGATATTTGGAGCTATTTGGAGTGGGTGTTTTTAGTGGGTGGCTGGGGGTGGTGTGACAACTATGCATGTGACGGGGTACGTGGCTGTTTGTTCACACCCACGAAGATAATATATATATATATACATACATATATATAGATATATTACAATGCATGTATGTATGTGTATGTGTGGTTTGCTGTTGTTTCACCTAATTAATATACAAAGCCAATTATACAAATAAAAATATTACAATTTTCTCGCCTTTTATGTTTTTTGATTAACTCTAAATGTATCGTTAGCCATCGTTATCGTTGCACGATTATATGACAACATTTTGTACGTATTTGTTCTCCACCCAGTTTATAATTTGCTTGCACTTAAAATTATTTAGTTTTTATGCTAGCATAAAATAATAATATACATCATATATTTAACACTTTAAGTTTAATGGCCGATTATTGATCGATTGGCGCTCGATTATTCTGTAATGCTGTGCTGTAAATTGAAGAGAGGGGTTTCATCAGGAGGAGCTGAGCTGAGAGAATGAGTGTGTGTGTGTGTGTGTGCGCCTGACTGTAGAGAAAAACATAAAGAGAGAGAGAGTGCAGCAGCAGGCAGCGGCAAACCCTAAGCACTGGCTAAATGAGGCCAGAAGAAGCCCCCCGTTTAGCCATTACTTCAAATGTTGAACTATCCTTCGCTTTCCCCTATAGCATGAAATAAAGAAAGTGGGTACCCGTTCCCCCCTTCCCCCCTTCTAGTCTTAGGATAGGCCCCCTTTGATGCTGCTTTTTGGTGAGAGGCGTTAGTATATAGTTAGGCATATTATGGGTATTAGCTCATGGACAATACGACGGGGCGGTCTGCAGGATGATTGACTCTCTCACACACACACACACACACACACAGGCACGCACCGTAGAAGGGTCTAGACTCTAGAGGCTGGGTGAGGGGTGTTTGGATCAGGAATGGGGAGCAGGACATGCAAACAGATTGATGATTTTGTTCGATCGATTGAGGGGGCTCTGACCGTTAGTATGTTGTGCGTTGTGTCTACATGTAAATCTTTCTTTTCGACTCTTTCTCAACACTGACCACTATTTTCCAACACTGACAACCACTCGAAGTACTGAATATTTGCAACGCGTTTCGATTCGATTCGATATTTTGATCTCTCTCTTGAATTTACTTTTGGATTTGTTTTGTTTTTTGGTTTTTGGATAGAATTGGTACGTTCCTATTTTGCTTCATGTCGATTCCGTCACTGTTTCAATATGGGCAGAGGCTGCCGGCCCTGGTTGGGGGCCAGTGGAGGCCTGTACCTACCTGTGAATTCATCCTCCCACTCTAAACCCGGATTAAGATTGTATTCATCTTGAAGAAATATAAAGAAATAAATACATTTTTACATACATTGTTGCTGTTTTGGGTTTTTTGTTTGTTGTTTGTTGTTGTTTGATTTAATTTGGTTACTTTTTGCTGATTTTTTTTTTGTGATTTAAAAAAAAAAAAAAAACAAAAAAAACAAACGAAACGAAAGAGAGTAAAAACAAAATATAGTTTTGGCTCTGCATACCGCCCATTAATTAATAAGAGATCGATAGTCAATGTTTGTTTAAGCTAAATGCAATAACGTATAAGAAAAAAGTGAGGAAATGTTTTTAGTGTGCTTAATATTTGCTGAATTTTTGCTAAAATGAGAGATCACACATGGGCGGGCACATATAGAAAGATATATAAGTATGTATATACGAGTATATATATGTATATGTATAGCACACAAGCCTGGCTTATGATGGGTACACAAAAAATAGGCTAGCAGTGGCAGGACAGGGTAGGGCAGGGCGAGGACAGATCAGGGCAGGGCAGAAAGTTTATCATACAATATTAAATACGTATCCAAATGTTTCAACTGATGTATCAGATATAATTACTATAGTTCATACGGATTGAGGAGTCTCTTCTTCTGTGCTTTTTGCTTTCACATGCAAATATTTGGTGTTTTTTTTTTGGGCTTACAAAATATCATAATAGACTTAGAATACTTGGAAGTAGGGTTGGGGAGGGGGGGACTCCAAAATAATCATCATCGACTAGTAGCTATAAATAGTGTGTATGATAGATCATAAATGGGTATACAAAATACAACTTGAAAGAGAATTTCTTCCTCGAAAACTTAAAACTGTCATATAAAAAAATAAGCAAAAAAAACGATTAAAAACAACTGTTATACGAACATAACATAGCCCTACAAAAAAACTGTTATACATAAACTAATATGCAATAAATTCGATGATCTTAAAAAAAAAAAATAATATCACAACTTAAAAATGCATACGAAAACTAATTATACGAAATAAAATTAACAAAAACAAATTTGAAAAAAAAAAAAACTTATAAATTGGGTGGAGATTAACAAATTTGTTGATTTTTGTTCGATTTTTGTTTTTACGATTACGATTACGATTATAAAATGGCTCTGATACAAACTGAATATCTGTGGCGATGTGGTTCTAGAGCTAATTTGAAAAACAAATCAATTATATAAATCATAGAATGTATATATATATATGTCATATATAGATCAGATATCAGTTATGGGAGAACAAATCAAGCGACCGAATCGGAAACGAAGATCAAAGAAGAATTTTCTACGATAGTTTAAAAGCTACCAAAAAAAAAACATAAAACCATATACTACTACATATACATATATTTGTAGGTATATATATATAAAAGGAGGGGGTTTGGGGGATATCCATATAATACGTATCAGGCATAATATAGGCAGGACAACGCAAGGCGGGGTGGGGTGGGGTGGCGGAATGGTGTGTAAGAGTGGGAAACGTGGTTGGAAGAGAGCAAAAGAAAACTACACACAAAATATACATAGATACAAATAGTACATAGATCGGTGTAGTAGCAGTAGTAGCTATAGGGTATAGAGGGGCATAAAGTATATAGGATCTACATATATATATATATATATATATATAGTATAAAGGCATACGATACGGTTTACGGTTAACGCTTTTTACGATTTACAAGTTACTGTTACTTTTGGTTTTACATCTACAGAGTCTGAAAAGTTGTCGGGTACAAAAATTACGGATAGAACGTAGGCTACTCACCATAATAATCCGTAGCATGAGCTGCAGTTTTTTTTGCGTGCGTGCCAACAACAGATAAGGGGAGGGGGGAGAGAGAGAGAGAGAGAAATTAAATTGACAAATTATTAAATGCGCTACAAAATGTATGCTCTAACGATGGATGGTTGGGGCGGGTGATGCTTGGGCGGGTGAGGAAATGGAGCGAAAAAACAAAAATGATAATGATATAATGATGTTAGTGGTGTTGTAGTGGTGGAGTTGAGGGGTTGGTGGGTTGGTCAAAAACGTAACGAAAGAGAATGCCTTTAATGATTGTTGTTGATCCAATCAAAGCCAAGCCACAAGAAGCCACGCTCGCAACATGATAAATAGCATTTTTTGATGATTTACGACGTTTATACGAGATCACACTCCCCGATCTGCCACTGCCCACACCCCACAATCAATTTTGGTTTGCTGCCGATTCGTATAAACGTTGCAACGTTTTTGGCTCTTTTCTAAGTATTTTAACATTACAAAATATTTGTGTGTGTGTGTGTGTGTGTGTGTGTGCTGATCTGATTTGTAGTAGTTGTTATTGTTGTGGAATTTGCTTATAATTAAGATTAGTACCTTTACGTGGACGCCACCAATCCTCCATATATCCTGACAGAGGCGAGGAGTGGCAAGAAAGAACTGTATTTGTTATTTTTATTTCACTATGGATTGCTCGTATGATTTATCTTTCAGGACACGGGGTGGAATGGATTTTTCTTTTGTAATCTTTTTTTTTTGTTTTACTCAGGGGGGAACGAGATAAAGCGCAGAAGCCGAATGTGTCTAGTTATGGGTTAGGGTTAGGTTAAAGGTAGCATGCAGCAGCCAGACTTTAAGCAACAGAGAGACGACTGTGTGTATGTGTGTGTGTGAGATCCCTTTTAACAAGAGCAAACTTAGACCAGAGAGATAGAGAGAGGGAGAGAGAGACATAGCGAGTATATACAGAGACAAGTTAAGTTAACATTGAACAACAGTGACCCAGAACAATGTAAACTTAACAATAACGATAGATGGAAACAAACTATGGATAGTGGTTACAGTAGTAGCTTCGTTTATGGCCATTTTGCCATTCTGCCATTTGCTTTTTGCTTTTGTTTAAAGTGTACGCACCATCACGCTCATGTCCCCCGGTGCTGGTCGTTTGTGTTTGTTTCGTGTAGACCAGGGTCTCCTTTGGTGGAATGTTCGTTGCTTGCACATTGTAAACGCTCAGATTCAAAGGCTGTTGTTTCTTACCGCCACTGGTAGAGGGTAGAGAGAAGGAATATAAATATAAAAGTATATTCAATTAAAGCTGGGGGCCGGGGGAGCAACAACAAAAAAGTAGCTCACTTTTGACCATTGACAGTGGCCTGAAGGCTGGCGTCGGGTGTCTGTGTATTGGAATTTTCCGACGTCATTGAGTTAACCGATGACAGAGACGACAGCACCTCGGAGACAGGTGCCACGCCCAGGGACGACAGCATTTCATCCAGATCTCTGTTGGGCGGAAGGGGGGAGGAGAACATTCACTGTGTACTTGAGTTGGGTTTTTATTCAAATCCAAAACTCACTTTCGCTGATCTTTGTCTATGCCAGCGCCACCGCCAATGCGTCCGGCCGCCTCTTCCATATCTTTAATCTCCTTTTCCCTCCGCCGACGATCCTTCTCCTCGCGTAGGGCCGCCAATTTGGCCTTTTTTCTTTCCAGCTCAGCCTTGCGATCCATTTTTATTTGTTTGTTTGTTTGTTTGCTTGTTTAGTTTTTCTCGAGGTCTCTCTGAGTGTTTTTGGATGTGAATTGCTCTTGGAATTGGGTGGTGCTTCCTGAGGGAGGGATGGTCGTCGGCTAGAAGCTACTGAAGCGGGATACTCTGCAAGGGATAATACATGATGATTAATGAAGCATATTTGATGATACAATCAATGGTTATGGCCGTCGCCTTAACCAATATTGGTTGCTTTGATGATGTCACCAGTTGGCCAAATACTCAGAAAAAAAAACCCTCTTTCTATGTGTGTGCGTGTCCACTAACTCTGTGTTCGGTGCGGTTCGGTTTTTGGTGTCCAATTGCACATTTAAATAATCACTTGATACGCCATTACACATTCCATATTGGTCTTTGACTCCAATTCTAATCAGAACATCTGTCACCAACACGCGCACATTCCCTTTCTTTGATGCAAAAAAATCAATAAATCTAATGCACCCCACAAAATGAGAGTTTTCATTTTCGCTTCTTTTCTCGTTTCATAGATTTTGTTGCATTCCAAATATTTATGATTCGATGAATAGCTTTATGGACCCACCTCTTGGCGTTCGTTAAACGTTCAATTTTGGCAATTTAGGTACTTAAATTAACATTTTTCAACTATGTAAAAATTCAATGTTTTGACCAGTGTGACCGCGGACTCGTCGATCAAATATACCACCTGACCCTCAGAAATATACTATCTAATCTTTAAAATATACCGTAAATATACCGAGGAATAAAACGAAATTAGCCCACACTGTTAAGCACATGTTGAACTTAACAGCGAGAAGTCTTACCATGTTATGATTGCTGTTAGTTAATATATGCGTTGCGCGTTTCGGGGGCGGGCAAGTGAAACCATAAGAACAATAAGAACCTGCCGCTGGAAATAGAAAGCTGACTAAGAATGCACTAATGTACAATTAATCATTGTCTTTAATTTATGCCATCAATGCCACACCGGCCCCACCTGCTGTTGTCATGCTGTCTGTAGTGTGGCCCTCCAGCGGCAACATGCAAACTGCATACCTGTTTACCGTTAGTCGGTTGTGTGTGCATGTTTGTGGGTGTGTGTCGGTGCATGCGTGAGCAAATGGCGTTTTTGATATTGTTTGTAAAACGAATGACCTGTTAATTACCCCGTCCTGACCAAACCCAAAATGCCACAAAATGCATCGGAAACTTTTCTTTGGAGTGGGAGACTATTTTTGGCGCATTTCCATTTAAATGCCAACATTTGATGACCCATAAACTATATTACAGTCCGTATGCCTTTTGGTTTCTGTTGTTTTGTCTTTTCGTTAATTTCGTAACATCATTGGACAAACCGGACTGGAAGACGATCCCAGAGCCATCCGAGCCGATGTTGCCAGTTAAAACCTTGAATTACCAAATCTTTAAATGATTTTATTTTTTTGCTCCAGGCTGATAAATCTCCATAGGGATGGGGAAACCAATGTGCCGGTTGGCCTGTGTCTCCATCAGGATGGAAGAAACGATAAACATATATATACATATGTATATGTATGTATGTATATGTCGCTAATTGCAAACGCAAAGCAAAGCGGTTCGTTTAATACGATTTTTATTCGTGATTAGTTTACAAATTAATTTGCCAATTGAATTTTAGATTTTTGCTGGTTTCTTAGAATACCGAACGGCAACGGACGGTCGGTCGGTTGGTCGATTGAGAGTAAAAGTGTCTGGTTAATTAAGTTTGAACCCAAACTAGTTTCTATCTCATCTGGTTTTTGCCACCGCCGCCGCAACAACAGATGCCATCCGATTGGATCGTATCGGAGATCGCATCTCTCAAGGACAACTGGTTTTGGGAACATTGCGTGTCGTATATTTAGCATATATATGTATATATTATGTATATTACCAACTATCATCGGACATTTCGTTTTGATTTCCCCTGTGACACAGTTTTCCCACCAGCCAAGGAACACCTCTCAATACATCCCCTCCCTTCCCAAAAACCAGGTCCTCGTCAAGGCTGCGAAATTGCTGGAAGGGCAAACTCTGCCGGCGACTCTGACCGGGGCATCTGCCACTGGGAAAGGCTCCACCGGCTAGGGGAATGGAAAGGCTGCACCTTCACTCACTTCTTTTTTTCTCTCTTTTTTTGGTAATCGCGAGAGTTGTTATCGTATGCGTTGATTGTTCGTTTTGGCTTAATTCGTTTTGGGGCTTTTGTGATTCGGGTTTTTATTGCTGTAAACGACATTTGCATGCGGCCCATCAAGCCAAGCCGCTGGTAGCGTTGGCGCATATGAATGTGGCTTGCTGGCGGTTTTTGTTTTGTTTTGTTTTCGGCCACATCCACAGCATGTACTCCCTGGAACTGTTCATGCTTGGAATACCCTAACCCAGAGTTGTACCATGTGGGCGTATGAGTGGGATGGATTTCCAGGCTCTTCCAGGCTATGCTCTCTCGCTCGCTCTGTCTCCGAGAACAGAGAACAATCTAACGGGAGGCGAAGCTTCTAGAGTTGCATTGAACACATGTTGGTGAGAGAGAGAGAGGTAAGGGTAGGTTACTGCTGATTCATTACAACTTTACGCTCTTCCCACATCATCACATATCGATGCCCTAAGCCAAAGCTGCATTGATCACATATACATATGTATGTATGTATGTACATGCTTGCAAGTTATGGGAACGCATGAGTGTGCCACTCTCCGACCCGAGCTTCCTTGTGGCATACTCTACCCAGCTACTGCACTGACGCCCTGAGCATACATGTGCTGCTGCCGGGTTTAGTTGGCAGGTGGAAGGGTATGCAAAGCTCGACTTGCTCCTCTCACTATTTGGTTTCATTACATCTTTGTCTCGCCTTTCTTTGCCACCTTCCCATTCCTTACCTTCCCCTGCCCCTCCCCCTGCCACTGCCCAACCTCCACAGTCGTTTCCATCGGCCAGGTTAAGTGGCGGCACCCTGCCTCTGCCCGTGCCCCACCTCAGAGCTGTGTGCTGCTGGCGCTGCCATTGCTCTGCCGCGGCCGGCAACGGCGTCGGCGTCGTCGCAGCGTCTCCCGGGGCCGGTGAAAAAGTCTTGAAAAGTGCGCCTCTCTGCCGTTCCGTTGTTAGTTTAAGTTTAACCATCGCACCGCTTGAGTCGCGATCCAGTTGCTCAGCAGTTCCCCTCTTCCTGGAAGGACCCGCCGTCACAAACTCGTGTGCTGAATTTTTTTTTTGCTATTCCCTGGAATCTGCATAAATCCACAAAATGAAATTATTTTTATGTGCCATTGCTGTGACGCTTTGTGTGGCAGCGACAAGTGAGTGTTGAACATAAATGCTTAATCGGTGATCGATGATCGTTGATCGTTGTGGATCGCAGGAAATTTCGGTATCGGTGTCGGGTGTCGGTCGGGTGGTATCAGTAATATCCAAATTGTCTTGTCTGTCTGTTTATTTGGCTAAAAAATACACCCGCAGAAATCGCAACTTGTTGCTAATTATTTTGACATTGACACCAAATCAACATTATAGGCTTAAGCTCTTATTTTCCTGGCCCCAGACGAACGAATGACATTTAAAGTGACTTGAAATGTGGTAATGGCGATGGCGATGGCGACGGCGACGGCGACCCAACCTTTCGAGAAGTTCCCCAGATACAGACGCAGATCCATAAACGGTTTCGAGGCGGGGCATAACGAGATGAGGAGTGAAAACCGGCTGCTGACTAGGACTGGGTCTGGGAAAACTGGCTGCTGCTGGGATTGCCAAGCCTAAAAAGCGGTCGTTGTTTGGCTGGAATTGTGGATTATGCAACTCTTTGCCGTCGCGATGCCATCGCGAACCACATAGCCACAGAGATGCACAAACTGTGACTGTCACAGATATTTGCAGTGAAGTGACTGTGACTTTAAATCGTGATTCGATTTTGGGTTTTCGGGCTTACAATTGCTTCAAGATATTCCCTAAAATTTTCAATATTGCTAGCAGCTTCTAATTGAAATAAACATTTCCCCCAACGTTACGTTACTCTGTTAAAAGTTTTCCCCCCCTCTCCCACTTATTGGTATGGCAAGCAGGAAACCGCAATAGCGGAATTGCTATCGACTGTTCGATCATCGGTCACGTTGCTGTTACACTTTTCCGTACCATGGAAAAAGTGAAAGTGTGAAAAAAAAAAAAACGAAAAAAAAAACAAGTTGACTGAACTCTTCCCGTCTGTATATTTTATTTCTTCCTCGATCTCTAGCTGTATCCGGTGCCGGCTTCGAGTGCCCCAAGCCCAATGGCCAGTTCGCCGATGAGATCCAGTGCGACAAGTTCCATGTGTGCGAGGACAATGTGCCCAAGGCGAGATTGTGCCCAGACGGTTTGGTCTTCGATCCACAGAACCGCAAGTTCAACAAATGCGATCAGCCCTTCAATGTAGACTGCGAGGATCGTACAGAATTGCGTAAGATAACGGGACACTAGAATGATATCCGTTGGGATGCTGGTTATTAATTGATTTCCATTTATAGAGGAGCCCAAGTCCAGCAAGTATTGTCCGCGCAAGAACGGGTTCTTTGCCCATCCCGATCCGGCTGTGTGCAACATCTTCTACAACTGCATCGAGGGCGACGCCCTGGAGACCAAGTGTACCGTCGGCCTGCACTTCGATGAGTACTCGGGCACCTGTGTGTGGCCCGATACGGCCAAGCGTGAGAACTGCAATCCCGAGCAGCGTAAGTCCTTTGAGCCGCCTTCCGAGCTGGGACTTTTGACTGATGCGTTTCCCAACATTTGGCTTTCGTTTTCCTCCTCTCTCTTCATCCATATTATAGGAATGTCTGAGACTGGCTTCGAGTGTCCCAAGGATCAGCCCAAGACCGATGATCGCGGCCAGGTTGTGACCCATCCCAAGTATCCCCATCCCACCGATTGCCAGAAGTTCTACGTCTGCCTGAACGGCGAGGATCCGAGAGATCTGGGCTGCCAGCTGGGCGAGGTTTACAACGATAGCACAGAGATGTGTGACGCTCCCGAAAATGTGCCCGGCTGCGAGGACTGGTACAAGGATGTCGATGACAAGAAGGACTAAGCCGGCTGTTGTCCAGCGCTGCCCGCCGATATAAGCCCCAAAACGCGTCTCCTCCACTTCCACTCTCCTATCCATCTACACACTACACGCTACACGCACGACACCCTGACACCCTTACACCGCCCCCACAGCTACACAGTCACACTCATACACACACACACACACAAAAATAGACACTGAGAAAAAGGATTCGCGTCGTAGTCACTTAAAGTTAGTAGTTCTAGCCCATTTCCTATAGAGCGTACATACATATTGTATGTATGTATGTATGTATGTGTAGCAGTTAAACTATAATCCTCACTGTCTCACTGTCCAACTGTCTGACTGTCTCACTGTCCCTCACTGTCTCGTTCTTTCCGTTCTATCACGCTATATAATTCTTCACTTTCTGTGTCTGCCTGTCTACGCCTGTCTATCTCTGTGCCCAACTGAATCTACTGCCAAAATTGTTGTGTATATATTTCCCCCTCCCCCTACTATTTCTGACTTTCATTTAATTATTATACAAGAAAATAAACTGATTTTTTTTATAAACTACACCTGCAACCTCTTCTATATTCTATCCTTGCACTTCCTTCAACTATTTCTGTTCTTTACTATTCTGTATTCTATCTCCACCTCCCACCTCTGTCTTAGCTGTTTCTGTTTCTGATCCTCCAAGGCTATGAGATCTCTCTGATCATATGTTGCTCTATTCTATTCATCTATGGATATTTCACATGCACATATATGTATCTCTAGTAACAATATCTGTACTGTATCTTTATGCTTACCAGTTTGACATGCGAAATATTCTCTATGTTATTTGCTTGCTCTAAGATCTACAATTGTATGCAATCTTTTCTGTTTCTCCTAAAATAACTTCGATTTCTATTTTGTTTCTATGAAATCTAGTTAACTATTTTCCATTACCTCTTCTTGGTATATTGAAGCAACTCTTCTTTGTATTTTAAACTATTATGATAGACTTTATGCCTAACTTTCTATTTTCTTTTGTGTTTCTACAACTGTTTCTATGAGACTCCTTTTTTCTGGTATAACTTTTCCTGAAACCTATCCCGCAGCCATTCTAAGAACTCATCATCACTTGGGACTATCCTGTGAGCTTTCTCGATCTGTACCTGGATAACATTTATCTGTTTTATCTATTTCAACATCATTTTTTTATTCATCTTTCTATTCGTTTTTATTCTTTGACTGAAAAAACTATTCTCTATCTTGTTTATCTGAAGCTTAAGACCCCCGACTGTTAGTCTGCCATCTGAATGGATCACAGACACACTTTAAATTCATTTTTTAATTAAAATATTATTTCAAAACTGAAGGAAATCTTGTGTGTTGTGTTTATCTTGTTTGGAAATGGATACGGGATGGCTGCATATCAGAGATCATCTGTGTCGAATAATCAATCAATCAAGCCTTTCACTTGGGACGCAACACTCCAGCACAGACAGGCAGGAGGGGGTGGGGATGGGGATGGGGATGGGGCTAGGGTGATCTATTAACCCTTTGTTGGGACAGGGCACACAAAAGAGCCGTTAATTACCAGAGTGGGCAAAGCGGATTGCCGCAAGCGAAACAAATCACAAGAGCAGCAGAGCCAAAAGAAACAACAAAAAAAAAGGCTGCAGGCAGAGCAGAGCAGCAGATCTGTTGGATTATGCAATAACCACAGCAGCACAGCAGCAGCAGAGGCCAAAAGTTTTGCAATAGTTAACAATGTAACGGTAATCGGCAAGCAACAAACGGGACAAGAGCCAATCATGAATGAAGCTTGCACTCTGTTCGAGCTTTGCCTTTTACTTTCAATCACATACTCGTGCATGCCTGCTGGAAGCTTACCCCAAATCACGTTTTGCATGCAACAGCAGCAGCTAGCAGCAGGCAGCGATGACCACATTACAACACCAACAACAGCGGCAGTGTGAAAAATAACAGGAATACCAACAGCAGCAGCAACAACAGGCCAACTTCAATTTCAACAACAATAGTAGGTTCAACAACAATAGTAGGTTCAACAACAATACCAATAAAACAGTTACACCAACAAAAGCAAGGAAAGAAGTTGCAACAACACCGTACAGCTACACCAACAGAACAAAAGTTACAACAACATTAGAATGATCAGCAACAAGAACAACAATTCCAACACCAAGCACTATAACACCACAGATTTAACAACACCACCACAGCCCGAAAACAGTTACAGTTACATTAACACCAACAGCAGTAGGCACACAACATGCCCGCTGCCGCCACCCCCCAATTTCCACCCACTCTGCTTTGCTTATTTCTCCACTTCCCATCTCGGCCACCCACCAAATATCTCAAACTCAACAACAACAACAACAATGAAAAATCCAAAGCTTTTGCAAAACTTTTTGTCGTTTGTTGGTTGTTGTTGTTTTTTTTTTGTCGTTTCTGTTTTTCTGTCGACGTCGCTGCTTGCTGCCGCTGTTGCTGTCTGCCGCTACCGCCTACCGCCTACCGCCGCTTGCTTCTTCTTCTTGGAGTCCGGTATAAATCTTTTCAGTTGAGTTTGGAACGCGTAACCGTTAAAACGTATAAAAGCCACTTGGAGCGAAAGTTTCAGTTTATTTTTCGACACCTATTTTTTTTTTGCGCGCGCGTGTTGAATATTTGAAATTTTGTTGTTGTTTCTGTGCTCCTGAGTGTGTGTGTGAATTTCCGTTTTTGAATTTCCGCTCTTTCCCAAAACCCATCAAACAAAAAGGCACAAAGTGTTCAATATGCAGCGAGTTCTAGCATCCAGTATCCTGGTCCTGTCCTGTCTAACAGCTGGTGAGTATTCCAAAAGGGCCTGTTGGGGGGTGGGGGGGGTGTTGTCTTGTGTGCTTGCACCATTAACATAAACCATTCGCCCAGACATTCGCAATTAGCGCAACCTTTCAATTACGAAGCATGTTTTGCTTTTACTTTCAAAAATTCCAATTGCAATCGCGTGAAGTGGTCATAGACGGTCGCCAGACCAGAGACCATAGACCATAGCCCGTAGACCCGTAGACCTACCACACACACACACACACATACACACATGCCGCCACCGTTAGGCTCTTTTGTTCTCAGCTCAGTAATAAAACCGAAATACGAAATATGGCAAGCAAAATCCAGTTTAATTACTGGTTTCAAGCGAAGGCTAGGCCAAAGATTAGTTACCTGACTGCTCCAATTGGTAGATACTTAACCCTGAGACAACGCCATGGCGCAGGCGTAGGGTAGGGGGTTGTTGGACCTGTGGCTTGGCTTATTGCTGATTTGGCATGCAGATCATGTGCGCTCGATCACTTTTGCTTTTTTGTTTTTGCTTGTTTGTGACTCACGACTCAGCGTAGAGAAGGGCATGGGCTGGGCCTGGAAACGATCCTCCAGCCTCAAATCTTCACTTGATCATCGATACCAAATCAAATCAAAAATCATTTCCAGCCATTTGGTGCTTGGCACCACAAGTATCAGTATAAATATCGGGAATCGCAAGCTCTCAATTTAATGAACTAAAACAAATGCCAAAGACCGCCCGCCCGCCCGGTCAAAGTAGAACTGGGGCCCGTCAAACCAGTTGACAATTAGCCAAGAATATAAATAAAACAAAAGACTTGCAAAACAATCACTTGATACGATCTAGATACGAGCCCAGCCGACACGACAAGTTTCAGCCAGCAAAAGGTTAGAAAACGAAATGGATTAGCCATAACAATTAGCCTGTATTTAATTCAAATATCATTCAAGACATAAGTAACCTTTGGCATGATCTTATACGATCTGCGAACAGTTTAGATCAGTTGAGGAGATCATCCGGCGACCTGTTGCAGCATCGATTAACTTTCGTTTCGGCATTTTCACCCCGCGAGAGAGTTTTCCCAGCACACTTTTTTGTGCCAGACAAATTACCGGAAATCTTCACAGATTTAAATACACTCATTCGTACACACACACACACACATTGTATGCGTCGGTGTCTGTGTTTGCTTTTGTTTTTTTTTGTCGGCTTTGGGCTTTTGCTCTGAGCAAAGTGTTGGCAGACAGGTAGGCAATCAACCTGTTACCCGATCTCGATGGTGGCATCGGCATTCCAAGCGATACCCAGCGGGGCGGTTACATCACGTTACGGCGCCGCACATTTGCCGCTAGACGGCGACGCGACGCGAAGCGCCGCGAAGATGCGCGAAAGTGTCGAGACGGTGGCGTCACTTGCACTCGCACTTCCCATCCCAAAAACCAGTTGCACGCCTCCGCCCCCACCCATGTTGGCAAGTGCGGAAGGAAGGCAGGAAGGAAGTGGCTGCCAGCAGCATATCCCACTTGGCTGCCACATGGGTGCTGCTGACACTTTCCGCAGCTGCAGCAGCAACTGTCAAAATGATCCGATTAAATAATCGAAGATGTTCGATCGATGATTTGATATTTATCGATTTTTGATTTATTTAATTTCATTTATTTTTAAATTTTTCTATTACCAGGACATGCTTTGGCCGTAGGCTCACCCGAGTGCCCCGAGAAGTACGGTGAACAGGCGTATGCCCACACCGAGAACTGTGACCAGTTCTTCCTCTGCACCAATGGTACCCTGACCCTGGAGACCTGCGAGAATGGGCTGCTCTTTGATGGCAAGGGCGCCGTCCACAATCACTGCAACTACAACTGGGCCGTCGACTGCAAGGGCCGTCAGTGGGATCGTGAGTAGTTGCGGTACATCCGATTTGGTTAACTTGAAATTGAAATTGAACCACTGCACACAGCCACTCCGATCTCCTCGCCGGGCTGTGAGTATCAGTTCGGTTTGTATGCGGTGTCCAAGGACTGCGCCACCACGTACATCAAATGCGCCCACGGCGAACCCCACGAGCAGGACTGCGATGCTGGCCTGGCCTACGATGAGCGCATCCATGGCTGCAACTGGCCCGACCAGCTCCTCGAGCACTGCAATCCCGAGGGTAAGATCAACTCAAAGCTCACACCCGGCACTCTCTCTCTTTACGATCGTGTGTTCACAGCTGTCGTTGGCTTCAAGTGCCCCACCAAGGTGGATCCAAATTCGGTGGCCGCTCGCTTCTGGCCCTTCCCACGCTTCCCCGTCTCCGGGGACTGCCATCGCCTGATCACCTGCGTGGAGGGTCATCCCCGTCTCATCAGCTGCGGCGAAGACAAAGTCTTCGATGAGCACACGCTCACTTGCGAGGAGCCCGAATACGCCAGCGGCGGTTGCGCCAACTACGGAAAGTAGAGATCCATCATCGGACGTCGTCGTCGTCGTCGTACGATCTCTGCTGGGATCGGCTCTGTATATAAATACGTACATATGAAAAGCTCAATAGCTCCAGCTCTCCAGCTCCGACTAGCTGTATCAAATCCACTCCAATCTATTTAGCTCACCCTCTCTTGAGTCTTTTTTTTTCTTCCTGCACGCGTATGCCGTATGCCTTTCGCACTGTCCCGAATTTCCTAGCGAAAAGAAACCCAAAACCTAATTAAACAAAATATTGCATATAGTAGTTTTGCCTATTAACATTGTCGTCTATCGTTCTTTCTTTCTTTCTGTATTTAATTCACTTTTTGTTGTTCTTTGGGCTCCCTGTTTTTGTAAATGAATCGCAATAAAGTTAATTTTATTTATTGTAATACTTTTCGGGGAACAACTCCGGGCTTTCGGTATGTTGGGTGTGCTTATTTTGCCAGCTTTAATAGTGTCATAGCAGCCAGCCTTGCAACTGTCACTTTTCACACAGTTTCGACTAGGTATGCTGCACCCCCCCGCTCACCTGATACACATCCCATCAAAGTGCACTGCAAAGTGTTTTAATTCAATGTGAAGCAATGTCAGAAAGCGAATCTCATACTAATTGCTCACCATGTCCATCAACTCACACTCTCTCCCACACGCACTCTCTCTCGCTCGGTGCAAACAGATGACACCAAGAGAGAGACAATAAACTGCAATGGCATATACCGTGGGATGTCGCAAGGCAATGCGATGGAATGGTGCAGACAACTTCATTTTAATACTAATCAGTTGCCAATAGAGAAAAAATAGCATGTATCCCACCTCGAGTGCACTCTCTCCTTCTGTCATTGCAAGCAGTGCAGTGCAGTGCTAGCCGAGTGTGTGAGAGGGAGAGGCAAAGAGCGTAGCAAGACGTACAGGGAGCGCTGTCCTGCCTCTACCTGAAGCTAACGGTATATGTACGTATATGTAGATCCTACGGTTCCACTGTTGTTGTACCATGCCAATATTCAATAAAGTTTTGAATGCTACAATAATGGGTTTTGCTTTATTTATATATGTATTTTGAGTAGTTGATTTCTTGTACGAGTAAACGACATTTCCATCATACAGACATTCAGCTTAATTGTACAAGTAGTTTATTCTAAGTACATTGTGTGACATTCAAACATTAAACATACATACATATGCATTTAGCATGGGGCTGCCATTGGAGCGATCGATCAAAGGTGAAGCAATTCTTTGTAAGAAAAACCATTGGGTGGGTCACTAAATTTTGTTTGTTTCACGACGGAGGGCGATGTTTATATAGACACAGACGGAAATGGTTATTAATTTTGGTTGGTGGATTCTTACACAAATATTTTACTTAATTATATTTAGACTTAATGCGATCGGAAATGCTGCCCTTCGAGTGCATTGAATGCTTCATATTCCGAAACTGGAATGCGCCCACAATGGTATAATCCAACATAAGTGTATGGGCATTTCTCTGAGTGCCGAATGGCACGCATATGAAAAGTGGTAGAAAGAACAAAATGGGATTTTTAAAATTGTTTTACCATTATGACACGCCTTTTGACTAGCCCTATAACTGGTGCTAAGGTGGAATTTAGGCAAAAATTAGTTTTCGAGTTTTTTTGCCAAAAATCAAGCCATTCGAACGGCACAAATATGGAAGTGGTTTTCGCGGCGATCAATTTAAACTCATCAAAAATGATTCGTAGTAATGTTTTTTGTTTAAATTTAATTAAAACCTTTTTCGCACGGCACAAAATTTCCTAAGTTAATAACAGTTAAAAGTATACCGTTAACCGAAATTTAACCATTTTACTTGTATTTTTTTTAGATAGTTGAATATGCTAGAAATTTGTGGAATAAATTCTCTCAAGAATCATCATGTTTTTATAAAAGATTATAATAATAGAAAAAAGGACTAAGACAATAAGAAAATAACAAAACGTACCAAAAAAGTGAACTTTTGCTTATTTGAATAGGTTTTCACATCACATCAAAGTTAATAAAATTATTTGTCAATTGGGTTAATTAGTTGTCGTTCATTAAATTTAGACTATAGAATTATTATTAAATGGAAATGTGTGTGTTTAATAGACATTTAATTTGTTGGTCTCGTCAGAGAAATGCCCATATGTTTGATTTAGGGTTTAGGGATATTTGGAATAGGACGATCAATTTTTATTCTAACGATAAGAATATGGGCAAAGTAGTTTCCAACCGTGCGGAACAATACTTCGCCGGCCTAAAACTATCACATTAAAAATTCAAAATTAAACTTAAAATGAAGCCAAATGTGGGCGGCATCCGTTGAATACCTGGCTCAGTCGATCAGATGCCGTGCATGGTCCTGCGGAGTGAAGAATATGATCGCATAGATGAGGCCATCGCGCACCGATTCCGTCGGATTGCCCACATTGAACATGAACTTGACCCGATGGCTGTTCGCGTCGGGCACGCACGAGTACATCGGATACCAGCCAGTCTTGTTGAATACCACGTATATCTTGTAGATCTGATTGCGGTAGATGTACACGGGCCGGTCGAAGGTGATGTCCAGCAGCGAGTCATAGCGCACCCGGGCCGTGCAATGGGTGTAGGTGATCCGCGAGCCGTGCATATCCTGGATGTGGGCGTACAGAACCTCGTTGTAGCGTTCGGTGAAGCCGGCCGAGGTCATCAGTTCGCCGCAGAGTACACGCGTGGGCACTTGGACGCCCAGTATCCAGATGTTTGTGTCCACCTGGAAGGTGACACCCGCATCTGTGACGCTGGTATTGCGATAATCGAACTGACGTGTCAGCGAGCGCGTGCAGTAGGCTCGGACCATGTCGTTGTGTTGATTCCCGCCAGATTCTCCACCACCTCCAACGCCTCCACCTGCAACACCTCCTGCCACTGGGGGCTCGTTGTCATTGGCGTTGTTAGGTCCAGCGGGTGCGGCTCCTCCGCCCTCATAGCCATCGCCAAAGCAACGCAATGTGGCATGGCTGGCGGGATTGGCGCCAGGATTGTCTGCCACACTCACCGTTTCCGGTGCCCGCAGTCCTATGGGCATGATACCCTCCTCGCCAAAGACGCCCGCATTAATAGGGGGGGCGGGCGCGTCGGCGCGATTGTTGGTACGATGTATGGTGGCCCCCATGCGGGAAAAGAGCACCTCGCCCCCGTTGTTGCGATTCCCAAAAACCGGAAAGAAGGTGGCCGACGATGCGACAGCGGCTCCGGCATGCCTATACGAGGTGGACAACTCCCTCTGACGGTGTCCAGATTCGTAAAAGTTGCGAGTGCTGCGCGAGATGCAGAAGCCCTCGGGCATGTTGCAGTCGTTGAGGGTGGGACTGGAGATCTTGATGAGGATGGCGAGGGCCTCGTGCTGCTGCAGCAGCTTGGATCGGGCCGGTCCTTCGGCAAACTGCTGCGGCGTCATGGTAAGGAAACGTATCTTCTTGACGGCCTGCCGCAGCATGGCCCCGTCCATGATGGTGCGCTGGGCATCCATTATGTTGATCATGTTCACCTCATCGTCGAGGGCATTGCCGGAGGCATCGCTTTCAATGATGACCACATCGTCAGAGGCAGCGGCGTCAGCATCACCATCCGCCTCCGCATCGGGCGAAGATGTGGCGGCGGCCGCGGCAGCTGCTGACGAGGTTGAGGCTCCATTCGGGTCTGCCTCGAAGCTGTCGCCATCGTCATCCTGATGCATGTGCTGCACCATAGCGGCCACATCGGGCTCCATTTTGATTTCCTCCACCATTATGTCGCCGGCGGAGTGGTCCGGGGACTGCTTGGTCGTCACTTCCTTGTCGCCGGACATGTAGAGGCCTTCGGGCTGGCCAGATTCGTTCAGGATGCCTCGCTCGCTGGCAAACTTCAGCAGGCAATTGAAGAGATCCAGCTCCGAGTCGATGTTTAGGCGGTTCTGGTCCAGTATTGCCATCAATGTGGATACCTCGATGTCCATGAAGCTGGGATCCGATAGCACCTCCCTGGTGTTGGTCGCAATCAGGTCCATGCTGCTCTGCATAATGCGCGGCTCATCGAATAGCTTGGCAAACTCGTAGGCGCGACAGGCGTTCTTGGGACTGAGATCGGCCCACAGAAAGTGGGTGCAACGGGTGACCACATGGGGCAGCATATATTTCTTGGCCACGTAGCACAGCTCGCAGGCCTTGTCAAAGGAGCCAATGGTGATGCGATCCGTGTAGATGTACTCCATCATGGCCTCAAAGGCCTCCGGCTGCACATCGGGTATGACAATGGGATCGGTCTTGTCCGGCAGATTCCCAAAGAACATCCGCTCGAACACCGGCGAGCCCATCGCCAGGAGCAGCTTGTGGCCGGCAATGATGCGGTGATTGGGCGATGTGCCCACCAGGAAGCGACAGTCGGCCCATTTTTCAGTCTGCAGCAGATACTGGCCGCGATCCTTAATCGCAGTCAAAGTGTTTTGCCAGTCGACATCCATGACCCTTTTCTTTGTGCAAGCGAATCGTTAAATATCAGCTATTGCCCGACGCCAACTCTATTTACCAATGTTTCGCTAAAAAATTTTCTTGTATTTAAAAAAGTAGAAAATGTACAAATACACTATCGATATGATCCATATTTTACTGCTAGCCTTTACTATCGATGGTTCTGCGATAGTTTTGATAGTTGATATTCCTCGAATTTGATATTCCGTTTAATATTACTAGCTAGCTGGGACTCTCAGCCCTAAAAAAATAATTTTATCCGATAGATACATAAATTTTCTACAAGATTGGCTAGTTTTCAGAACTCCTTTTCATTATTCTTTACATAATAGGGTTTAAACTAAAACGGCCAAAGCGACGTTACACGACGTTCGAACTTGAAGTTGAACTTTTGATTGCGCCGCAAGGATAAGGGTTTGAGGTGTGACGTATTACGTCACAAAATTCAGAGCTTTCAAGAAAAATACCCACCTCAACACATAACTCACCGTGCGGGATTTTGTGCTTTCACGCAAACATGGTATATTTATTCCGTCGGGGCTAGGGTGAGGTCCTTACGAGGCCCTTAAAAAAAGTTTGGCCGTCTTAATACTGGGGCCATACCTTGCCATGACCCAGTCGAAAGAGAGCACTCAAAACTCTGTCCGGACTCATTTCTGCGTGTAAATTGTGAGCCACTATCGATAGTATTGACATTTTCATAGTTGATATTCCCCGATTTTGATATTCCGTTTAATATTACTAGCTAGCTGGGACTCTCAGCCCTAAACAAATAATTTTATCCGATAGATACATAAATTTTCTATAGGTTTAATTAACTAGGGGCTCCATTTTTTTTAAGTATTCATAAAATAGGGAAACGGAAAAACGATACCTGCAATTTTTGTTCACGCATGACATGTTCGCTACTTTTTGGTCCGGTAGATATCGATACTGTGATTTGGCGGCACAACTTAAATTTTAATTTCCCCCTGTTCACTGATAAATCTAATAAATAGAGCGTCCCTGACCAAAGGAGAGCATGATGTCATTTTGGTAAAAAAAAAACTCGTTTCGCCCAAAGCCAGTTACGCAATTCGCATCTTCGCGCTATTCCCACACCATCCCCCCACCCATGAAGGAAATGCACATGAACGCATTTTTCAAATGCTTCCTCTATGCGGTCAGGCGGACATATATATGGGCAAAGGAGCCCAGCCCAGGCCAGCCCAGGCCAGGCCAGCCCGGCCGTGGCCGTGTGACAATTCGGACAACTGGTTGCGCCACAGTCCAGGGACGGACCCCTGTCTGGCCGCACATGGAGGAGGAGTGGAGTCCAGACCCGAAAAGGAAAAGTGGTTCGCAGCCAGAGGCCAAAAACCGGACCAGGGACTGAGACTGGCTGGGATCGAGTAGGTACTTGGCCGCCTTGTACTTGTGCGTCTAACTCGTGTTTCGATTAGAGTGACCATCTGCTGTGGGCAGCTTGGGGGCCTGCTGGGGGAGGGAACCTGTTCGATGCTCACCCGCCGCCGCCCAAGGTGCGTGTGCACTTCCGTTTGCTTCCGCTTTCCACGTTCCCCGTTCCACGTTGCACGGACAGACGGATACTATAAAAAGAGCCAGCTCCTCCCCATGGACAGGCAAACGGTCGACAGTCGCCATGTCCACAACAATAAGAGTAGCGCTGCTCTGCTTTCTGTTGCATCTGGTGGGCGCTGCGGCTGCAGCTGACACTTCCGGCCAGCAGCTGCTCCTCGCGCGTCCTCAGCGCAGCTCCCTCTTCGCGGAGTCGCCTCCGTTGGATCCGTTCGCTTCCTTCGGCTCCATTGGCCACCTGGCGGCCAGCTCGCCCGGCTGGAACAGCGTGACGCCGATTGGCGGGGAGTGGGCCTACAATCCGATTGGCCTGGGCCACATGAGCAAGGATGAGCTGGTGACGCTGCTGGAAGCCTGGCGAGAGGTGGAACAGGAAGCGGCCACCAGCCCAGCGCCGGAGGAAACCACCACGAAGCCAGCACCACCACCACCACCGCCACCAACCGTGCGTCCCCGTCCACCTCTTCCTCCTCCACCGCCGCCGCCGCCACGTCCAGTGGTGCTGGCGCCTGCTCCCAATCCGCTGCCTCCCGGCACTCCGGTCACCGTTCGTCTCCCCGCCTTTGTGCCAGTCCGGCTGGCGGCCATGTTCACGCCTCCCGCGGCCGTTGCTCCTGCAGCTGCTGCTGCTGCTCCCGGGGATGACCTGCTGGTCACTGACAATCAGCCAGACGACGATGCGATGCCCCGCCTCTTTCGCTTCATGCAGATTACCCCCTCCGCCCGACGCCAGCAACAGCAGCAGTTTGTGGTGCGGAATACGCTGGACAGCATCGAGGCGGGCTCCTCGCCAGGAGCCAGGAATCGCGTGAAGCCCAGCCCCAGGGCGGTCCCACAGCTAGAACCACAGCTAGCCCCACAGTCAGCCCCGCAGCTAGCTCCAGTGTCTGCCTTCCGTCCCAGGTATGTTCCCACCCAGTGGGGCCTCCTGTGGGCGATGGTCTGATACCCATCATATTTTTATTTGCAGATTCGGAATGCCGTCCCATCTGTTCAACAGTCGCCTGGAGCTCGTGCCCTCGTCCCAGATCATCGGCGATTGGCGGGAGTGAAGCGAACCAAAGAGGAGCCCAGAACCGAACAGAACCCTTCCGAGGGAGAATCGAGGACACATACATATATATACATGATTTTTTTTATATTTATAAGGGGGGCGGGGGAAGATCTATCACAGAGCCGAATGTCAGTGCCGAGCACAGAGACAGAGTCTCTCTCGTGAGCTCAGACGTAGTCGAACCCCGGAGCACAACTAAAACTAAACTAGAACTAGAACTACAAAAAATTACACGAATAACACACAGCTGAAAGCAAAAAAAAGAAGAAGAAAGAAAACGTTGACTCTGCTGAGCAATGAATCAGCATAACGAGATTTTCGATCGAGCGGGCGGTGTGGGCTTTCCCCAATCCCAACTTCCAGCGACTGATTCCCTACAAGGAGCTACCCAGCGATGACGAGGAGGAGGATGCCCAGTCCCCCTGCCCCCCTGACCCTCTGCTGATGGATGTCCAGCAGAATTACACCGAGGACAGTAAGACAGCTTACGAATCGCCATCAGCGCCATCAGCGCTTGCGGCATCGGAGCGCAAGTCCTTCGAGGAGTTGAACAAGGACACCAGCGTCGACGTGGATCCCACGGAGCGTCAGAAGCTCGTCGCTGAGTCGTCGCCCCGCAACGTGCTGGCGCACCCCTCGCTGAGACGTCGCAAGAAGACGCCCAATTTGGCTGCGGCCCGCATACAGCAGCAGTGTATGGAGCCGTGGCAGGAGCTGCTGGAGGAGACCGATGAGGGCGAGATGAAGGTGCTCTGGGTGCGCGGCCAGAAGCCCTTGGGCAGCTGCTTCAATCCCCAACAGCTAAGAGAAGTGAAACAACACAAAGAGCAAGGGGCGCCGATGGATGCCAAGTACTCGCCGTTGCTGAGTAAAATGCACGTCCACACGGAGCTCCCTCCCAACCACTTGGAGGAGTCAGACGATAATATGACACAATTTGTAGATGCCCAGGAACCGGGCGAAGATATGCTCTGCCCATCCGAGTCTGAGTGCACCATGGTTCCAGCAGACGACTCGCGGATCTCCTTAGACACTGGTTTGGCGGGCGACCAGCAGCAAGCAGCCTGTGAGGAAAGACGCGTTCGGTTCCATCCCCGACCGATCATGTTGGAGCCTCTAAGCGAATCGAGCTCCGAAGATAGTGTGACAATGGATAAACCTACCCAAGCGAGTGGCTCTCAAGTTCAACCGAAGGTGCAGAAGTCTGAAGCCTTCTTGAGCCTGTCGGAGGAGCCAAAAGACAGTGATGTGTACGATTCGTATTTCTGAGGCACCTGCTCCCGACAAAGACAGTTTAGTTTATAAAATTTGTATTTTTTTTTGGTTAATATAGTACAAAAATTAATAAGTAATAGAACTCCAAAGCAGTCGGCCGTTTCTTTCAAATACGACCGCCAAAAAACAATCGATAGCCCTGCTAATGACAAAACTAGTGTTTACCAACACATATTTCGGTTCATGAAGAAAAACGAGTCAGCTCAGAATGTGAACTTACTAGTTCGTTTGGCAACACTGCTTTCCCGCCAGGGGGTAATACGGTATATTTTATACTTTTTGGTATATTTTCACGTCGACATTATAAGGTATATTTACGGTGCATGCGGAAGAATACATCAATTATGTCAATATGATAATGATGTCAGATAAAGGAAAATACGGTTTAATTACATTTCTTATGCAAACATTTGTCTATCAGTATATTTACGGTATATTTGGCAAATGAGATGGTATATTCCGGTATATTTTTGAGGGCTATCGATAACATCGGCCGTATCACTGTTTCCCGCCATTTACTTAATAAAAAAATTAGGTGCGGCGCGTAAAAGTGCATGCCCTGCATACGGTAGATAAAATAGGAACACAGTTTCCCAACCCCAGCACAACTTCAGCGAGCATCCGGAGGCGCGCCAAAACAGGCTACTAAAAAGTACGGAAATCTGTCATCGCTGCCTGCCTGCACACGTCCCCCGCCCCGCGGCGGCAGCAGCAACACCAACAATCAGCACCACATACAAAATATACAAAATCAAACAAAAACCCACAAAACCTAAGTTAAGTGTAGTGAAAATTAGTGAAAACGCATCCGGGCACGATGAGCAACGATGGCCAAGAGCAGGAGCTGGGTGCCGAGGTGGTCAGTGGGGCCGTAGTCACCGACGACACCCTGGAGATCACGAAAGCCAAATACATCAATCTGTGCCGCGAACTCAATATGGACAGCCAGACGGAGGAGGACGGCTGGGCGATGTACCTGGATGTGAGGCAGCGCTGCGTCATGGAGGTAAGTAAACCCGGTCCCGTCCCCCCTTGCCCCCGCCCGCAACGCAACCAATCTGAAATGTGATATCTTGCAGGGGGACTCCTTGATGTGGCTCTGCTGCGCCCTCTTTGCGGCCTGCCGTCGCTCGAGCACGCCCACGGTAATTGGACAGGATGCCGTGGTGCGCGGCAATTGCGTATCCCTCAACAATCTGCTGCGCTGCTGCCAGATGAGGTAGGGTTCCCTTTGGATTCACGCACGCTGCAACATCAGTTTGGCATATTTGTGTATTGTGTATTGGTCTATTGCAGCATCTACGACTTCAAGACCAAAATCAAGCAGTGGTGCGACATGGCCAACCTGCCGCAGGAGTTTGTCAACGAGATCGAGGTACTGGATCGCAAGTTCAGCATCACATTCACACTGTACAAACGCTTTCGCAACATCTTTGACAAGATCTTCAACTGTCCGCCCAACGAGAAGCGCCACTCGAAATACATGTGAGTCCTCACCCACCGGCTCTGTGGCTGTAATCGCATAATCATCTGTTCCGCATTGCAGTTCCCTGCATGCCAATCATGCCAATGGCAAGTGCTCCTACATCAAGCTGGATGACATTTGCTGGCGGCTGTTCTTGTGCGCCAAGAACCAGAAGCCGAGCACCACCGTTGACCTGGTGACGTCCTTCAACCTGATGATCTGCTGCCTCGATCTGATCTACAACAATGTGCTGGCCGAGAGGCGCACTGATCTCATCAATCCAAAATTCGACGGCCTGCCCGGCAACTGGACGGAGGTGGACTTCAAGGCGAATCCCCACTGCATACTGACGTACTTCTGTGACATGACCGAGGAGGCCAAGGCCATGAAGGCCACCACCTTCAGGGAGATCATGTCCAGCTTCTTTCAGACAATGGTGAGTGGCAAATGGAGAGAGAATGCAGCAACAAATTCATTCAATTCGTTAACATGCCTCTCCATTCCCCTCCAGACCATCTATGGCCAAAAGGACACCATGCTGGGCCTCCTGGCCAATGAGAACTTTGAGCGCAACCTCAAGTCGCTCAACATCAGCTACGAGCAGTACGTGCTGAGCGTCGGCGAGTTCGACGAGCGCATCCTGAGCGCCTACGATGCCAGCGATCACACCAACCTGAACGACCAGGCCCTGAGACCGCCGGTCACGCCGCTGACACGCAAACAGGATCTGCCCGCCCAGCCGGCCATGGCCGGCGAGAAGTTTGAGCCCGTCCTCAATGCCACCAACAATGTGAAGCAGCTGAGTGCCTTCGATCGCATCACCGAGCCCACAGACTATGTCAAGTGAGTATCCCCCATCCATTCCGACGGCTATGCGGTTGCTTATCGTTCTGTATCGTGTATTGTGGCAGGCAAGCTGGCGACGAGGTGATTGCCAAGCTGCTGAAAATCATCGAGGACATCAAGCTGAAGTTTCTCGCCAATTATCCGTCGGGAGAGGCGAAGAGCCGCTTCAAGCTGGCCAAGTCCTTCTACTACTATCTGCTGGATCAGATCCTGCAGGCGGAAATCAAGAACAAGCCCGAGTTCGATCTCAAGCGTCTGCTGGTGCAAAAGATCTCGCTGGACATTTTCAACATCACGCTGATGGCCTGCTGCGTGGAGCTGGTGCTGGAGGCCTACAAGACGGAGCTCAAGTTCCCCTGGGTGCTCGAGTGTTTCAGTATTAGCGCCTTCGAGTTCCAGAAGATCATTGAGATTGTGGTGCGTCACGGCTCGCACGAGGGCTGCCTCAACCGCTACCTGATCAAGCATCTCAACTCGATCGAGGAGACCTGCCTCGAGCGGCTGGCCTGGGCGAGCAACTCCCCCGTCTGGTACATGATCGCCACCGCCCCCAAGCCGCTGCCCACCCACTACGATGTGAACTGTGACCGCACCGCCGGCGCCCTGCAGATATTTTTGCGCAAGGTCTATCTACTCGGCTGGCTGCGCATCCAGAAGCTCTGCTCAGAGCTCAGTCTGGTCGACCAGGCACCCGAGCGCATCTGGCACATCTTCGAGCACTCGATCACGCAGAAGACAGACCTCATGAAGGATCGCCATCTCGACCAAATTATCATGTGTGCAATATATATCTACATAAGGGTGAGTTTGTCCCTCTCTGTCGCTCACTCTGTCTCTTTTGGATTGATGCGCGCTTACATAAGTGCTGTTGCCATGCCATGCCATTCCATTCTTCCCCTGCTATGCTTTGCCCTATCTTAATGCAATTCTAATCGCCAATGGCATCCCCCCTCCCCCCCCTGCGACCTGCCACCTTTATAGGTATCGAAACTGGAGGATCCCAAATTCAGCGACATTATGCGCGCCTATCGCAATCAACCGCAGGCGGTGAACAGCGTCTACCGCGAAGTGCTCATCGGCCTCAATGACGATGGGGAGCCCAAGGTGAAGGACATTATCTACTTCTACAACAACAAGTATGTGCCGCTGATGAAGCAGTTTGCGATCGACTACCTGAACATGACACCGGACGTGACCGGCTGCAAGATAAAGGCCGCCGATCTGCTGCTCTCGCCCCATCCGTCGGAGCGGGCCGCCCAGCCGAAGAAGGTAACCCAAAATCACTCGCTGTATGTGACGCAAATGCCCAAGAACGAGATCCAGCAGTCGCCCAATCAGATGGTCTACGAGTTCTATCGCAGTCCCGCAAAGGTAACTGTGGCCCGTGGCCGCGTGCCTCTCCTGCCTCTTACCATCTGTGGCTCATCAAATGTTTCAAATGTCCTTTCTGCAGGATCTGCAACTAATGAACGAGAAGGTGCGCGGGGGCAAGCGCATGCTCAGCTTTGGCGATGACCTCGAAACGAAGCGCCTCAATCTGCCGACACACCTCAGCCAGATCAAGGCGGTGATGGACGACCGGGAGAGCGAGCAGCGGGAGCCCAAGTAGAACAAGAAAATGCGAGTCAAACGAGACATAGACAGACACGGGGTCTCTGGGGGCAGCTTAGATTTTAGTATAGAAGGACGATGGCGGCGTGCCGACGCGGGGCGATGCGCTGGCAGTGGGACCAGAGGACCAGAGGGGGCTATTTGGTCGATTTTATGATTGTTTTTTATTTTTTTTTAGTTTGACTTGTTAATTTAAACACACAAAAAACCCAAAACCCAAAACCCAAACCCAAACCCAATCGTAAGCATCCTTTTATAGACCTTGTTCGATAGAAATCCGCTTAGAAATCAGCAGCATAGAAATCCACATTATATCTCCTACGACTCTTGCAGTTAATTCAAAGTTCCAACCACACATTGCATCCGTATTCTCGCATTCGCAGTTGCATCTGTAGCCCCGTTTTGGCATCCCCTTTCGTTTCGATTCCCTCATGAACGAGTGGAGTGGGAGGCTGAGACACAATCATTGGAGAGTGCCACACCCACACACACACACACACACACCAAGTCATATGTCATATGGCAGAAATTGTACCATAGCACCGAGCCACGAAACTCACTTAGAGCCCAATTTGGTATCGCTAATCTTTAGACATTAGATAGATCATATGTGACATTTGTAATTACTTTTGGTGGCACTTAACAAAGCCATTCAATTAATATGTATGCATATATATACATACATATATATCCCCTTTCACCCACTAACTATTCCTTTGCTCTATGCCGTATGCATACCCCTCCGCTAGTGATTTAAAGAGCATCTCTCTCTATCCCCACTGATGGAGATTTAGCGTTGCGTGTTTTCTGAGTTCTCAAGTTCTTAAGAAAGGATGCAATGAAAAGAATCGATGCAATGGTCCCAGGGCTATTCTTCTTGGGCCTTCTATTCCTGATCGCCCCCATACATGTTTCAGATTTCGGATTTCAAACATCAATAATCTTTGATAATGCTGCATGCTTTTTGTGCAATAAAGGACCAGAGCCAGGGGATATATACATAGATTATATGTCTAGATATCCTAACCATTAAGTAGTCCACACACACACACCAGACTAGACTCCATTTAGATCTCCATGATTTGCCCTATGATTTGTCGTTCGTTTGTTAAGGGACTTTCCGCTCTGCGCTGTTCCTATTTCGATACACAATGAGAGCTTTCGCAACACCATCCGAACATCTTTCGTGGGTGGCACGTGCAGTCAGATCGCTCTGATCGATAGGCAGGCGCTCTATTCGCTTAGGAAGGTCCCCCACATTATAAACGAGTATACAAAATATATAGAAATAAACTTTATAGAAATCAATGTGGCTGGCTGTTTCATATCTGTTCCCCCTGGGGGGGGAGGTTTGGAGTGAATTTATTGGGGGAACAGTGGGAGGTGGGCTGAATGCTTCCTACGAGTCCAGTCGCAGTGTCTTCACTATGAAGTTCAGGGCGGGACGCTGCATGACGGCAGTGGAATGAAGTCGTTGGTCGAGCAGCTGGCTGCAGGTGAAGAGCGGCGCCGACTGCTCGGGTATCATGCGATAGGCGACGCGCCGCCAATTGGGCACCACCATGTCGACACGATGCTCGAGATCCGCGTGACAGGCGGGCAGATCGATGGGCAGAGCCAGGGCCAGCAGGTGGACGATGGCCAGGCACAGCTGCTGCTGCAGCCCGTCACGGTGGTTGTACTCCTCGAAGCTGTCCAGTGCATTGGAGCGCTCCAGGGCCTCCAGTAGCGAGCGCCACACGAGCGCAAAGTGCGAGTCAAAGTCCGTGCGCTGCTCCACCTGCAGCAGGACGGCCGTGGCGTTGATGCGCACCTTGAAGTTGGCGTGCTGCACGATCAGCTGGCAGAGCGAGGGGAAGAGGAGATCGCCCAGGCCTGCGCTGCCGGAGAAGAACGCCCGGTGCTTGACCAGGCTGCCGATGGCGTAGCAGGCATTCCACTTAACCTTGGCCCCGCCAGCGGTCCGCATGCAGTCCAGCAGCTTAATAATGGCCGCCTGCGCCAGCGTCTTCTCCTGGGCAACATCTTGGCGCTGCACTTCCAGCAGCTGCAGCTGGAGGAGATTGCCGAGGGCCCGCACCGCGTTGGCCCGCACCTTGTCGTGGTCGCCGCAGCATTTGGTGGCCGTCTGGATGAGGCGGTCGAGCAGCGCGTCGTAGACCCGCTCCGAGTTGCCAGAGACGCCGGTCAGCAGCGCGTCGCTGATGTTGCCCAGGGCCCAGGCAGCCTTGATCCGCACCGCCACCTGGGAGTCGCTGGTGAGGCGCAGCGTCAGCTCTGCCACATTCTCCACGAACACGAGGTTCGCCTTCAGCGAGGGATGATGCGCGAAGACGGCCAGGGCCCGCAGCGCGGCCGCCCGCACCAGGGCATCCTCGGCATCGTCGCTGCTGCAGCCGCTGAGGAAGGCCACCAGACTGCGCCGCTGTCCGGTGGGCAGATCCTCGAACGTAACGACGCCCATGTTCGACAGCGAGTCACAGAGGGCGCTCTTGAGGGGGCCGGGCGCCGCCTCAGCGTAGAAGGCATTGAAAATGTGGGGCAGAAGGCCGAGCCAGAAGGAGAGCTCCAGGTCTCGGTCGGAAGCCTCGGGCTGGACATGCGCCATCTGGTAGCCCATCGAGTCCAGGCAGCGGGCGGCATGCAGCCGAACGTCTGCATTGCCATACATGAGGCCCGAGGCGATGGCCGGTCCGAGGTGTGCCAGCTGCTTCCGCAGCAGTCCGATGTGTGTGGTCATGGCCAGCAGCACCTGGTAGCACTCCAGCTGCAGCAGTGGCTCCGTCGACAAACAGCTCAGATAGCGCAGCACCATGCGCAAGAGCCACGAGTTGCGCGGTATCGATGACGGCTCATGCAGCCCCTGAAGCGGTGCCACCTGCTCCTCTTTCTGTTCCTGCTCCTGCTCGTTTTCTTCCGTTTCAGAATCACAGAGCTCCTCGAGTTGCTCACGTTCTCGCTCCTCTTTACGTTCCAGATGGAGGCCCTCCATTTGGACCTCGATTCGCTGTGCAGGGCCCAGGCCCACGGCACTGGACATTTCCTGGGTCAGTCGCGGTGTCGCCACCAGCATCTCCATCACCATGAGGGCGGCCACTGCCACCGGCGTGTTCATGCCGCTCTTCGCCAGCCTCTTGACGGGCAGCACGAACTCGTAGACGAAGCCCATTTCCAGCTGGTCGAAGGGCGTGGCCTGCACGAGTATGGCCAGGCACTTGAGGCACTGCGTCAGCACGGGAGGGGCGAACTCGCGCTCCAGGATGGCGGTCAGAGAGCGGTAGACGGCCATCACGCATCTGGCCAGGCTCACGGAGAACGGGGTGAAGGTGGAGGGTCCCCGGGAGTGGGCCTGGCTCAGGTATCCCTTGGAGCCGTAGAGCAGTTGTCCGGCCAGCTGGAGGGCGAGGGCGCGGCAGCGGGAATTGCCATCGTACTTGGCCATATGGAGCAGGTGGTGTTGCGACTGCGAGCCCTCTTCGCTGGGGAAGATCGCGTGCCAGTAGCCGTAGAGGCAGCGGCGGGACAGCTGCTTGGTCAGGGCGCTCATCAGGTGGAGGGCGGAGATTCGCACGCTGGCCTGCAGCTGGCGCAGCGCTTTCGGTGCGTCTGCCTGCGCCTGCTGGCCTTCCGAGTCGGAGGGGGTGCACGCCTCCGTGTCGCCGGTGAGGCAGCCGTAGTCGAGATTGCTCAGCAGCAGCAGTCGGTCCTGCGGCGCGTTGTGGGCTGCCTCGCCCGACGGTCCGCTCTTCTGCTTGTGGTTGCGGTTGCGCACCTTCCTTACCTTGCTGCGTTTGCCGCCGGAGCCGGACTTGTTCAGGCTGCTGGTGGGCTGATGCTGATCCTCCTCCTCGGTGCCATAGGCAGCAGCCTGCTGGGCGGGCTGCACCCTACGGGGCACATGCAGCTTGGCGGGGTACTCGCCGCAATTGCCATACGGCAGGTAGGCCAAAACGTAGCCCATCAGCTCCGGAACGTGCTGCTCCGCGTAGTCACAATTCTTGCTGACGATCTTCTGGAGGAGCTGCAGGGTGTGGGCCAGCAGCAAGGGCAGCTTCTCCGACTGGGCGGACACCCAGCGTCCCTCATAGTGTGGCTGCAACAGGTTGTTGGCCAGGTACTGGCTAAGCTTCGGATCCTCCGACTCACCCAGCTCGACATACACCGTGTCCTGGCACATGACCAGCAACAGAGCCGCCTCCACGTCCTGCGGCTGGGACAGTATCGACAGAACTGGCCAAAAGGGCTGCAGAACATGTCCAGGCAGCGATTTCAGTAGTGTGTGCAGCAGCTGCAGCTCGTCCGCGACGCCGTTCCCAGCCTCCCGCTCCAGCAGCCACTCCACCAGCAGCTGCGGTCGAGCCAGCAGCAGCCGCCTGGTGAGGACCAGCTCGTTGAGCCACAAGTGCCATGCCCGCAGCAGGTCATTGCTCCGCCTCTGGTCCGCGTCCGCCAGCAGCTGTTTCACTCGCTCGGCTGTGATGCCTTGCTCCACGCCTGCTGCCCTCCGGATGTCGTGCAGCAGCTGCCGATGCTCCTGAAGACTCGCCCTGTCCAACGGCAGTCCTGTCAGGCATTCACCGGGTGTGTTTAAAGCGTTTAAAATACTCAAAAGCCCATCGTGTGCTTGTTTCTCCCTATCGCCGTCCATTGTTAGTCATCAAAGACACCATCGATAGACCCATGCTAATATCGATAGTTTCTGTGTGCAGTAAAAGTTAAATGGAATTTAGTCAATGACTAACTGCAAAAACAGAGATAGCCTCGTCGGGACATCATGCAGTGAGGGCGCGGGAATTATATATGTCAGCTAGGCTTTGCAGTTGAGCTGGAATATATTCTGGCGCGCGTTTCTATCCCAATCGATATCTGCCCGGCAAGCAAGAACGTTATTTTTTAAACAAAAATTAAACTTAAATTTTCGCTTTCTGTGGGCGAAACATAAAAATAAAAGACCTCAGATCGTTTGAAAATGAACCTTTATTCAAGCATCAATTGAGTTTTGGTTTGGATGCCCAAGGAATTTGTCCTAAAATCTAAACTAGACCCGAACTGCGCCAGAAACAAAGTCTACGCTGAAAAACCCATTGTAGACCTTAAAAATATACAATTATTCGGTTGTTGGTGGAGGGAGGGGGTGCAGGAGGGCCATCACGAACCATCTCAAGAGTCTAGAATCATATCAAATCATTATCTTTCAGTATCTGCGAATACGTCGAGTAGTCCCTGAGCTAAACAATGAACTGGCCAACAGACTGGTTCGTGACTGTGGGACGGGGACTGGGACTGGGACTGAGACTGTCTGGCCTTAAAATCGAACTACAATACATATCCGTATATAAGAGTACATAATTATGTGTATGTGTACTATGTATGTATAATATATATATATTTTCTGATCTGATGTATGTATGTACATCTTCTGTATATAAACATGTATTTGTTATGCATGCTAGGCGGGCTTCTAGTGTTCAAAAGGCAGGAGGAGGTGGCCGGGCGATTGAATATTTAATTTTATGTTTGTACAAATTGGATTTTCGGGTCTGAGTTGTTTGCCTTTTGTCTGGTCGAAGTCTTTGAGAAACATGAGCTTTGTATAAGGGGCATCAGGTGTATATAAGGTATATACAATACAGCAGACTGTATATAAATCTGTCTGTCTGTATCTGTCTACCCACATACATATACATATACAAATATATGAATATCCATATCTAAATATCGTACAGTACGGGCTACGGCCTAAGAGTGTATATAATATAGTTGTATACAATATACATTGTATTGCATGTATGTATGTATATAATAAATAAACGTATATTGGGTGAGAAAAGTAGAGACATGAGCCACGTATAATATGAATCTTTGGCAAGACCGCAGATACTGATCACAAGAATCGTTTCGATTTTAGTTTAGTTTTTGTTTTTGTTTAGTTTTAGTGTTTTAGTCGTTCGTTATTCTAAGCTACAACTATTATTCATATTTCCATGCGCCAGAGCCGGGGCCAGAGCCGCGGCTTGGCGTCATAAAATTTGGCTAATTGTGGAGCAGCAGTGACTTGTGTGGGTGGGTACCGGGGTACGGGGTACCATCGTTCAAAGGAACACGTTACACAAATGGCTGACCAAAAGAGCGAACCCTTCGAATACACCGCGAGCACACTCATACATACATATATCGCACCCGAATCCCTGTCGTTAAGTACTCTAAGGTCTAAATTCGCTGTTACTCTCCGCAGTGTTTGTTGTGTGCCACTGACTAATCGCTGATGCCAATGTCGCTGGGATAGAGGTTGACCAAGATGGCATAATAATGACAGCCGGCGGCCAGCACCACAAACAGGTGCCAGATGGCATGGGCCATGGGTATGATGCCGTCCGACTTGAAGAACACAATGCCCAGTATGTAGAAGGCGCCGCCGTACTTCAGCTGCATCATCCCATGGAAGTGGTGGCCGGTCAGTACCACAACGAGGGCGGGTCCCAGGCCCATCACCAGATAGAAGAACGTCTCCAGGCACTTGTAGCGCTCGTGGAAGAGCTGTCAGTGTCGATGAATGGAATGCGATTGGTCAGACTGTTGCACAGTGGCGGGCTCTTGTGACTCTCACCTGCTGGTAGGCAATGCCCACCCCAGCCATCAGCCAGATGACCCACTCCATGCAAAAGAGAATGGCCGAGTGGTCGGTGTTTTCCAGCGTCAGCCAGGGGAAGTAGGAGCCGGCAATGAACACATAGATCATGGCCCGATCGCAGCGGTGGAGCACATTCTTAAGGCCCTGATACGTGCGCCAGCCGAAGGCGGGCCAGGTCTTGTAGTTTCTCGGTGGTCTGCAGCAAAAGAAGGACAATCCATATAGACACATGTGCATAGAGGGAGCCGATGTACACTCACTTGTGCTCGGCACAGTAGCAGGAGCAGTGAAAGAACGTCGATATGGTGAAGAGCATGCAGAGAGCGCCACCGTAGACCCACGACACCAAATACTGGCTGGCATTGGTGGAGCGCTCGAACAGCTTGATGGCCGCAAACAGTGCCGGCAGTATCCACATCCCATGGGTAATCACATTGGCCATCTGTTCAATCTGTTGAATGAAATGTAATTAGCATATGCGAAGCCCAAAATGAAATGAGAATGCAGGGGGGGGACCCACCTCTGTCGGCTGATAGGCACAGCCGGGCTTGGCCTTTGAATTCTTCCATTTGATGTTTCGCAGCTGGAGCTTCAGCGAGGAGTTTGACTTGATAATGGATTTCCAGAACTTGCTGAATAGATTCTCCAGAAACGAGTACTTGTTCTGGATATCCTGCATCAGGCTCACACTGCCGTTGCCGTTCCCGTTCCCGTTGTTACCGTTGCCAATGGTGCTCATGGTGCTGCTGCTCCTGCGAGATTGCGTACCATGGACAGATGTAGACAGAGGCCACGGACTACGGGCTACGGGCTACAGAGAGCAACAGCACAACAGCTACACCAGGTCGCCAGCGCGCGCAACTGCGGATTAGTTGGAAAATTGGTTGTCCGTGTTGTAAAATTGATTGATTATATGTCTATCCACTGTCGAGTGGCCTTCACTCGCTGCCGTCAGCCCCCCATCCGCCTAGCCAACCCAGTCACCCAACATAAACACCGCCAACCCTCTACCCTCCACCCTCTCTCTCTCTCTTGCACACCCACAAAGCTATCCCAATCTAAAAGTAGCCGGGCAATTGGTTGGGTTATGGCCAATTGATTATCACTTTGCCACTGGCCGTCGTTGACGGCTTATCACGGTGGGGAGCTGCAGTGGCAGCAGGGAGCAGCCAGGAGGCAAGAGGCAAGGGCAGCACAGACAACGACACTGCCCTGATAAGCATTCAACAACAATGATTGCTGTCCGCGGACAGCTGTCCCACTCGTAATTGTAATCGTAATCGCACTGGCATGTATTCGCAGCCACTTAAGAATTTTTTCGCTAGCTCTCACGTAATTTATATTTATTTGGTTTGCATATGAAACGGCCAACTCAAATTGAAAGCACAATGGGAATTGGCCAGCGGCAGCGGACTGACTACAGTTGTGCATCTGGGGGATTAAGTATGCCTCTGACCCGGAGACTTGATGCAGATTCGTCCAATTAGAGCTGTAGCAATTGACAGCGACAGAGCAAGCGGACAGACGGACGGCCAGACGGTCGGGGGAAACCAGTTCTGACTTTTGAGTGGCTGTCCCGCTCGCTTATCGCGCGTGCCTCCGAACATGGCTCAAAGTCCAGGTCCGAGCATGATTGCGATACATATTCGTACTCGCACTCGTACTCGTACTCGTACTCAAGTGTACATATCTATATCGTAGGCTGATCGGTGATGCGATGCGATGGGTGAGTGCGCTCAGGCTACGCGTAAAGTCCACTGTTTTTTGGTACTCATACTCATACTCATGGTGACTGTCTATCAGGTCTTGGATTCAAAGGTTTTTCGAGACCATCCTGTATCGCATCCAGCACCCACTGGGCGTTACTGCGCTGCCTGGGATCGATGCAGACACCCCCCAAAAGTATGCCTCAAATGCTCACAGGCTTGGGGGTCACTCAAAACATAACGGAATGTGGGCCCTAGCATGCCACCTGCAACCCACTACCGACACATGCTGCAAACCCCACCCCTGCCACCACCTGGGCTCGCCCAACTTCCATAACAACGACTATGCCAATAGCTATAAATATCGCCGCCACAGGGCATCCCCTATATTGGCTATTATGGCATCAGGTGGGGGCTGTTCTGGGGCTTGGACTGGGACATTACGATAGCAACTGTCTCACAGATTCTATCGTGCTGTTTTGTTAATCCAATTTGTTTGGATCTGTCGTCGTCACGCCATTTGTTATGGCGACACGGCTGGCTGGCTGGCTCTTCCGTGTCGGCCCTTGAGCGCGATGCAGATGCGCTACAGAATATCATTTCGGAGTGGCAGTGCACAACTTACAATAATGTTTTTGTGGCCTGCAGATGGAGATGCAGTCGCCTGCGGCCGTGGCGGAGGCTGTGGCAGCTCTGAGAATAGATGGTGATATTGCCCTTGCAGCCACACACAAGACGCGCGCATACAAAATCCAAAACACTGTCACTACACTTTCACATCTGTTTGTTGCGGCTGCTGCATTTGTTTATAAATCTTGCAAATACGTCCGAACGCATTCGCTGCACTTGCACCATCGGCGATTGTTACATCAATATATCGATGTTCTTATCATTGCTAGTGATATTTCTTCAACTGGCGAATATATTAATATTGGGATAGATATTATCATAAACGGAATTACTTTTCTGAGTTCAGGCACTAACCATACAGGATATAGATGTGTTAGTTCATATAAGGAAAGTGGCGCAGCTGAACTTTCAGCGTACGTTCCCAGGTATTCGGCTTGAGATTTCAGTTTACGTAAATGTGTGTACCGCGATGTTTGATTTTATTTATCGATGAACAGGGGAAGTTTTGAGAATAAATATCGGTACTTTTGTGCGATAGGCGGAACTTATCTGAGGTATCGATAGCGACTGTGACAACCGTGTGGAGAAAACGTGATAAAGGTGCGTGACAGCGATTTTAGCCAAATTTATATTAATTTTGCACTTTCTGCCTTAAGAATACTCTGAAATCATGACTGGACGTGAGGGTGGTAAAAAGAAGCCATTGAAGGCGCCTAAGAAGGACACCAAGGACATGGACGATGAAGAAATCGCCTTCAAGCAGAAGCAAAAGGAGCAGCAGAAGGCTCTTGACGCGGCCAAGGCGAACGCCTCCAAGAAGGGTCCCCTCGTCGGCGGCGGCATTAAGAAGTCTGGAAAGAAGTGATTTCCACTGCCCACCAAAATGCTGCCAAAATGTTCATTTAACACCCAAACTAAATTCACACACAAAAATTCACAATAAGATGAAGTGGAAGAAAAAGAAGAAGAAGCATCAGAATCAGAACGGAACAGAAACACGAACATTTGCAGCCTCCAGTTTTTGCGTCAGAACCATGGACCAAGATTGATTGAAGCGTGTGTGAAAACTAGAAGCATCTGTACCCTTTTTTTTATACTTATAAATATGTACGATTAAATAATGCTATATTTAAATGTATAAACTAGCACTATTTCCCTCTGGTCTGTGTGTGCGCTTGTTGCAGCCACAAAGGCAATCAAATAAACGGAGAATTTAGCAAAATTTAGCTACATACATATATACCATACCATATAGAGGCTTGTTAATGTGCATGCGAGTTTTCTAATCTTGCCCTAAATTTATAAATAATGTATGTACATCCATAGGTTTTCATATTGTAAGAATGTGTGTACGTATATCTGCTCGACAAGCTGCCTGGCTATGTATGGGTCCCACCAGACGTCTGTATGTTTCCGATTTGGATCCAAGTAGAGCCAGAGCTAGCCGCAAATGGAATAAGTCAAGCTAATTATTTATTGAAAAGCTAAGTGCAACATTTAATCGGACAACATTTAATTATTAGTTGCGATTGGAAGCGACTTCAAGTGGGCTTGCGTGGGTTGCCCACGGAGCTGGAACAGCCCTCAGTGCAGCTGCCATTGGTAGACGAAGCTAGGCTCAAGCCGCTAGTAGATGCAGCCTTCGGAGCGTTTTCGAGGGAGCTGGGTGGCCCGAAGATGCGTCGCCATCGGTGGACGATTCAAGCAGCTTCTGCCAGCCAGCACACACTCAAAAATATGACCAGGGTGACCGTGTACGGTTATTTGGGTAATTGGGTAATTTTAAAGTTGAAATTGAGGTGATATTTATGGTACATTGGTATGCAATGGCTTATTGATCAATTTTTTTTTTTAATTACGGTATATTTCAATAATAGGCTAAAACATAATAGCTTTAAAAAGCACATTTCATGTGATCGAAATTTCTGGAAAATTGAATAAATTGTTTTAAGACGGAAAGTTATCGATAGTTTCGCGGTCACATTCAGTGTGACCAGTGTGACGTCACGGCCTTTGTTTGTTTTGGACATTCTTGTCATGAATCTGGCTAAATAGTCATCTAATCTCTGGAAAATCTGCCCGAAATGGCATATGCCAGCATGTCGGAGGCGCGCATTCGCCCGCGCCAAGTGCTGGTGCTCATCATAGTCTTCCTTATCGTGCTCAAGCTGGTCCACCACAACGGGAAGCACACCTGCCAGGGCCCAGAGTACCTGCAGGCCGTGTATGCGCAACAAGACGCGGACACGTTGCCCCACATCTACGCCATAACGCCGACGTACTCACGGCCAGCCCAGAAAGCGGAATTGACCAGGTAAGCGCAGCCCCAGGGCCCCTGGAAGGCCGGAAATTGCATTGCTAGCCTCTAACTCTTATTGCCACATTCTGAACAGACTGTCGCACCTGTTCATGCTGCTGCCCAACCTGCACTGGATCATCGTGGAGGATTCGAACATTACCACGCCGCTGGTGCGCGGCCTGCTGCAACGGGCGGGGCTGGAGAAGCGCTCCACGCAGCTGAACATCAAGACGCCGCCCGAGTTTAAGCTGCAGGGCAAGGATCCCAACTGGATTAAGCCGCGCGGCGTGGAGCAGCGCAACTTAGCGCTGGCCTGGCTGCGCAACCACGTGGACGTGGACCGACATGCCATTGTCTTCTTCATGGATGATGACAACTCCTATTCAACGGAGCTTTTCGTCGAGATGACGAAGATCAAGCCAGGCCACGTCGGCGTCTGGCCCGTTGGCCTGGTGGGTGGCCTCATGGTGGAACGCCCCATACTCAACGAGGACAATTCACAGGTGGTGGGCTTCAACGCTGCCTGGCGGCCGGAGCGGCCCTTCCCCATTGACATGGCCGCCTTCGCCATCAGCATGGATCTGTTCATCAAGAACCCGCAGGCCGTCTTCTCCTACGAGGTGCAGCGCGGCTACCAGGAGAGCGAGATATTGCGACATCTCACCACGAGACAACAGCTGCAGCCGCTGGCCAACTCCTGCCGGGACGTGCTCGTCTGGCACACGCGCACCGAAAAGACAAAGCTTACCTCCGAGGATGCGCTCCAGCGCAAGGGAAAGCGCTCTGATTCCGGCATGGAGGTCTAGCCCAGCTCTTGCCCACCCGATTCGCCTGTACATACTTGTCACGCAACTGTTCCTCGTACCGTTACTTAATGCCTCAACTTAGTGAATTTATTGAATGTTTTTTTTTCGTTGCCCAAAATGTATTAACAAGAGATTTTCTTATCTGTATAATTGCAAGGTTATCCGTAGCTTTGCTCTTGAACTTTAACATTGCATGCAGTTTGATGCAATCCAAGCAAAGCTGCGGCCACCTTGCTGCTCTGTATAATAGTTGTACAATGCTCAAATACAATTTGTAACATATGTATCTAAGATTTCTGCATTTGTATTCTGTTCTTCTGTCTGCCGAGAAGGCAGCGCCAATACCTACAATGTTTGTGCATAGTCTAAGAATGTTTTAGCAGCCTCCAAGTTCTGAATATAGTATTTGTTTGGAAGTACTGTGTGTAGGGCTGCAGCACAAGAAATACGAGCACAAGTTAAATTTCCGCATTCCTACCACCTTTCGGATCAAGTTAAACTGAGAAAGGCTGGTTTTTGGGGGGTTTCTGCCCATCGCCCATCGCTGCCTCACGTTGAAGGCAATTAAAAGTCTTTGATTTGGATTTATAGTACAGTAAATATGATTTATTTTTCCCAGTTTCAGATTTAGTGTATAATTTTCTTTCAATTTAGCATGGTTTGTTCTTTCGGTTTATGCTTGTACATATATCAAAAGCTACACTCTGCTTTTTGCCGAAATGTTTGAGAAATTCGATCCTTTCTGTTCCGTTTTCGTTTCCATTCCGTTCCGTTTACTTTTGGCATCATATTTCATATGCTGCACTACACGTTCGGCATAAACTACATACATGTCTGAGGCCCATACATTGAACGTGATCGTGATCGGATCTGGGCTGTCGAGCTGGGTCGACTTGGGTGTATGCTTTGCTTGCAGGATTATTATTCGATAGATTTGTATAATATTCTTGTATATTTATAGGTAAAAAGCTCTGACAAGGCAACAGAAGCTACAAAAGCTCTTGGGCAACAAACAGAAGGGGGAGCGATCTCCCTAATTGGGGAATTGGGATTCGGGGACTTGGGACTGGTGACTGGGGGGCGGGGGAGGCAAATGAAAACGCGCTTTCCATGGAATATACAATACATACATACATTCAGATGTGTGTTCGAGTATACATATACATATACGAGATTATACTGGGGGTATGTACGGGCATGTAATTTGTTTTTCCGTTTTTTGTGGTTTTTGTTTCTTCTTTTGTTTATTTGTAGTTTTGTGTAGAAAAAAAAAACTTACTTACTGAGTAATTGTAAATACATGTACATATATATATTCATAGGCTTTATATATCCATTAGATTAATGCATTTGCAGATCTCTTAACTAGAATTTGTTTAGTTTTTACAATACATACGAAAATACTTTCAACATAAAACTGAGCGATTTTTGCATTTTTGTTTGATGGAAGTGGGGGAGATGAAAGATGAACGAAAGGTGAACGAACGAACGAACGAACATTCATGTTTGGCAATCTCGTAGTTCTCGTCGTTTCTCTACAACTTAGCATTAATTTAGTTTAGTTTTTAGGGTTTTTCTTAGCATTTGTTTTTGTTTGAACTGTCATTTCTCATATTTGTGTGTGTGTTTTGTGTTTGTGTGGGATGCCGATGCCGATGCATGTGCAGCGTGGAGTGCGCTTCCCAGCTTTCCAGTTCGCTGTTCGGCAAGCAGTGCCAAGCAGTTGTGGGCGGCCGTTTTCAAACATTCAAATTTCGTTTAACATCAATGTACATTGAGCATTTTGTTCATTCTTACGCATAGATTATACTTGTTTGTGGCTGTGAATGAATTATAGTCTATGATGTACCAATAGGAAACCAAAGAGTCCACATATCAACTTAATATTCAAGTCCTTTTTGTTTTGTTTTTGTTTCTTCTAATGTCATGTTCTAGAAAGAAATGCTCGCAAGTCTTTTGTTCAGCGTTTTAAGTACTACGAATTGGTGGGTAGGTGGTAGGATTGTGGGATGGGATGGGGTGTTTGGGTGTGGGGTGTGGGGCGTGGGGAGTGGTGGTTGGGCAATGCAAACTTAAGGTTACAACTTATTTATGGCATGTTTAAGTTAGTTATACTAAAGAAATTGTTCTTATTCCATGCTTCCGGCTTACATGCATAAATCGTCCGTCCTCGCTTTAACTGCTAAATAAATGTAATTTTTCTTTGTTTTGTAAGGCATTAATTTAAGATTTTTCTCTTGCATACACATATATATGTATATATATCTTAGGCTAGATTTTCTTTATCTTTTCTTTTTTTGGGTTTTCTTTCTTACTTTCTCTTTTGTGTGGCTGGGGCTGCAGGGGAGAAACAAAGCAGTACAAAATGCAGCGAATATAAAATAAATACAAACTAGAAAATGAAGCAACACGCGACACGTGAATGTGGGTGGGGTGAGGATTGGGATATAATCCTGTAATCCCTTTGTTTTTTGTTTTTGTTTTGTTTTGTGGAGCTTAGAGTGCTATGTGTATGTGTAGTTGTGTAGCATTGGATATCGTATTGTATTATAGTAAGACATTTAGTAAGAGTTACGCTGTGTACGAAAGTAAAGTAAAACCAACTCAGTTTGCCAGTCAATCAATCAATCAATCATCATCGATATTGCATCGATATGCCCATGTGTTGTCCCCCAGCTGTGGATTGGCTTTGGCTTGTTCTCGTTCTAGAATATATTCTCTAGACGACATTCATCCTCCTCCTCTCTTGTTTGTGCACGCTGCGAGGTGTTCTAGGGCTCTCTCCATTCCTCTCCTCTCCTAGGCCCACTTACACCGCCGAGTTCTTGCCAATGATCTCCCCGCTGCGCGAGTGCACAAAGCGGCCATCGAACTCGATGGTGGAGTTTTGCTTGATGCTGCCGGTAGGTGTACGCAGCGGTTCCTTCTCGTCCCTATAGAAGAAGAGGATATTTTGTTGTTTAGTCTCAATGCTGTTATTGGATTAAAACGATTTGCCATGCAAAAAAGTTGCTTGCTATGCATGCCAGCTACTAATCGTCAACGGTGTGTGTGTGTGACTGTGCCTAAGCAAGCAGTGCACCTTACCTTCTACAGTTACAGAGCTAAACAGTTACAGTGGTATATAAAAGTATTTGTATGTTTATATATTAACTAGAGTGGGGCGCATGCAGTTATAATGAGCGAAAATGAATAGATTGATGTGATTGTTAGATAGGTAGGCAGTTAGACAGGCAAGAAGAAGATTCAGTGGAAGGATGCATAGATTTATGGAGCAGGTGGTACGTACAATGGCGATGTCATGGGCGAGCCGCCCAGCTTTACTGGCGGCGGCAGTGGCAACGGTGACGGTGGCGGCTCCTTAACCAGCTGTCCACTGCAATAAGGTAGCGGAAAACGCCAACCGTAAAGACTGCTTGGTTAGATGGTAATTTGGTTTCGGTAATTGGTTTCGGTATTTGGTTGGTTGGTTGGTTGGTTGGTAGGTTTTTTGGTGGTTTTTGGATTTGGTTGGATTTAGTCGGTTGGATTTTTGTGTTTGGATGAATTGATTGGAATAATACATGATGATGTTTATTTAGTAGAAGAAGAGAGAGTAGAGTACACATACAAATAGTAGATGATCATAAATGAAATGATAACGATGATGGTTGTGTCGTGTGCGTGTTCGTGTGTGTGAGCGTGTTTGATTGGCTAATGCTGGCTAATGGACAGTCTTGAGAGAGCAACAGACTGTACAAAAAAAGAGTTTACAGTCTGCCAGCTCGTTCGACATTTGATTACACATCGAATCACGCACAAGTTTTGTACTTCAATTAGCCAAACAACTAAGGAGCTTTAAGCACTTGTCTGTGTTTAGTGTTTTCCTTTGTTTTCTGTGTGTGGGGGGATGTTCTCTGAACTAAGTGACTGAGTGAGTGACTGGTCGTCTGCTTGTGGCTGAGTTTCGAGTGAGTTCGAGTGAGTGTGTGTGTGTGTGGCAAACTGAAAACTTTTGTATATTGCACTAAAAAACTGGATGAAAAACGTAAGGGGGTGAAGCATTGAATTTGTAACTTAATTTTAAATTTTGAATTCGGTGCATTTTTTTTGTTTGTTGTTGGTTCAATTTTTGTGTGTGTTGGTGCCGCGCTCTCAGACGGATATCAGGGAATTGCGATTGAACAACAAGGACTTGGGACGCGCATAGACCCAATTGTATTCGAAGTCCGGTCGTTTGCAATTTCGGCTTTTGTTCGAAACGGATGGGATACAAAAAAAAAAACACAACGAAACAAAACACAAGAGATAGATTTTAATTTGAATTTCGATTCGGTTTTTAGTGCAATATTCGTTTCGTTTGTGGGCGGATAGTCTCGAGGTCCAAACAAAAGTAGTACTACGAAAGTTATCGGTTATGGTTGGGATGGTACGCCCCAGCGATTACTTACCTTCCCAGCTTGGCCTCGTCATCGATCTCCGAAGGCGACCGCTTGGCCTTGCGGCACATGGCCGCCATCACGCCCATGTGCACGGTAACGCAGCAGAGTAGGTCCACGATGAAGAGCAGCAGCAGGACACCGCCAACGGCAATGCCCACAATGGCCGCTGAGGAGAGCACCTGGCGCTCGGCCACTTGGATCACATCGATACCTGTTTTGGTGTTGCAGTGGCATTTGCAGTGTGTGGGGAAGGTGCACAGAGATGCAGGATGCGGTGGATGGGGTGGTGGGGTGTTGGTGTGGGTGGAGGGTGGAGGGAATAATTGTACTTGATTAGTAAATTGTCATTCAAATATATATGTATGTAGATATGGGTTACGGGTCGTAAATAGTACGTAATAATAAATATATCTAAGTAGGTGCACCCTGGCACCAAAGACCTATATCCTATATAGGCAGAACCTCCATTAACATCTAGTCTTACACATTAAATGATCCCGTCTTATATTATTATTGGCATTGTTTTGTTTTCGTTTTTACTTCCTTTCCTCTGCTTGTTCTGGTTCTGGTTAATGGTATTTTACATTTTTGTGTGTGTGTGTGTGTGTGTGTATTACTTGTTGGAAACCAAAAGAACGGAATTAGTCAAAACTTTAAAATCAAAATCAATATCGAAATTATAAGCATAATCGGAACCAAGTAGGATTAACAACCATACGGAAATAATAAGGGAAAAATTCAAATTCAAATTTGAGCACCAATTGACATGACATAAAAAGCAGTTTCAAACAAAGCAACAAACTTATGGATACAAATTTTTTATTAAGGCCTTCTTTTTGCATGCAGCCTCCAAAAAGGACAAGTGTTGGAGCTTGGGCAGGGGGGTGGGGGCAGGTGGCAGGGACTCAACACAGAAGAAGAGGAGAAAAATAGAGACAGGAGAAAGATAGAGAGAGCGTAAGTGATAGAATGAGAGAGAAGCACAAAAATTAACAATTTTCAAAAGAATTTTCAGTGATTTTTTGTGTTTTTTTTTCATTTTTACAATTGCAAAATACATAAATATGCCAATATGCAAAGTATACAAGCAGTGTAAAGCAGTTTGAAATTATGATTTACAAATCGTTTCACTTACGTAATATTTGTATATGTATGTGTGTGTGTGTGTTGGGTGGGTGTACAAGGGAAACAATATTTTATTGGTGTAAAAAGCATATAAATAGTAGGTATATTGTTGGTATAACATGAATATTTCAATACAGAAAATGATAAGCTTTATTGATTTGGTGGGTGTTCGAGAGTGCTGGCACGGTTACAAGGTTTGTCGGTTTTGAAACTAAAATATACAATATAATTTTAATACAATATAATAATAATTAACAGTTATCAACATATTTCGGTTATTGACAGATCGATTTTCGTGTGTATTTTTTTTGTTTTTTTTTGGGTTAATTCGTGTGCATTGATAGAAAGTAATATGACATTATTTAAGTACAATTACTATAAATGGTACCATGATGACACGCGTAGATAGTTTGGCTGGGGTTCTGTTGCAGCAGCATTTTACCTTCCAAGCGCAAGGGTGGGGCATTCCAAGCGGAGGGTGTTTGAGGTGAGGTTTCCCCTTCCAAGTCATATAGTCACACACTGCAGGCTTTTCAAGTATTTCTTTATTTACCCAAAAATGAACTGCTTAATTGTTAGGTATCGTTTCTTATTACACTGCTTACAACATTCAAGACGTCCTAAGGGGAGTATGTGTGCGGGGGAGTAGGTGTCTGTGTCTGTGCTTGGAAGCTGTGGATAGTGCACTGATTGTACTCCCCCCGTACTGCTGCTACTGCAAGCAGTTCGCTTAGAACAAAAAAAAAAAACACTTCTCTTCTCAGCAACGTTAGGCGGGCTGATTTATTCTCTAGCTATACGTGTATATTGTATATGTATATAGTATATATATAACTAGATATTGTAAAGGTATAAATTGTTTTTCTTTATTTTGTTTGGGTTTACGATATATTTGGCTAGAAAAAAATCCATTTCGCTTGCTAAAAAAATGATTTGCTTGTATACAGGAATATCTGTTCTTCTAAATTGAACTGCAATTCTAGTTGGGTTCTTCATTAATATTTAAGTACTATTATGCTCGTATAGATTATCCATTATCATGACTAACGGAGAGGCTTTCTTATTCTTTTGGTTTTTTTTTGTTTTTTTATAATTCAATTACACCATGTGGTAAAAATTCGTAGTGGAGCCCAAGCCCGAGTCCGAGTCCGAGCAGTGTGCACTGCTTAAACGATGCTTTAACTTAGTTACTTATTGTCCCCCTCTTAACGGTAAACGTATACGCTCAAAAACAAACAGAACCGAAATAGCTTGATGTAAATTTCAACTTTCAACTGCTTCGAAGCGAAAAAAGCTTTTGGCTAAATTTAATTTCGTTTTCAATAAATTGTACTCGTATGCATTTGATTATTGATTATTCATATTCTTTTGTTTTGTTTTGTTTTTGGTTGTAGAATTTCACTAAAATTTCGTTTACTTTATGTAGTTTCATACGCTTGGCAGTGTAGTAGAATGCACACGAAACTAATCGGAACGGGTCTTTGGAATTGTAATCGTGATCGTAATCGGAATAATTGTGGACTCATATACATAAATATACTCGTACATACAGGTATTTCTGTGGTACATACTAACTAAATAACAACAAATCAACAGTGGCTTAGTGGTTAAAACAAAGTCTCTAGCGGTTAGACATCGGTTATAGTAGGATACATACAATAAGTACATCATCATCATCGGCATTATCATTATCGTTAATCATTATTATGTATGCATATGATTGGGTTTTGGCATTCCGTTTCATTGACTATTATTTCTTTTTGTTTTTGTTTGTACAGTTAATGGAATGGCGACCCCTTGGTGACCCCACCATAGGTGACATTTTTCTTCATATTGATCATATTTTCTACTTGAGCACATTCAACACATAGTATGTATTTATTTCCGCTTTTTTTCATGCTATTTTTTTTTGGTTTTTTTTTTTTTGGTTGATAAATGTTTTCTTTTCTTCGGCTTATTATTTACACAATGGAGACGACGACATCAAACATCAAGGCTGTCCGTTGAAGATTCCTCCGTGCACTGATTGCTGGATTCTGTTCGCTTAAGCAGGCGTCGTCGGTAGCAGTAGCAACAGCGCGCAAGCTGTGGAAAGCAGTAGAACTAGCGGTGGAGCGGCAGCAGCAGCAGCTTGTCCGCCTTTTTGCTTGCGGGGATGTGGATTGTCTGGATGAGAGTTTTCGAGGTTTTGGCGTGGGGGATTTTCGGTTCGGTTTTGTTCAGTTTTTCGGGGTTTTTCGTTTCATTTTACAGGTTTTGTTTTGCGTTCGATTTTATTTGTTGTAGTTTTGTGGGTTTTTAGCACCCACACAGCATAAAAGAGAGAAAAAAACAAAGAAGAAAAAGTGGTAGAAGAAAAAAGGAAGAAAAGGAAACACACAAAAAGAACATTTTTGTTGTTGGTTGGTCTTTTCTTTTTGCACATTACATTTTCGTAGCTATTTTTTAGGCATTGTTTTAGTTTTGTTTTAGTTTTTAGTTTTTGGTTATTTTTGGGTTATTGGGGCGACGACGACGACGAATGTGTGGTGGCGGGTGTGGTGTTGGTTAATCAGATGTGTGCCAGAAATCTCTAGGGACCAGGACCAGGGCTTGTGGCTGTTGTTGGTGCTCCTGAAATCTCGGGCACTCCAATTCAATTGAGTTTTCGACAGTCAAGTTAAGGCCTGCCCTACAGATGGTTTCATTGCGCTAAATGAATGGTATTTCCGTGAAATTCCGAGCCTATCCGACAATTTTTAGGCGCTCCACCGTGAGTTTTCAAATTGGAGAAGCTTTAAACGATTCACTTTTACCATGGGATTAATTACTCGTACTATTTGTAGTCGTAGGGTTTCAGTTTCCAGGTAAGATGGCAGGGAGATTTCAGGAACACCGACAATTGCATTGCGAGTTAAAGCTTTCGGTTCGGTGAGAGGTTAGAGGTTGCCAGTACACTGCCGACTTGAGTCTTCTAATATTGCGGATTAGTTATTTGTTCTTGTTGTTGTTGTTTGATAGTTTGGTATGCGAGTGTTTCATGTGTGTGTTCGCTGGCTGTTTGGTTGGCTGTTTGGTTGGTTGGTTGTTTAACTGGCCGGAGGGTTGGGGAATTTGGTTCTTGGCATGTGTTAGTGGTTGTTTGGTTAAGAATATTAACTATGACTAAGTTGTTACATAAATGCAGACACTAAATTGATTGTATTGAGCATAAGAATATAGTGGGAGGAGGGATCAGATATTTGTAGGATATAGCGGGGTAGATGGATAGATATGGGGGATAGCGACAAAAACACACACAAAACACAAAGATACAAACTAGTGACAAACTAACAAATAGTAGGTATATGTATGTATATATACTAAGTAAACGATGATGAAGAAAAAGTAAACAGTCACAGCGAGAGCGAGCGATCGAGCGAGTGATAGTGAGACAAATAGAGAGACAACGCAGGCATGTATTTCGATAAGATATGATACGAGAGACGATACACACATAACGATAACGATACGATAATAAAAGAGAGAACGAACGAAATGTGGCATTGGCAGTAAATTACAGTTGGTTTGTTGGTTTTTCTTTGTTTTATTTGAGAAACTTTTCTTTTGTCGCTTATAATTGAAAAATTAACTAAAGAAATATAGAAATAGTAGACGCAGCATGTAGTAGATATACACACAAAATCAATCAATTCAAATTCAAATCAAATGATAAAATTAAGTTTAAATAAAATTAAAAATTGGTGATTGTAGTGGATCCGAAATCAAAACAAAATATAATGAAAGGCTAAAGATTAAAGGCTTTTGATTACTAAATTAATTGCGCTTTTTGTTTCTTTTGTTTTTTGTGTTTAAGAGCTAGATGGTTTTACATTTAACAGGGTATGTATGTATGTATATTCGTGGGGGGGGGGTCACACATTATTCAAAAAAAATATTACAACACACAAAAATATAAAATTATAAATTGATTTTTACTTTCAAATTCTCTGTTATAAAATGTTTTTAATGTTAAGTGTAGTTTCCTTTTTTTTTCTTTTTGGTAATTATAATTAAGTAAATGCTTAAGAATTGTATTCAAAAAAAAAAAAGTATATGGAGAACATAATTAAGAATAATAATATTAAGGTATTTAGTGTTGATTTCGGGCTTGCGCGCATCTCTCATTATTTATTTCTATACAACTTCAACTTCTCTGACATTTTGACTGATGCGCGCACGCACGCGCCCTATGAGACATGAATGGGGTGGGGGGCTTATGTATGACGGGGGGAGGGGCTTGATATTTGTTTTGGCTTTTTCCATAACGTTTATCAACTGCGTTGCAGTACTTTTGCTGCTCAGTGTTTCAGTGTGTGTGTGTGTGTGTGTATGTGTGGGTGGAATGTATACAATTACGGCCTACTTTGTATGGAAGAATATACCAGGGAGAGAGTATAGAGAGTATGCTCTTCATGGGATGCTCTAACGAAACGAAACGAAACGAAAGGCGCATGCAAAAAACAAAAAAAAAGATGTTTCGACAATAAAAAAGCAACGAAGAGAGAGATAAAGAATGAGAGCGATAAGTGATAAACGATAAATGATAAACGATAATGCGATACTGAGCAGAGACAAGAGACAAGGAGATTCACACTGAATCTGTGTGTGAAAGGAAAGCAAAAGATCGTGAAACGCAAGTTGAAATAAACACTACAGAAATCGATGTATGCAAAAGTAATCGATAAACGATAGTTGATAGTAGTTATATCTGGGGGTATATCATATATATATATTTCATATATAGCATATATATATTTAGAGCAGTAAAAATCGAGTGTTTTTGTGTTCTTGTGTGATATCGATATATATCGATTGTATATATGTATGTATTGTTTTTTGTTGTTCTTTTTTGTTTGTTTGTTTCTGGGATCTTGTAGATTATTGGAGTGGGCGGTTTTCAACCGATATGGATGCCTGCTTCTGGGGTTCAAACAGTGGGCCACACACAGTGGATATTTAGTACGCTTGTGTGGCCCATTGTCTATCCCCCACCCAGTGTGAGTGTTGCGCGTGTCTATCGTGTATCGATCGATCGATTGCAGAGATTTTTGCATTCCGCTTTCGATGATTTGAGCTTTCTGTTTGAGCTTTTTAGACTAACATTGAGGCTAGGACACTAACTAATGTTACGCTTATGGTGGTGGCCAGCGCAATGATTGTTGTGGTGATTGTTGTCGTGATGGTCGATGTGGAGGCTCTTGTGGTGGTCGTGAACAGTTGTTTGTGTAGCGACCCGACGCCGGAGTTGAACCCGGCCGAATAGAGCAACGTGCCGAGATTATTGTTAGCGGAATCGGACTCACCTCGTGTCGTCTTCATGATGATCGATGCCGGCGACGAGTAGCCGATGGCATTGTGCGCCTTCAGCTCGATGCGATAGTACGTGTTCCCATTGAGGTCGGTCATCTCAAACGATGTGGTCTCGACCACATTCACCGTGTTGCAGCTGTTCTCCAGCTCAGTCCAAGCGCCACTGATCTTCATGCCCTGCAACAAATGGAAGGTCAATGATCAGATGAGTGGATCATCCATAGAGTTAGAGAGAATGCTTACCGGACAATACTTGATCTGGTAGCTGTCGATCGGCTCCCCATTGTCGGCGGGCACACCCCAGCGCAGCTCAAAGTGATCCGAGTAGGGCGACACGACGACGGGCTCCTCCTTGTCGTGCTGGACGGGGTTGTGCAGGGGCTTGGGCTCCTCCGGTGCGGAACGGCGCGGCGTTGACTGTTTCTGGTTGACGCCCCAGTTGCCGAGACCCACCTGGTTCCTGGCCGCGAAACGGAAGCTGTACTCGGTCTGGGGGCGCAGACCCTCGACAATGTACGGGGAGTCGGGCGACCAGCTGCGGTTGTACGCCGTTGACCAGTCCGGGTTAAGGGCCTCCTTGTACTGCACACTGAACGCGAGAATGGGCAGACCCAGTTCGGTGGGTGGGCCGCGGATGTCAAAGGTTATGGTGGTGGCCGTCAGCTGGCGCGGCACTGCCGCCGATACGAACTCCGGGACACGGGCCTCCTTCAGCTGCATGTCGTGCTCGGCGGTGCCGTGGATATTGGTGGCGATGCACTTATAGGCGGAGTAGTACTGGCGGGTCACTGGGTGGACGATGAGGTCGCTGCGGGGTCCGGTGCCGACGATCTGCAGGTTTGTGTCGTACAGCTCCTTGATCTTGCGGCCGTTCCAGTGCCACTCGATGGTGGCGTTCGGAATGCCCATGGCCAGGCAGCTGAGATTCGCCTTGCGCTGGTCCCACGTGAACACCGGCGGCAGCTCCTTCATCTGGCTAAGTCCGGCCCAAACTCCACCGTGATGTGTCCCGTCTTGTAGGCATCGGCGCCCTTGTTCCGCGCAATGCACTGGTACAGGCCGTCGTCGGTTCTCTCCGCGTTGGCGATGCGCAGGGTGCCAGAGCTCTCGCCGCGATCCTCGTCAAAGTAGCGCTCCAAAACGATTCGCACGTCGTCGACCTGGACGCCGGGCGAGTACTCCTCCTGGGTGCCCCAGCGGCGGAAGGTGATGGCCGGTGCGGGACGTCCCTTCGACCGACAGGTGATGGCAATCTCCTTGCTCCTGCCGCCAGTCACATTGTACAGCTCGTAGATGGCCGGGCGCACCAGGACATTCAGCTTGGTCTTCTGGTCCACAACGCCGGCCTTGTTCTTGGCCAGACAGGTGTAGGTGCCGTAGTCGTCCTCCCGCACTGAATTGATGGTAACCAGACCCGTCTGCGGGTTCACCTGGAAGCGATCGGCGGTGGCCACATTCAGCTGTGTGGCATCCCGGATCCAGCTGATCTCCGGCACTGGCTTTCCAGTGGCCGTGCAATTCGCGGCAAATGGTTTGCCCTCGATGGCCTCCAGCATTGGCGGCAGACTGACAATCACCGGCTGAATGAACACCTCCACGCGAATGGTACGCTCCAGCAGCTCTCCCGTATCGATGACAGCCGCCCGGCACGTGTAGATGCCCTCGTCCGTCTCCTGAACATCATGGATGAGCAGGCCATGGGTCTGCACCACATATTTATCGCCAGTGCGGATCTACCATCAAAGAATCAAAGTATTACTTAATGTTGGTGGGGGGGATGATGGTTCCCTCTTTTACTTACCGGATCTCCGTTGCGTAGCCAGTCAATGGTCGGATTGGGATCGGCCTTCACCTCGCACATGACCACGTAATCTTGGCCCAATGTCGGATATTGATTTTCTGGTGCATTTGTCCAGGTAATGGCAACTGCAAAGTGGAATAAAAAATGGGAGAAACAATCGTTAGATCTTGCAGCAGCAGAAGGAGAAGAAACAATGAGGCGTACATTCACGTACATCAATTTCTGCGGAAAAGGTGTGCCAAAATTGTTGGATTATCCCTGGCATTTGCACAGCCAGCGAGCATGCCACCCCAATATGACCCCCTAGACTATTGTTGAAAATACCCAACTTTTCTTGAATCTAACAAACATTTATTTGAACATTTCCAATGATTGTTTAATGTGAAAACAATTGATATGTGTGTATGTATGTGTATTTTCATTTGTATGTACATATTATTTATGTGGCGTGACTTTGTGTGTTTTTGGATTCCTTTGGTTCTTGGAGGCAGTTGTCGTTGAAGGTACTCAGTTTTTAGTGTTGTTGTACAGGCAGAGTTTCATTGCATTGCATCGGCTAGTTGTAGATTTGGCAGGTTCTCTTTTAGGGCTCCTCCTCCACCTCCACCTCCCACTCTGATTCCGACTCTGGAGTTATATCTCCCTCATATTCCACGTACAGTGGGTCGTTCATCAGTTCAAACTCGACCGTAGGGAAGTCTGTCTGCGTTTTCTTATCGACCATCCTCCCTTCGTTGACGAGTGACATGGCCAGGCCTGCACAAAGCAGCAAGAAAACCACTCCAACGCCGCCTAAGAAGAACTCCAATAACAATATGCCGTACACCTCGGTAGCACTCTTGTCGGGACCCCACGGTAGCACTCCCATAATTTCTTCAATTAATTTAACGAAACCCATTGTGTGTTTTTGGTCTATGTGTTAAAATTTCTGCAAAAGAAGTGCAATTTTCTTTTTTGACGGCGTTCGATTCGATTCACAACAAGAACTGGTTTCAATGAGCGCATTTTCCAGGGTTGTGCAACTTGTGCGATCCAGTTCGGTACCAGCTTTTTGGCTGTAGTTCGAACTTCGAACGTTTTCCAACACTGAGAGAGCCGCGTGGCGTCCCTGACGCTTGAGAGGTGAGGTTTGGAAAGTGCAGGGCCGCCTCTCGGTTGAGAATCTAAGCGGAGCATGTGGAGCCTGTACGTGGCGTATGTGCAATATAATTTTAAACAAACTGTCAGGCACATAAAAGCAATCCAAAGCCAAGACATGTGCGCGACAAATCCGCAAGCAGAAAAAAAAAAACGCACGCCACTGCTTGCTCTAAGGGTCAGTCCCAGTCTCAGTCTCGTCCCTAACGAGCTGCTGGTCGACAAAGACTTGGAGTCAGACTTGGCATCGGATTTGTGATTCCTGGGGTCCAGCCAATAAATCTCCACTGCTGCAGCAGCAGTAGCAGCAGCAGCAGCAGCAGAGAGAGAGATGACTTGGAAATTGAAAATGGGAAGAAAAACGAACAAAAAGAAAAAGAAGGAATTGCAAAAAGCTGAAATTCCTAAATCAAATACTTGCCATACAATCCAAAGCACAAACACAAATAGTAGTAGATGCCACACAGCAGAGCGGCAGAGGCAGAGGCAGTGGCAGAGGTAGCAACAGCAGCAGGGGGAGAGGGACAGGGAGAGTCAAGAGTAGAGGAGTCGGAGTCGGTGCCGAGGCGTGAAGCGGAAGATTTTTCTGGGGCCAAGAGTTGTGTTTAGTTTAATGCCGAGAAAAACATAATTCAACCTCAAAGGCAAACACAAAGCAATACAAAGTGAAAAGTACAGTTATGCTGCACACACACACACACACAGGTACACTTGTGCTCAAAGGCTGACGCAGATGAGAGTAAGCAGAAGAGAGCAGAAACTGCCAGAAGAGGCTGCTGTTCCAAATGGATCGCCATTGCCTTTTGGAATAACATTTTGCATTCCAAGCGGAAATTGTGGAAATCCTTCTTCGTTTTCGGCTGTCTGCTCCCAGTGCCAGTGCCAGTGCCAGTCTCGCCCATCGATTTCCAGCATGTGTGTATGGCCCCCAAATATTTACAGTTTATTTATAAATCAGTGTAATAACAAGCCATCTCAATCGCTCAGCTCTGTTCTGTCTGTTTGTCTGTCCCTTTCTATGGCACACTCTCTGTCTGCTGACTGTCAAGCGCAAACATGCACAGCGACATGTACGGACATGCACCCAGGGATGTCCGGCATTCGGTTTGAACAGAGATACGGGATACGGGGAGGAAAGCCAAAGCAGAGACCAAAATAACGGAAAGTTGTGTTAAAAACATTTTCTATTTGCAATTTTTTATTGGCAGTGTCTGGACTTACACATATATTGTGTGTCCTGTGCAGCTCCTTATCCCTCATGGCATCCTTTCCTTCTCGCAGAAAACTGCTTACAGAGAGAAGCAGCAGCAGCAACAGGAGCATCGAATCGTACTCGTACTCGTAGAGAATAAATAACCAGAAAGCAATATATAACTATGGGGATATACCCTTTCTGATCCATTGCAAAGATCCGTCACAAGACAGTGGAGACGATCTGCAATTATGCTCGCCAACTGAACGAAAGCGCAGAGACCTCTCGGTCTAGTCACGAGAGATTCACGACAAAGAAAGAACGCTAGAGATTGAGGGAGAAATAGAGAGCAGCTGGCAGACTGCAAAAGTTCATTCGGGGTTCGAGGCTGCTCAACATTTCTCTTTATGCATTCGTTATACCCCCGCCTCGAATAAAGGGTAACTAAAAGTTTCTGCTGCTGTCACATCACTTCTCTCCTGCTCGTTCTGTTCTTTACAACTACAACTTCTCTCTTTTTGCTGCCTGGCTGCCTTCTGCCTGCTGCATTGTCGTAGCGTGTGAGATTTTGTTGTTCAAACACTTTTCGCTGGCACTGGCGTTTTTCACATTCACATACACACCCACACATATTCCCGAAGCCAGGAGTAGGAAAAAGAAAAAAAAAAAAAGATGAACTAGTTTACGATTTCATTATTAGTTTGAACAAGGACACAAGCCAAAAGCAGGAGACCAACGAGCCAGAGCCTGCAAGCAGGAAAGATGCCGCCGCGGCATCATGGTCAAACATCCAGACATCACAACTTATTGAAAAAGTTGCAGCAGCAGCAGCAACTTATTACAACAAAATACAACACAGAAAGAGGAGCACGAAACACACACAATTGCAACAGAGCAGCAGACCTGCAGAGCAACAGAGTTTTATTTTGGAGGTTGGGGGTGTTGCGATGTTTAAATTGGTGGCACTTAAAGATGACAGATGACAGCACAACTAAAGCCTCCAATCTATCATGTATGTGGCACTCAATCTCATCGGCCAATTGTCGAATGTTTGAAGCGTTTTTGAGAGTCTTCAGTCATGATAACAAACATGTGCTCTGGATCAAAATAATCACCGAAACAAATTGCAAATTGCAATGCAAAAGAGCCCAAAAAGTATGCACAAATTCCTGAATAAACAAAAGCCAACAGCAAGGAGAGAGACACTTCAGAGTCGACAAATAACTGAGAGAGAGAGAGAGAGCACATTGTGCCAGTCATTTGTGCATTGAGGCATCCTTAGATAAGTCGTAGAAACAAACACACAAACTTTCTTCTTAATGCCTGCAATCAAGATGATTTGTGTCAATTATATTGACCGCCAATGCCAAAAAGGATGCCAACAATTACTGGTACCGAGTATCGATCCAAGTGTATAAATATTTAATTAATGCATTGTCCCCGCACACATCTAATGCGCTTTAAATGCCTTCACAAATGGTATGGAATGGAATGTTAGTCAAGTGTCTGCCAGAATGGAATTTACTGAATGGCAGGCCACTGTTTCTTGTGCGTGCTTCTGCGTCTGGTTGTGCTTCTGGCGGAAGTTCTGTGTGTTTCGAGGAATACTTGTATGCATTTATGAAATGCATAAATATTGAAATATTAAGCTGTGACTGTGCATTGCCACAAACAACGATATGTAAATATGCCACTGCGTTTGTCCCCGTGTCCCTGTACCCAACCCTGCCCTGCCCTGCCGTAGCTCTCATGCATGTTGGCTTTTCATAGGAAAAGTAAATCTTGCAATTTGCCTTCAGCCTTGCATTTCAGCCACCTATGTACGTACGAGGAGAAGGAGGAGTACGAGGAGGAGGGCGGGCGAGAGTAGTAGTATCTCTTCGTGTCGTGTCCCTGGCTGCTTATTTGCTTAACTAAATGCAACTTCTGAGTTGTCAACACAATGACAGTGCGGCAGTGTGGCTGTGAGGCAGTGGTTTTGGGGCTGCCTCTGCCTCAGATTCTGATTCTGATTCCTCTTCATGTACTCGTAGTATCTGGTGTTGATAACTAACTGCTGTTGGGTTTTGTATTTGAAAGCTGGTCGAGTCGGTTGCACGTTGAACGTTGCAGGGGAGCACGAGGACAGGAGACAGAAGACAGTAGAACGGCTGATGGCTGGGGCTTACCACAGGCTGAACATGGAATATTCCAGCTCGGAAGTGCAGTAGCTCTTTAAAATGTGAACGACAGACGACACTCAACACTCGAAACACAAGGCACACACACACACGTACATAAGCCTTGACCAACAGCTCATTTAAAAGTATGCAAAAATAGACCACTACTCATTGATTAAGGCTTTAGTTATGGTTATGGGACTGTACCACGGGCTGCTGCTGCCATTACCCAAGACTGGAAGAAAAATAACAAAAATAAAAACAGAAAATAGCTAAAATCCAACAGAAAATAATATTTATTGACCCACCTTGATGGAGGAACCCATAGATAGGGACGGTACCATTGGTTCTTCCTGACACTCTCGAAAACTGAAAATGATCAACTTCTAAATCTGTGTCTCTGTCTGTCTGTGCAATGAGTGCCTGGCATTGGCACAAAGCTGATCGTAGCTTTGGAACGGGTCCTGGAATTTGTACAAACAATTTGACAGCACTGCCTCCTTAATATCCAGTGACTAAACCACGTACTGTGCATCCTGGCATTTGTCAACACTGGTGTCAATTGTGCCCACAGATCTACCCCGTCATCCAACCCACCAGTGGATAACAAACCCAAAATCAAACAAAAGGCCGTACTCGACTGCGACATCGAACCGGAAAGTGTGGACAGGGGCAATTGGTGAGACTCTGAGGAGAGAAGGATGATGACAGAAAAGGAGTGCCCATATCAGGAACAAATTGTTGCACAGCAACATATTTGATTTCATTTCAAACGCAGCAACAACCTGATACTGGCCCACCACTCAATGAGAGTTTTGTCAGGAAAGGAAAGGACAGGACAGGGCCGGGGCCGGGCCCGGGACCAGCAACAGTTCCTCACATATCACCAACAGACAAAGTGGTTGCACAGGAGCAGAGAATCGTGGTTTGTACCGTGTGCCGTGTGCAATGAGAACGAACTTTAAATTGCTCAGAAAAATCAATCTCGTAAAAGTTTTTCGAGCTTGAGAGCGCGCACGGTGGAGCACGGCAGTGCCTCTGCTTATGTGCACTCGACTATCCATTTCGAAGGAGGGCTTCCATTCCATGGCCATGGGGCTTGCTCTGGCAGAAGAAGGTGTGTGCGTGGCGTGTCCTGCTTATTGGGCAACGGGTTTTTGCCTCTGCCTTCCCCATGTGTGAGTGTGTGTTTGGCTGGCTGCTCGATTGCTTTGTGCCGGACGCATCCATTTTGTTTTATACATGTCCGCTGCACTCCCGTCTCTCACTCCTTTCTCTACTCTCTCTTGTAATGAAATCCAAGCGAAACTGTAATTTCTTACTGCCCTTCAATGCTGCACTTGCTCTTGCACTGCACTGGACTGCAGACTGTACTTCAAACTGGTAGATGTAGTTGGAACCGTGTGCTGGGGACACAAACTGCTAACAAGACAAATGAACGGTGGCAGGCACCGAGCGGGAATCACGTTGAACGGCGATTACTCTCAGAGCCAGTCACAAGGCGGGTTCGCTAATCAAAATGGTGACAAGTCAAGCATGACAACAGCCAGCAGCAAAGTAATGACAAAGTTTTCTCACAACAGCGACTACTAAGTCCCGTTCTGCATTTAGATTGAAGCGAGCATTAAGGAAATAGAAATTTTCCTTTATTTAAACATTTACTTTGGGCCATCAAAGATTGTAATATATTACATTAAATATCAATCAAACTGTTGAATCTGTGAGAAATAGCACCATGAGTGTTTTCAAACTTGTGCTGTTCTTTTTTCTCTGTTCCAGTGTTGTAAAATGCCAGACACACTGCTTGGTACAGTCTCGTTACATAGCTGCGATCAGTGCGGGTCAGAGAAAAACCGTTTCTTCCTGTCTTGTCACACTTTTGTACTTTTTCTGGCTGCTCTTTGATTGAAAATTTGAAATTACATTTAACTAAAGTACAGCAACGCACTAAAGCACTACGGTACAGTACACCATTCAAAATACTTACCATCCAGAGGAACAACAGCAACAAACACAAACACAAAGGGCAATAACACTCATAGTAATGATAACGATAACGATAATGATAATGAGAATGCGAATGCGAATCATCATTATCGTTTGCCTTCTCTGAAAGTATTCCGCGTGGAAGAGCAGAATGGGGGGGGGGGTTGGAAGCAAGGACTCACCATAAGTTGTAATTGTGACGCTCGTCTCGAGAATTTCGGTATTTGCATAGGACGCAGTGCAGTAGTACTTGCCGCCCATCTCCACCGTCAGGGAGGAAATCATCAAGGCGAGGCTCTCGCCGGGCAGCGTCTCCGTGTACATGGGTGGCTGGTTTCGACCCGTTCTGTGGATAGGTGGAGGAAACGAATGAGTTTTTTTTTTTGTCTTTGGTTGTTTTTGTTTTTTTGTTTTTTTGGGTATTAGTAACAGAAAAATATGCATTTTCAAATGGTAGAAGAGTACGAGTAAACGAATGTAAGTACATATATGCTTTCGCATGGGCGGGGGGGAGCAGGAGAATATATGTACGTATAATTATTATTTTTATGCACAATGATTATAACGATTGCTGTGTGTGGCTGTGAGGCTATGGGGCTATATGGAGCTATATGGCTGCGTGTTAGTTCCTACTCTTTCCACTTCGTTTCTTCTGAATTTGCATGCCTTTTTCCACACACACACAAACGGAAATGTGCTACGCATTTTTCCCATTTCCCGTTTACACATTTCCCCCATTTCCCATTTCCCTTTTTCGCCATATACGAATATAAATATATTTTCTCGCATTTTCCACCAAATTTGCCAGCTAAATGGGAAAATTCCTTTGGCTTTGCATTGTGTGTGTAGGTGTGTGTGTGTGTGTGTAGGTGTATGTGTGCCGTAAGCATGAGGTCACCGTCACTCGGGGGGCAAGTGGCTTTTCGCTCAGCTTTGCTGTGTGGCAAGGCAAGCAGCAGCAGGGTATGCAAGTATGATGCAAGTAATTGGATGATTCTTTTCAATTTGCGCATTTCTTTCCTTTCCACTTAAATATTTCTCTTTTAGAAACCTAAGCCGTTCCTAACCGTTTCATTACCGCTTAACTGTTTTCGTTTCCATCCAACATCTAAAGGACAGCTTGGCATGGATTGGGTCTTTGATCCTGTCAGAGCTTTCGCCCCTGACATGTCGGGAAACCCTTTTCATAACCGATTCTGCCAGTTAAATTTTTTGATGGCTTTTTAAAACTGGAAACTCCCATTCCATTAACCATCCCTCACCCCACCCCCCTGCCGGCACGAGAAGTGTTGGCCATGTGGAAAGTTTTCACGCCTCTGGCTTTAATTTCCATGCGATTTGTGCACGAATTTGTGTACAGTAAATCGCATAAAGCCAACAAATTATGGCAGAGCAACGAACATGGAACACGAACCCCCCTTTCGGACTGCCCGCTAGAGCTGCTGTTGCTGCCCGCCCATTGAGCAGCTCACGTACTAATTAATTAAAAAAGTTTCCATGGGGCTCCCCCCGAAACTAAATATGCATAGAGAAGAGCAAAGAGAGAGAGAGAGAGGGAGCAGTTATTATTATGATTATTATGAGAGTGGGCAAAACAAAAACGAGAACTGAAACGGAAACGGACGCAACGATATCAAATATAAAAACAGCAGCAGCAGCAGCAACAAGAAGAAGAGGTAAAAGAAGGGAAGAAGGGTCCATTGAACTGGACGATACCCTCTTGGAGTTACAGCATTTTGTAGATCCCCAAACAGCATAAATTACAGAAGAATAAGAACAAGAGGCGGCAGCAGGATAGATCTCCCATTGGATGTACAGATTTTGCAGACAAAGATGATATACCAAACAGCGTAAATACTTTCTGGTTACATTTGCCACGCGTTAAACAGCAGTGCCCATCGGTCGCTGTTGATCGAGAGTCAAACTGCATCGTCATCGCTGGGAAGTTGCAATATAATTGAAAAAAATAGTTCCTGCCTGAGTTTGTCATGCAGGTATGCAAGAGACAGAAGGGTTCGGCCTTCAGATGAATAAGAAATACTGAAAGAACTTTTTGACTTGAGAGGGGTTAAAAGGCAGCAGGCACGAGGCAGGGGGAAGGCTGTGGGTGGCAGGGGGCAGGCTGTGGGAGGCAGGGGGCAGGCTGTAGGAGGCAGTGTACATATTGCGAATGGATTGCAATCCATGGAATAAGCGTAAAGTCAACGCATGTTCCGCCTCCTTCCTTCCTTCCTCGCTCCCTCTCTCCCTCCGGTTCTGTCAAAATATCCTTGCCTGCCTTGCCTGCCCTGCTTTCCCCTCCCCTCCTTTTGGGGATTTCAATTTTTTGACAGTCGTCGTCATCATCAACATCCAGCAGCCTCCTGCCGCCTGCCTTCTGCCTCCTGCCTCCTACTCGTGCCTGCCACTTCTTCAGCTTTTCCTTCTACTATTTTTCCTCCTACTTTTGTTTTTACGAATGTAATTGGTTTTATATATTGAACGAATACATGTTTGTGTTTGTTTGCATTTGTGTGCGTGTGTTTGTGTGTGTGTACGGAGAATATGGTATCCGGAATACGGCAAATACGGAGTGGAGGAGGCACAACCTGCGTTCGATTTGCGTTTCGCCCAATTGTTGCCAAAAAAATTCAGACAAAAAAAAAAATACGTACGGCATGGCATGCGGGGTATTTGTTTGCCTTACAAATACACACACACACATGCACAAACAGCAATCGCACACACACACACACAAAACACAGCTGTGCGTGTGTGGTGCATAGAAAACGTCGTCGTTGCCTGCGCCCCGAAAATTATGCTAACAAAAGTTGTCGAAGAGGCGCATACAAAAATAAAAAGCACGAGCCAAAAAATGTCATCAAGCGAATGGAGTACCGACAGCAAAATACCCTGTACTTAGAGGCATATTTTTATGTACGGTATTTTCGATGGGTATGCCAGCTTACGTAGCTTAAGTTCTACGCCAATTCTGCTCACAAAAAATCTCTAAAATTTCCACATTTTGCAATGGAATATTCTTCGCTTACAGGGTATTCAATATGGCCGGGAATCCTGCGCTGGGCAAAAACACAGCGACAGCGTTTGCCGTTACGCAGGGAGGGAGCCAGAGGGGGGGGGAAAAAGTGGTGGCTGGGAGTGCGGTTCGAAGCGGAAGAAGACATTGTGCAGAAAAAATGTCGCTGCATATTTGCGTTCGGATTTTTAATATTGCGCCAAGCAGTACACACACACACACACACACAAAGGAGAAGGGCGAAAAAAGAACCGCAACAAGAACAATAAAAGATGGAGACAGAAAGAGAGAGAGAGAGCGGGACTGGGAAAGAGACGTTACGCATACGTAAAAAAAAAGAAATGTCTCTCTTTCTTTTTTTGCTGCTTTTTCTTTTATTTTTTTTTTTTTGTTTGGTTGATTGTCTCTTGGGTACATCATTGTGGCCTGTCTCTCTCTCTCTCTCTGTCTCACTCAAACACCATCTCCCTCTCATTCGATCACCCAATTGGCGCCTTGGGGACTCCACTTTTTATTGCATTTTCTTTTGGCCGTTAGACGCGCATCAAGATGGCGCTTTTGTCGTTGTTTCTGCTGCGATTGTCACTGTTATTGAATCCTGGAATGAGCCACCAGGGAGCCAGAGTCGTGATTCAAGGAGTCGCGAGTCGGGTGCACGGATTCTCCATCTGCCACAATCACAATCACAAACCATTGAGCGCGGCAATTGCTCTCACAACCACAGATCAGAGCTGCTGCCTCTTCTTTTCCGAACTGTCGCTGCTGATGATCCTGTTTCCGTTAAGTGTTAGTCTGTAGCCTCCCACAAATCACTTGCACAATTCCAAGCTCTGATCTACTACCATGCCATGCAGCTGGAGGCATGCCAGCCCCTGCAGCAGCGGCAAAAAGCCCCCAAAAATGCGGACAATGCACGGCCGCAAAACTATGCCGAACTTAATCGTTTTAATTAACTCGAGGAGGGTGCAAAAACAACGCCCCTGCCACACGCGCTCTTCGGGGCAGGGATTTGTGTGCGGCTGAATGGGGGAGAATATGCGGAGCCCGTTCGGTTTTTGGGCAGCTTAATTACATTTCGCGCCTGCAAGTATGCAATGCAGCAAACGCACCGTACTGTTGAGAGTGGGCGTGTGTGTGGGGGCGTGGCGTCTCTCCCAAAAAAAAAAAAATAATAAACCCACCAGCAGCCAAACAACAAAAGAGGAAAAATAAAACTCTCGAAAAAGGGAATACCCTGCGGAGGATGGCAGGCAAAAAGGCGAGGGATTTAAATCGGAATTCAGCTGGAATATCGATAAATTTTCGATCAATTTAAGAGTGGATTTCCATGCAGAAAAAAGCCAAATTTGAAACCAAAGCATGTTATTCCTGAGATAGATATTTGGCTGCTTCGCAGCTCCATCAAAATTAAGGGGTATACGCAAAAGGAGAGAGCAATGAGAGATCCTGTCCATAGAACACATACATCATCTGCAGTACCAAGGGATATTCAAGGGGGGTGGGGGGTAGAGAGACAGAACGCAAAATTTAGAAAAATGTTTCCTGGTTTCTGGCCATCGAACTAAACGCGCGAGGAGTGCCAGTGCGTGTGCGATGTGGATGCCAGGGTTGCCCCAGCATAATTTCCAAACCATCCACCAAGCGATAATTAAAGCTGAACAAATAAAAGAAAAACCCACACACACACACACACACACACATAGCAAAAAGTAGTACTCGCAGCACACTCCCCCTGCCCTCCTCCACCCAACAAAAGCTGTTGGCCAACTGAATATTCAAGCAAAAAATAATACAAAATGTTTTTTGGGCCAAAGCCAAACATGAAATTTTGCACTGGCCCAAGTTTTGCTGCTACTTCTCCTTCTCGGCACCTCTGCAGCTCTGAAGTGGGAAACGAGGTTAATTGGTACGCAATCGTGGGCTGGTTACCCCCTCGGGGGTTCACCCTTTTTTAGGTGGTGGGGCAGAGGAAGTAACTGAGAGCTAAGCATTGACCGGGTCAGGTGTCGCCCCCGGGCAGCCCCCCTGCCGATTTTCGGGGCCAGTCGGCAGGCAAATTAATTAACACGATTTCGCTTTTCACACGCACACCGCCAGAGTGTTCCACCTCTCGGACTACAATATCTCAGTCCGTATCTGAATCTGAATGTTCCGCTCAAGAATTTCCATTCGCATTGCCCATCGCCTGCCGCATTTCCCTTGGCCTCTGTCTGACATGTTTCCCAGGAGCCTAGAAAAAACGGAAAGCTTTCGTTCGGATTCCTTGATTGATTCGGCCAGTAATTGCAATTTTCCGTAATTTCATTTGGAGAACAGTGAGATTTTTCGTACAATTGCAAGATTGCAGTCATTGTTTTTTCTTGTATTTCGTTTGGATACTGACTGAGGGGAAAAACATCCCCTAGGATTCTCTGGCAATTTCTATGCCTTAGTGATGACTGTACCTGTTGTAACGGCACTTTATCAATGGATTTCTGCTTTCTCTGTCAGACACAACTGTACCTGCAGCTGGAAAACTGGCAGCTCTTATTTCACACACTGCTGCAGCTTCTTCAAGGTACAGTCCAAGTCCCTTTAAGATTTATTTTGGAAAACAAAATTCTGGCAGGGCTGCCGGGACATGCGCTCGTCTAGCCAGGGTTGCCACACATTTGTCAATCATTAGTGGATGAGGGGGAGAAGGTTAGTTCAACAGCTAATTGAATGGAATCGCATGAGGCAGAGCTAACCATCGCTGATGGCTGAGAATATGAGGCGGGGGAAATTGATGTGTGTGTGTGTGAGTATGGGTCAAAGGTCCAATGTCAAATGCCCGCGCAAAATGCATTTATCGGCGTACAGCAAAATGAGTTAACAACAAATCAACGTACGTAAAACAATCAATCATGCCACAAAAAAAAAAACACAAAAACAAAAACATCAACAAAAGAGCAGTAGAGCGGATCTACAAAGAGGGTGGGAAGGGGTGGAAGACTTCGACGCACCGAAGATGGCATCCAAAATACCCTTACAGAAACACTGAGCCTGCCAAAATGCTGCAGAATGATGGGGGTTAAGTCCCCAAAACAACGGACGGATACATGCATTCGACTACCATTTTAGGTGTGTACTGTACTTATTACTTTCTGCAAGGATATTGGATATGGATATTGGATAGGATAAGGTTTGAGTTCTCTGTCCATCTTTTTGGATACTGCGAAGTTTTTTATTACTCTGAGATACTGGTTGCAGTTACTGTTACTGTTACTGGGTTGGGTTACTTTTAACAGTCACTGTGGCACTGTTTACTATGAAATGTTGTTCTTGCATGTCGCGACTTTCACTTACGCTTTCCTTCTATTCCCCTTGGAATCGTACAGTGGATCATAATTGGGCCTACAACACGGGGTACATATAGGGTATATATATAGCATATATATGTGTATGTATGTATATCAGTGCTTGGATTTGCTAGCTGCTCTCTGCATTTGAATGCACTCAAAGTCAGGCCGAATTCGAATGAGAATTAAACCAAAAAGTGAATGAGAAATTCTGCCACAGCAAATGCCTCAATCCATTCGAACTCCGCATATTTTTTTGATCTAAATTTGAGTGCATTCTTGCAGCTAAATACCAAGAAACCACACACCAATAAACATATGCATCAATCGGGAATCGATGATTGATTGATTGATTGATTGATTGAGTGATTGATGGATCTGTTTGTTTTGCACACTTACGGCTTGGGCAGAATAGTATTGTTCATGTTGTCCTTCCATTGCAGATCGGCCACCAAGGCTGGCTCCGGCACTGTGGGTCGGCACGTGAGGATCAGCGACTTGCCCACGGGCTTGCGCTGCACCTCCTGCATCGGCAGGATCTCCAGACTAGGCAACAGATCCGCCTGGCCTAGCTCTGCAAATAGATGGAGAGTGAAAAAATGTGTTAAAAAGAGAGTGTTAAAGTGGCATTTAAAAGTAAATTTCTTAAAATGGGATAGTGGCCTTTGTTTTTTTTTCTCTGTCTCTGCCTCTGTCTTTTTCTGTGTGTGGCCTTTTTCCACAGCTCATTTGCACAGGCGAGTAAATTTAAATTAATTTTAATTGCCTCTCTGCCGCGAACAAAGGCAAGGGGCTGCTGAGGGGCAGAGCTGTGGCGGTGTGCCACACTGTGGGTGGGTGGAGGGTGTGTGGGGGGACTGTTGGACCTTTGTAATTTTCGCCTCCACTCATTATGCCCATGTGTGTGTGTGCGTGCGTATCTGTGTGAGTGTCAATTTAATGAAAGGCAAATTTCAATCGAAATTTCTAGTGAAATTAAAGTCACATTTTTTTTTTTTGTTGTACGATAAATTAATGGAAGGAAATATGCATTGAAATTTATTAAAAAAAAATTTTAAATACTTTTTTAAGGCATTTTTAATTGGGTTTGCGTTGCTGTAGCGAGCCAAAATAGTTTTGGGCATTGGAAAATTAATTATTTCAGTCTTCAAAAACAAAAAAAAAAACTTGGGCCATAAAGGGGTTATTGAAAAATACTTAAAATCCTTAATCAGTATCAAACTAACTTTGATTTTCTGTTTTTCCATATCAGCAAACTGTCGTTTATTTGTATCACAGATTTCCCTTAAAATTTTTGCCTGCCCTTTAAGTATGCTGCCATCAATTGGCTTCTCCTTCTCCTTGTTGAGTGCATTCTTTGTCCCTCGCTCCTTCGGGGACCTACAACACAGCTTTTGTCGAGCTACTCACAAAAGTTTCCCCAGCTCCAGCCACCATCCGCCGCCATCCGGCAGACTCCTCTCGCAGCTGAAAAGTTGGCCATTGTTCATCTAGCTAATTACCGACAATTAAACGCTCATGAAACCCCTTTGTAACGGGGTCACACAATGGCCAAAACGAAAGAGATAGAAAGAGAGACAGAGACAGAGACAGAGAGAGAGCGGCAGAGCCGCTTCTTAAACTTAAATCCAGTGCAAAAGTTTCCTGCAGCATTTTCCTTTTCATTTTCATTACAATTAAAAGCCTTTTGGCCATTTTCTTTGACATTTTATTGGACACTCTCCCAGTTGACTTGGCAGCAAGCAGGAGGGCAGGGCAGGCAAGAGAAAGAGCTTGGCTTAGTCCTTGGCCAAGTTCAAGTTAAGCAGCGGAGTAGAACCTTAATGGCCAGTGTCCGCACATTTGTTGAGCATTTTTATGGTTCGGTCAACATTTGGCCGCAGCGCTTAAAGTGGTGGATGGATGCCCAGAGGGTGGGGCGTGACAGTGCCAGCCACCCAGCTGGGATCAGGCCAGCTTTCTTTTTGGTGGTGGAGCAGCCAGTGCTCGCGTGGATTACCCGTGCATTATACGAGGGGTATATTGGACTGCCCGACTCTGCCCGACTCCGCCAGAACGCAGTTGACGCCGACAATTGCGCGTGGGGCCACTTCTGTGATGCCTCCTGCCCAGCATTATTTCAGACATAAATTAGCTGCTAGATCCGCTTTTTGTTCTTTGAGTACCCCAGGATGTCCCTGTGGTCGATCTTGGTCATTTTTTTGGGGTCTCACATTTTTTTTTTTTGTTTGTTTGTCGCAAGTGCCGCAGTGCACAGTCGAGTGCATAAATAATTTAATGTAAACGATGCCACCACCACACACATCTGAGTGGGTAGCGTAGTAAACAAATACCAGTGGAAGTGGAAGTGGCAGTGGGTGTGGGTGTGGGTGCGGCAGAACGGGGTGCATGCAACAGAGAGTGCATTAAACTGGCCCACGGGCTTCACCCATTGCTGCTGCTGCTGCTGCTGCTGCTCCATCTCTGGCTAGCATCTGCCGCGGCTCCGGCGAAATTAAATATGAGAAATTTATGCGACGTTGCCTTTTTGCATTGCAATTAATGCAAGGCAACAAAATGGCGCACGCCCACCCCACCCCACCCCGCCAACAGGCGGCAGGGAGACCGACGAAAAAAATGTGGGAATAATGCGCGCAATAAAAAAAAAACCACACCACACAAGCGATGGGATGGGGCAGGGCAACTGGCGAATGCTCTTCCCGGACAGCGCAGAAGACAAAACTATTCAGCAGAGATGCTGGGGCTATTGCTGCCCCTCAAACATTTATCTAATTGGTGCAGCATTTCCGATTAAGCGATTATTTATCGACTGACGCTGACGATGCTTCGGGATCGAATTGACGCGATCACTTGTTGCGCGCTCTTCCCACTCTGTATCTGGGCAGCCATTACTCTTAGTCTCTCTCTTTTTCTTTCTCTTTCTCCATCGCCATTACTCTTTCTCACTCTCCCACTCCCTCTCGCTCTATCGTCCATTACTCTTCCTGTCTGTTTTTATCTATCTGTCACCTCCCTTTCGCTCTTTCTGCTTCTTCTGCATAGCGAAGGGCATCCAGCGATGCGCTGTCTCTTCTCTCTCTATCTTCGCTCTCTGGGTGGGTGGGAGGTGCGGGGGCTCTGGCGCCTTATGCTTAATTTATATTTATTTTATTTTAAATGCATGTTGCATAAATAAAGGCGCACACACTCACACACACACACACACACATGTGCACACATTATCTTTGGAGCTCATCCTTCCTCTCCTCTCCGCTCCTCTGCCTGCTCCCCTGAGGGACATTGGTGTGGGTGTGGCTGAGTGGGAGTGTGGGAGTGTGTATGGCTGTGTGTGTGGCTCTTCCGGACGCCGCATAAATAAACAAGTGGTTAAGAATTATCGTGAGGCTCAGAGGAGCGCGCTCAAAAGCGAGCAAAGAACAGAGGGAGAGACAGAGACAGAGAGAGAGAGAGTCAGAAATAACACTACACGATAAGCACCGATGCTATAATTTACCATCGGTAAACTTGGACATTCGCAGGCTAAGAGAAGGCCAGGCCGCCATCGAGTGTGAGTGATTGCTGTCCCATCTGTCGCTACAGAAGCATATCCTGTAGGATAGAGCTCTAAGGACAATGGTGAATGATCAGCAGCCCAGCCCAGGCCCAGTCATGCCCATTTTACCAATGGGAAAAACAAGCTCTACGTGCATCGGTGAAACGCCGCTGACAATTATCCGACGAGGGCGCATCGGTGCAGTAAATGTCGTCGCCTGTGTGCGTGTGGGCCAACTGCTGGACATATTCTTTCGCTCAGCATCCAACTGCAATTAATTCATGACGCGCACAGCAAAATATTGTTGGAAAACAATTAAAAAGTGCACATTAAAATGGCAATGCATGGAAAAAATTAACACACTCTTTGCCAGCACACAGTGGGTGGTGGTGGGTAACAAGTTTTAAAGCTTTAAATGCAGCAAATGGATTTTATTTTGCCTGCACTCTTCAGCTTTTATTGCCAGAAAGAGAGGGACAGCGAGAGGGTGTCAGAGAGAGAGCGAGAGAGAGAGGGCCGAGGCAAAAGTTAAAATTAATATTTGTTTGCTTAAAAGTTGGTTCGCTCTTTCGTTGCGTTTCGTTTTGGGTAGACCAAAAAATTGTTGATTTATGTAATCCCAGAAACGCCCACGCCCGCGCCGACACCCACATGCACGCCCTCCCCCCCTTTTGCTAGCCGCCAAAAAGTTAGTTTCTGAATTATGAGTGCAAAATAGTTCCCGACCCAGCGACAAAAAAAAAGAACAGAAAAAAAAAGCAGCTTACGCTTACGGGCAAATATTGTCCAGCCTTCCACTGCCACTGCCACTGCGCCCATTCGGGGTGGGGCGTGCTCAAGTGGCGTGTGCCCCAAGACCTGAGCCGCGTCCAAAAATAGACTTCAATTGCAGTATCGAGAGCAGCCTAAATTTACGCTCAAGAGAGCGAAGCACGAAAAGAAACACACGAGAAAGTGAGAGAGATCAAAGGAAACGTTTGAGACTGAAAGGAGATCAATATTTGCGACGGCTACACTGCAAGCCAAGCAGAGAGAGAGAGAGAGAGAGAGGGGGATCATGCCTCTTCGATCTGCTAATAGTTGGGTGCCTGCAGTAGCGATATGAAGAGAGCTCGCAGGACAGCGCCACTAAAGGCAATGCCAATCAAATTGGGGTATTTAGATGCAACCACCAATCAAACCAGCAGCACACAGAGCACTCAACAACAGCAGCATTAGAGACGATAAATCAATAAGTATTCACTAAAAATATAGAACCAGTGGAAAATAAAGATGCCACGAGGGGCAGACAAGAACCGAGGGGCCGGCGGCTCCAATGCCCAGCTGCTGCACTCGGGGCAAATGGCAGCTGGACTGAGGGAGTGCTGCAAAGCCTGTGATCGCATACTGATGGATGCATTTTCATTCAATTTTGTTTATTTGTATTTTTTGTTGCAGTGTACTCCTCTTTCTGTCTCTGTGAGGCTTACCTTGAGGCAGAGGTTGCGTGGGTGGGTGGTTGGGTGGTCCATTCAAGGCCAAATTTATTTGCACAATAAAAACATGAAAGTAGCACGGCACACACAACCCGCCCACATCCTTCAGCCTTTTGTAGCCTACATGTTTGGCATATTTGATGGCATTACCGTTAGGTGGGCAGGCAGGCAGGCATCCATCTCTCTCTCTCTCCCCCTTGTAGCTGCACTGCAGACAGACCTCTCTCTCTCCCACTGCCTTGCCCTACCCCATCCACTGTTTGCACTCGTTATAATATTTTCCCGTTATGTTTTCTTTCTTGCCTTCTCTCTCTCGCTCTCTCTCTCTTGCGCTTTTGTTTCGCTCTTTCTTTCGGCTTTCGGCTGGCGCGTCTGTGCTGACATGTTGCATACTTTTGTGCGACGGCGGCGACAGGAAACTGGAACAGCCGCCGCCTCAAGTGGTCGCGCCCCCCCCAGCCGTCCCGCAACCCACCACTGCATCGCTTTGGATGCCTTTTGAATTTTTAAATAGGCCAACGAGTGGTTGGGTGCAGGGGGGCCGGGGCGCTGAAGCACGAGCAGCAG